CTTTCTCTATTGATGATTAAAGTAGGAAATCTACATGAGACAACATGTTGGTTTTGAGGTCAAAGGCAAAGAAAGGTTGGTTTGTAGATTGTTGAAATTATTGTATGGACTGAAGCAAGCTCCTAGGCAATGAAACACGCGATTTGATGAGTTCATGAAGGCATAAGGTTTTTACTGAGCGTCTATGATCCTTGTGTCTACATGAAGAAGGTAAATGATGAGACGTTCAATCTCATCATTCTAGTACTCTACATTAGACATGCTCAGCTTGGCAAAAAACCAATATGATGTTGATGAATGTAAGAGTAAGTTTAAGTCTGTATTTAAGATGAAGGATATAAGGGAGTCAAAGTGAACATTAGGCATGGAGATTCATAGAGATCTTGAACAGAAGAGATTATGGTTGAGTCAAGACAAGTATGTTTCTCATATACTTGACTGGTTCAACATGGTCGATTCCAAAAGAGTATGGACTCCTTTGGCAACACATTTCAAACTCTCCGCAGCTCAATGTCCTACTGATGCTGTGGAGAAAGGAAAAATGCCATGTGTTCCCTATGAACAAGCCGTAGACAGCCTCATGTATTTGATGATGTGCACTAGGCCGGATATAGCTTTTGCGATGGACAAGGTGAACATGTACATGTCAAATCCGGTGAAAGTAATCTGAGAAGTAGTGAAATGAATTATGGGATATTTGAAGAGTACTTGGGATTATGGCTTACTGTTTGATGGTCTTTTATACAATGTCAAATCCTTGTTTGGTTACGTTGATGCTGATTACAGACAAATCTAGATAAAAGTAGATCTACAATGAGCATGTGTTTACACTTGGCGATGGAAGCATTAGTTGGAGGTCTACTTTGAAAAAATGTGTAGCTCAGTCAACAACGGACTCTTAATATGTGGCAGTATAAGAAGTGACAAAGGAAGCTATTTGGTTGGATATGCTTATCATGGAAATGGGATTGAAGCAAGGTGTGGTCAATCTTTATTGTGATAGCCATAGTGCTTTACATTTGGTTGCGAATCAGGTCATGGGTTGCAGAGTGAAGCACATCGACAACAAGTATCATTTCTTCAAACAAGTAGTGTCTGAGAAAATGATTGAGCTAGTCAAGATTGACGATAAACTCAATCTAGCTGATGCTTTGACCAAAATTATTCCTTTGAAGAGTTTAAGTCAACACTATGCTACCATGTAGGTTGTGCATGGAAAGCACATGTAGAATTTGCTAACATAGAAACTTTGGTTATCTCTTTATATATTTACTCTATCATTTGATGGCTACGATTTAGCTCAAGTGTAAAGAGTAAGCTTGTATTAAGTTTCTTTCTAGAACTTCCCGCGTAATAATTATGTAGACTATGAGATCTCTGATACTTCTATGCAAGCAGGTTTCTTATTTAACTCTTTATGTTATTACTCTATCATGTTATGGCTACGGTCTAGTTCTAGTTAACTCTCGTGTAAAGAGTGGCCTTATGTTAGGTTTCTGTCTAAACTTTCCACTGGTAATAATATAGGTTATAGAGGTTACTGTTTTCTTAACACAATTTAAGGGTGAGATTGTTGAGGTTAACTCCGGTTAAGGAATAACCTCAGGTTATAGCTATTTATAGCTAGGAATGTCATTGGCTTTTGATATAAATATAGCCCAAGATTTGTATTCGAGCGTGCATTGTCAGTTGTCAGTAATCCTTCTCAGTTCCAGCCGTGGACGTAGCCCTTGAGGATGAACCACGTTATATGAATGTCTCGTGTCTTCGTACTTGAGTTAAATGATTCTTGGTTTTACGTTAAGAAGTTCAAGAGTATTATGGATAGATTTTCATAAAGATTTGAAAAAGAAAAGTTATGTTTGAGCCAAGGCAAATATTTATAATGTTTAACATTATAGACTTAAAGTGAAATGGATTTTTTTATAGCACATTTCAACTTTTTCGCAGTTTAATGTCCAACTAATAACATTGAAAGTGGAAAGATGACATCAATTTCATGTGAGAAGGTTTTGCAGCTTTTATGCACAAAAAAAATCAGGTTTTACAAGCAATTTACTAGCAATTTTTTCATCTCTATATAATATGTATTTTATCATATTTTGACTATGGCTAACATCTAATTCAGCAAAGTTTTAAAAAATAGGTATGTTAGATTATTTTTTATTATTTTTTTGCGTACTAATTATATAGATTATGGAGTTTATTTTACTCACAAATTGAATTAAAGGAAGAGTGTTAGTACTAACTCACATCTATTTCAACTCAAATAGCTAAAACCTTAATCAGATTTGGATTTTGTTTTTCATCATATAAGAGAACTAGACAACACTCTTGTAGAAAATCTAAGGTTTTTTTATTAGTAAAAACTTTTATTTTGTTCTTGTGAATGTAGATTGGTGATGAAAGTTATGTGTTTTGTGTGTGTTAGTGCGTGAATTTTTGCTTGTGTTTTTGTGACAAATACGCAATAATTTCAATGAATAAATATTAAAATTTTATATATCCAATTGTACAAACAGAATTTTTATAAGAGAAATTATATGTATATTAAATTTAAATTTAATATACATGAGTAAAAAAAATTTAAATTTTACATAAGTTTCTTTTTCACTTTATTGTACATTTTCAAGGTTAATATAGATTTTTCAAAATTTAGAGCTAATGAGTTTTGCAAAAAAAAACTTGTGTATGTCATGAAAATGTTTAAGCTAGCTAATATTATGAAGCTAAAACAATAAAATTTATAAATAATTTTTGTCTAATTTCATATGTAAGATTCAATTTTTGTGTATCATTTATGAATAAAAAAACACAAGTATTTTCATAGAAAAAAGAATAAAAAATATTTATTACTATAGTAATAAATATTTAATTATTTAAATATATAGTAATTTAAGTATATAAAATATACTTAAATTTCAATTAATTATATTTTTAATTATTATGATTTAGATATCAAAAAGTTGGAAACTTGAACATGGTTTTATTAAATTAAAAACCAGTTGAAAGAAAAAAATGCATAAAAAGTCTTTAAAAAAATTTATTATTATTGAACAGTTTACATTTTGATGACTGCTACATACATTACTAAAAATCATTTGCAAGAGAATCAAATTTGGATGGGTATTTACAAGTTTATTTAATGTTCAACGTTTATATACCTTCAAGATGTAATATATTCATATAAATGTTAGATTGGAAGTAAAACATATAAAGAGATACAAAAGAATGAATAAAGAACTCACTAAGATTTTTTGTATAAATTTATATTTCATAATCTGTCATTTTTATTGCAAAAAATGTACTAACACTAATCACATGAATAACGTAATATCATTTTTCCTGATGCAATTATTATTATACTTTATAAATATATTGATTCATACATTTATTAAATAAACGTATGATTCTTATTATATATCATTTGTCCTAATGTTAGTTCTATTGCAATATTGAATCATGTTTGATAAGATTCAGGGGAAAAATATAGAGTTGTTCATAGATAACAAAAATAATTACAAAATACGAAGGCATGAAATCAACATTGGCTTGAGCTTTAAGAACTTTCAAATATTATTTGACATAAAAATATGCAAAATATTTGAAGATAAAATAATCTCCCCAATATTTATAACTAGACCTAAAAGTTGATAGTATCGTGTGAATAACATTCCCAATGGATCAAGTACCACTCTAGGTCATGAGGGCAACTGAAGCAGTAGGTGACATAATCAGAAGTCTACCGACACTGAAGCTCTCCATGTGTCGCAATCATGTATCTACTCCTACTTATGAGTTGATTGTAGAGTGGAAAAGATGGCACTCATGTGTTGAACATGACGTCCTCATTTCCGTACCAACGAACCTGATCCTTGTAGAACAAGGATACATACAGTCGTTTCGTGACGCGCACCTCCCATGGGAAAAGCCTCCCTCCTCCGGGTGCAATAATGGTAACGGGAACAGGAGCATAATATGTTCGCAGCTCGGCATGGGAAATTCGCCCTTCGACGACCTTCTTACCGCAAAACACATACCGTTGCTAGACCTTCCAATTCTCATCTCCCTGGTTTAGAATTAACCTTCAATTGCACTGCTCAAAACTAGCACAGCGCATCGAACCAATAAGTTTCGACGGAAGGTGTGATTTCTAATTCCTTCTCTTCGTGGGAGGCCATGAGACCATTCGCTGCGCCCGTTGCTGCTGCTTCCAGGAAGGAGTGTAATTCTCAGCTTGTGATGATGATTTTAGAGGGAAAGGAAACATGGAAGCAGCTTTTCGAAAAGCTGCTGTTATGTTCAATTCATAGTGTACAATTCGAAAGTCCTGCTAATTGTACACTACTCCTTTTAATGCACGCAATGATGGCTTTTATCCAGAACCGATTCGCATCAAGGTACTGCGGTAGTCTTTCTTCGCTCATCGCATTGTACAAATTGCTCACTTCAAGTACATTATAATCATCAGTTGGCAAAATTTATTCCTGGATATCCCATGCAAACTTTTTAATAAAGTTTGGATTGTGCGTGGATTTGCATTCGAACGATGTAAAAACTTACGTTACTTGAGAGAGAGAGACGCACTGTCGAGTCTTGAGGGCGGTTCTCATGAAGTAAACACCCATCTTGGGTTGCCTCGACGAAAGGCTGGAGATTACTACTCAGCGTTCAACACGCCATAGTTTGTCTCTGTAACCTTCGTTGAAAGCTCACATTGAACAACACTGACTCACCAGAGGCAGTGCATTAACCTAGGAGTACATTTCCGTGAAGAGTCTGGAATAGACATAAATTTATTGAGTGGAGTAGGAGAGAATTTTCATCGGCTAGCGTGATATGGGCGTAAAATTGTACCTTCCGATGAGCTCATAGATTTGATTCTTCACGGTGGCACGGAACTTCATTCATTATTAGGTCCTACATAAAAGATCGTGAGAGAGTGTCAACGTGCAGAGAACCTCAAACCTTTGAACTTTTGTGCAGGTTCGCTGAAGCAGGTCAATCCAAATCAAGATATACATGTTTAGGTAGGCAGAATACACTCGAACCTTTGCGGTGCTCAATTTGTACTGCGTCACTTTACATGACTACTTTTCTTTTCCCGGAGAGCCAAAATCGAATCAAAATGGGTACAAAAGCATGCTCGTGCCTGATCAGAGAGTCATCGGATAGGATGACAAGCGTTTGAGGATTTTCATGAAGGTCGGTGGTGTGTTTTTAAACTAGAGTACACTTCAAATTCTTTTTCTATCTCCATATACGGGTGACTGATCTACCTTTAAACTTCGGTACATGGTAGAGGTGGGAGAACATGAAGAGGCAAATAAGTACAATACTGAAGAACAACAATATAAAACAGACAAATGTACGGTCTATGATAGTCTCTCATCGCCGGCCCAGCTGACTTTTTCCTTGGGACCAGTGGGACCCTCTTGGCCTCCTAGTTCGTCAGGTAGCTTTTTCAACAGAGACCTCACCGAGTTTCTCAATAATGCGGGCAGAAATTTGAGCACTTTGTCGAGCTCGGTTTTAGTGTCGTACTCGATCTTCGGGCCCCATTCTCTCATGTAGTCCACCCAGGGAGGCGAAGCTGGAAACAAATCCGTTTGAGATTGATCGTCTCCGGCTTCCTTGGTTTCTCCGGCTTTCTTCGTTCCTCGGTAGTCCACAGCGATGAATTCGAAGTCGACGCTCGTGTCGAGAAAAATGTTGCTCTTGGACGTGTCGTTGCGGATCCCAATCCCGACCTTGCCATCGCCCTGAAGGTTCTCACCTTCGTGGGGATACATGGCATGCGTATTCCTGGCAGAGTACACAATGGCCCGATTCGTACCAGGCACAAATTCAATCTCGTGAGTGTGCCACCACGTGCCAGCGGCGTGAGCGGCCATGTACAGCCGACGCATTTCGCCCGAGAAATTGTCCACCCGCACCGTAAAATGCTCCCAATCACAAACATGCTCCCCGATCCTGCCCAGAGAGAGGTTCTTCACAGGACCCACCTTGGCGGTGCTGGATCCGTTGAAAGTGTAGAAAATCCAGCACGCCATGTCGGTGAACGTGCCACCGAACATGGGCTTGACGTGCACCAGGCCCTTGGCGGATGCGAGATCGCCCTTCTTCACTCTCTCGGCCGAGCCATCGGTCGGGAGCGCGAGCCAGAACTCATCATCGTTCGAGCCTCCGGCGGGCAAATTGGCGCCATCCTTTTCCACTCGCACGGGACTCTTGGGCGAGGCCTTCGAGTAGAGCAGCGCCCCTTGATCGAAGTACCAATTCGGCGATGAGGGCAGAAATTCCTCGTTGGGATGAAAGTAGACAGTCGGGCCGTATTTCTGCATGATCTGCACGAGCTGCTCGTACGTGGGCATGGCCGTCATCACGCGGTTGACATTCTTCAGGCATCGCACGGGCAGGAACACCTCCTTGGTGAGTTTGGTGGCGCAGTAGACGGTGTTGACTGCGATGCCGAGCTCGTCGGGGCCGACCAGGTAGGGCTTCGTGGTCCAGGTGGAGAACGTGGTACCCTTGGACAAGGTGGACGAGTCCCACAGGAGCTCGTCGAGCTGACAGGTGTCGGTCTGATCCTCTCTCACGCAGACCAGGTCGCCTATAAGCGGCGGTCGCTCAGCGCTGGTGGTGACCAGGTAGCCGAGGTGCTTGTACCCAGCGGGCGCAACGGGTTCCCAGAAGTAGGCGAACAACTCCTGCTCCGCGTCCGCAACGGTGCTGCTCCAGAGGAGCGTGTAGTCGGAGGGATACGCGAGCGGCGGATTATCGCCCTTGATGAAGCCAGAGACGGCGAACGTCCATCCCAAACGCACCCCATATCCAAGATTGAGCTGGCCGTAGCTGCCGAAGTAGTAGCAGCCGTCGGGAATGACGGGCTGGTAGTACGTCGCGCCCTGCTCGAAGCCCTCGCCGCTCCTCCAGATTTCCACAAATTCCGTTATTTGCTCGATTTCCAGCTCTCCCAAGTTCAGGCGCTTCTTCGCGAATCCCGTGCCTGCGCCAATGACCACGAACTTGTCCTGTGAGCCCTCTCTCCATCGTTTCTAGAGCTCTTCGGTCACGAGAGTTCAGTGGAAACTCTCGAGAGTCCGAATTTCGGTTCTTGCTTGCGGCACTACACTGAGATTCTGATTTCCGACTTCCCGGTGCGAACATAATTTCCAGATCGAGATTTTCGACGCACGCAGCAGTAACCTCAGCAAGAAAGGATAGAATCAATTAATTGATTGAATGATTACTCTCTCGCCTGGCATCCATGCTCTGGAATTGTGGTGTCACGAAACCTTGGAAAGAACCAGAATGCTATAGCGACATTGCGCCTGATCTTTAGACGCGCATCTGATTGATGGCGAACAATCAGGGGAGACTCTCGATAGCTCAATGCAGGAACGGAACAAAATGATAGAAAACCTAGAGGACTAATCTACGGATGGGAGATGTGGTCGACGACTTTGAAATGTCGAGAAGATAAGAATCCCAGAGCAAATGCAAATGCTGCATCAATTGCATTCTTTGCTGCGTAGATGCTTTGGCTGAGGGCAGAGAGCTTACCGGGAGCCCAATCGGGAAGAGGTTCCGGTAGGCGGACTTTGTGAACCCAGGGGCCCGGAGTCGGAGCTGAGAGAGGCACCGCCTTGGGTTTACCCCATGGATTGATAATCTTGTCCACGCACGCAGAACACTTGGCCCACATCTTTCTTCGACCCGATTCCGAGCACCGTCTACTCTGCGGAACATAAACCCAGTCAGTAATCTCTGCAGGTCCTACTCGAATCCTCTCGACTCCTTCCGCCTGCACATCCGCCGATGCAAACCATCCACATCCTGCTTGGCATCATCGGCCCAAATTTATATGCCGACTCAATCGTCCGCCACACGCGCGAAAAAGCGCAAACCAACGACGAGGACGAGGACGAAGCTGTGGAAAAATTCCTTCCTCTGCACTCCACAAAACCACCTCCACTATATCTATCTCGACACGGCGTCGAGCATCCACGCTTCCGGAGCCGCGCAGCACAGAACCAAAAGCTCGTCTCTCTGCCAGCACGGATCTTGGCGAGCGCCAAAGTTGCGAACCGAGGCCCGAATTCGACTTGACCTACAGACCAGACGAGACGAGACGACGAGCGCACTCAACCTTCGAGCTTTCTTTCGCTCGTCAGTTCAGCATCACGCGACTTCTTCCCTGCGGTAAGTCGCCAAGTGTCGCCCGATGTCTCGACCACGTCTGGAAACGCGCCACGCCACAAACGCTGCGCTGCACTCCGTTCGTGTCGGTCGATCGATGGATGCTGTGACTTCTTCCAACCCAGTCCGCCCTCGCTCGTCGCTCCCCTCCCCGTCCTCCTCCGCTCGCTCTCTCTCCTTCCCTCTCCCTCTTCTCGTCTCGTCTCCTCTCGTCTGGCAGTGTCGATGAAACCTAGAGGCCGCGACTCCGTGGGCCCACCTCGCGCTCATTCGCATGTCCTTTACAAGAGTACGACCATTCCTCTTCAGAGCTTGCAGCGTACAGCATATTCTGCCGAATTCTCACGTTCCCGAGCTGATTGTAACTTGTCTTTACTATTTGGCCCAATGGAAGCCGACGTACAAGTACATGACGATGTCTGTGTTGATACTCTTTACTTAGTTTTTAGTCCATTTATGGGTCAATGTATATTTTCAGATATCTTCTAGTTTCAACTAGAGGGATTTGTTTTCTTCGGCGGAATCTTTTTCCCAAATTTTTTTTTATGTTTTTAAACATGGTTTATGATAAGATTGATTGCATCTAGTCATATAATCTATCTACTTGTTCCAAGCTGCTGGGAAATCAGTATGTAGATAGTTGCAACTTCTAATTTTTATTCTGATCATGCAATGTAGTTTTGTGTGAAAAAAAGTTGGAGATCAGCAGCAATTTCTTTGTTTCCTCCAGATGCATATGAAGGCCAGCAGGTTGTGCAAAGATGGGAAAATAATGAGAAAGAAACCAGAACCTATCCTCCACGACGAGAAGAAAAGTTAAACTTTGAAAATTTGAAAAGGTATAAATTTAACAATTGGAGGGGCATATTTGACAATACTCTTAATTTATGAGCATATAGTTCATATGGAAGTTAAAATTTATTTCCATGTCCAATTAATTCATAAAATTTCTATTAACAAAGTAAAAATCTTCAAATAATGACAAACATTGATGCTAGTATTTGATGTCAATATTGAGATATGTCACTTATATGAGTAAAGTGCATAGCCTTCTTATTGGGCGCGTAGGTTTCCACCATTACCACAACGTTCTATAATTGCATTGTTTGGTTACAAGATAGTATTCATTTTCTATTCTACATTGTTTTCAATTATCTAAATTTCCATGATTCATTAAGTTCCAATACAACTTGCACGTATGTGTATTCAATGTATGGTATGTGCAGTTATTTGTATTCAATAACAAATGACTGCACATATATCTCTAATGCAAAAAAGAGTAAGCATTTGGCAGTTTTTTATTTTCTCAGTCAACCTGGAATCATCGATGAGCAAAAAACATCATAATATTTGATAACACGTCTAATTGTTTCAAAGATCTAGAAGTAGAGAAAAATTATAAAAAAAAGTGGCATTGAAATTGAATCGAGATGGATCTTAGAAGGTTTTATATCAACTTGAGTGCAACTTCTTATGTACATGGTGTATCAATGAAATCAATGCGTTCACACTAAACATGATTAGCAAGATGCTCAATAACAAGACTTTGTTTGTTCAAGACAAGATGTTGCACTAACTTGCAAAATGTTTAAAATCGTTGCATACAGTTTATCTTCAAACATTTTTTGTCTCAAATGTGTGATTCAAAAAATATCTAAAGCGCATATCAACATTTAGCAAAAAGACGTGCAAAGAACATAATAATCCAAATCATATATAGGTGAAGAAACTTTATATGAAATTTATAAAACATTGATCATTGTAACACTCAAATGCATTATTAACATTGAAAAGTTGATTTCATAGCATCGCACAATATCATCAATACAACATATTCAATTGGGATGATATTGGCGTCAAACATAGCAAAGAAAAAATCACAACGATCTTCGGAATTAACATTTCAAGCTAGAAATTTATCACAAAAGTTATCGAAAAGAGTGTTTGTCCACGTGCTTTGAAGAATATTCCATAAATCAATTAAACATTAGAAATTATCTATGATCATCAAGTTAAAGTCTAGCAATACACATTGTTTTATATGCATTTGCTACGCAAGTATAATAAATTTGCCAAAAAATGAAATCGTATCTTCAATATACTTCAAGACAAGTGTTCATTTCATGTCTTTGCGATCAAAATCTTGGATCCATCTGGATTATTATAAACCTTTTTGCTATATGAAAACATGTGCATATCTTTTTTCCATCAAATGATATCGGAAATGTCAAACTCTTGGACAAGAAATCATTTGATCTTTTGAAGTACGCTATAGTTGAGCTTAAGTGAACCATCTAATATGAGTATGAAATCTAGCAAGCGAGTTAACATGCACATAATTTTCAATTTACAATTAATGATCATACACATCTACTTGGCAAAATCAAGTCAATTTCAGATTGTATTAAGAATAATATTATTTGACGTTATTTTTTCAAAGCCAATAGTCTTACTCTCAACTCCAGCATCATTTCTAATCATTGTTGTATTGTTATATGCAATTTGAACTATGAGCAAATCTATTGATATCAACCGTTGATGATTTGGTGTAAATTATGTAAGATTTGACTCAATGATTTGTTCTCAGCGTCCTGGATCTTGATGACACAAATATTGAGCAAATTGACAAAATCTAATTGAAATGAATGCTCTTGATGATACTGGCAACAAAATTTTAATGGTGTTAGCATTGTCAAGTATGTTTTGGAACATCAATTCAGCTGACGATCATGTTGTCAAGATCTCATTTTTGTTGACCGTCAATGTAACCATCTTTAGTTAGTTAAAACTAAAGTAAATCTAAATGTTGATATATATACTTTAGCGTGTACTAGTCATAGCTGCCACGTCAGCGATCCGCACGCTTGGTAGGTAAAGAGTGGATGTGTTAGTTGACAATGCCACATCAGCAATCCGTGTGCTTGTAGGTAAGGATTGAGTGTGTTAGTTGAGAGCGTCACGTCAGCGATCCGTGTGCTTGTTAGGGTTATCCGCCACGTCATTCATCCACTATGAGTGAGAAGGATGGTGGGGATAAGATCTTATCTCTTTGTACTTGTTGGTGAGAGCTATATAAGGGAGAGTTGAACCATTGTTGGGATCTTTCATCTTCAGAGTTTACGTTTCTATGTTTGAATGAATTTCTCTTTAAACCCTAGTGTTGCAGTCGAGAAAAGTAATCAGAGAATCACAAATTTGATCAATTTTTTTTTTGGAATCATGTTTTTTTATAAAACTTCAAAGTAATTTTGCTCTCCAAACTCCAAAGAGTTGGTTGTTTGTTGATCTATCAACAAAAATTTGAAAGTTGGATTTTCTAAACAATTAGCAATATGATTTGTTGCAAATTATGTTATTGCATTAAAAAATTTAACAATTTAGATAGAAAAACATTTATAAATGTTTGACCTTTTTTTTCTCACATTTATTTATTGTGATCATGAAAAAAATTATAATTTTAAAATTACACTTAAAACCATCATAATTGGATTATATCATGTCACAATTTTCATAATTGTTTAAGGGACATATTTGTTATCATAAATTAATGGTTTTGAAATTTAATGTATATGAGGGTACACTAGTCTATAGTCATTATTTTCTGCAAAAATGATAAATTTTTGCAAAATTATCTTATTCCAAGTTATATTTTTAGAAAATTATTTTAACAATGCAATAGCATATGAAAAATATTGTGATAATAATTTGATAGAAATCATTCATCATTTGATATTGACATAAACAAAGTTGATATAAAAATCTGAAATTTTTCATAATTATATTATATTATTCAACTAAAATAATTCTAATTTTATTTTGTGTCATTTTTTATTGTATTGAGTACTTCTGTATAAAAATTTTAAAATTATTTAATTCTTAATTAACGTAAAATCTTCATTTTCATGAAGTATTTGTGCAATCTATCTACAAAACATACAGATGCATGGGCATGTGAGACTAAATATAATATCTATACCAAAATGATTGAATTTGTTCAATTTGATGATAGTTTGGGTTTGATATCGGTAATTGTGGTTAGGCGCCAAACACGTGGGACGAACTATTCGTTCTCTCAATTCTCTTGCAAGTTTGGTGTTGAGATGATTTAGTCAACCTCCATACGGAAATGCGGGTCTGCACTAACAAACTCCATTTCCAGACAAATTATATCTCAAGAAATTATTCCGTATGGAGGTTGACTAAATCGACGTGTCCGCGGGGAAGTAAAGTTGGAAGACGAAATATCCTGTGAACTTTGCATATACCATGATCCTGTAGATGATGCTGTGATATTAATAAGCAGATTGGTTTCTAGGCTACAAGAAAAATGCATCAGTTTTCATGCTCGGGAGTAACCATGGAGGTATCGAGATAACAACTCAAAGAATGACAAGCCCATACCCAGGCTTGAGGAAGAGTTATTGGAGTCTGCCGTATAGCGGGCGCCTATCCTGAGTGTTGAAAGTGAAGTTGTATCGGTTCAACTCATTTTCAACGTGAAGAGTACTGCATCACATTCAGACGAGCCATTTCCCTTCTGGAATACGAAACTACCATCAAGTCGTACATGAATCGACCGAAATTACCACATTCCACATTTAGGATTGCAGAAGTTGACGCAGTTAAACGAAGTTAATGCGGTAAAAGAAGGGAGTGTCGTGCTACGCTCTGAAGATAGATGAAGACTTATTTTCTGAGAATCAGAAACTGACACGGACAATTCTCGTCTTCAGCATGATGATGATGAGGGCTAGCCTGGCATCACAACCTTGAGAATCAGCACGTTCTGTATACCACATGCGGAGGATAGCTTTCCTAGTCAGATAGTCCCGAGGCTAATTTTGATGATGGCCTCCTTCGAAACTATGCAAGAGGCAACACACGTAGGAGGCGAAAGTAGTTCCTGTGAGGAGCAGTAACTCTTAGACTGTACAAATTCAAGTTCTAAAGCGTAAAACGCACTCCACAACGATCTCTACAGTTGTAAGCCGTAGGGAGAAATCGCATCCTAAATTTAAGCTCTGATTCGTTGCTCTGACGGTCTCAAACAACAGTTTCCAGATAGATACGTGTCTGGAGCTCTTCGTATGTGTTTGCCAGATCCCAACTGCCGAGTTAAAGATTTTTGGTTTTCAGATTGATCGAACCGAACAACAACAAACAAGATTAGGGGAGCCCAAAACCAGTGACAGGACAGCGATGTTCACATCAGTATGCAATACATCAGCCGGTCTAGTGAAATACGGCAGAAGTAACACGATATTGGCCGAGATCAAAATATGAAAGTCGAGTTCACTTTAACATTATTCATCTTCTTGACTTTTATCGGTAAACTAACTTTATGCTGTATAAAGGACAGCCTAGTCTGTCGGTTGTACCGACAGTGTCATGTTAGACTGTTTTGACCTGGTGGAACGGGTATGGACCTTACCTGGTGATGCTCGATTCGCTGTGGACGAGGCCCATAATGTCTGTCCAATTTGTTTCGCAGCAGGTGTTTCATCTCAACTTTCTTATCCTTCGCCACGTCATCAGTCCATGATATGGTCAGACAAGGTCCCTCCAGGAGTGGTTGTGGTTGAAAAGCTCATTGGAGTTCCCATCGTATTACCTCTAGATTTCTGCGTTATTCATGCGCACTGTTCAGCTGAGACTGCTTGCCGAGCTGGTTGTGCGAAGCAAGATGGTTACTCATGGTGCCAGCTATGCTTTTCTCCTCGAGTTTCTCATTTTCCTGTTTATTATGATAACTTTAACTGATTCCTAAAATTGCAATATATATATATCTGAAAATCATGTAATCTAGTACTATCGCATGCTCTTGCTTCTCTACATGCTTTTTTCACGGGCGGCACATGGAGACAGCAAGTGTGCTTCTCTGAATAATCGTGTTGTTACCATCGACAGTTCAGCTAATTTAACGATCAAGGTTTCACCATCGTTTTTCTTCGTTTTTCTCTTCCACAGATTTACTCTGTTCTAGAAATATTGTTAGATTATACGACTCTTGCACCTTCCTCGATGTCTGTACCTCCAGTTTTCTTCCTAAGAGGGATTCCCCAGAAGTGATGTGTCGCGTCCAAATATCGAGGATAGACGATGAAACGGAGGCTTGAGCTTACAACCGGAATCCATAAAAAACCACATTTTGACGATTCAGCGTGAGGCTGATTCCTCCTGTTTTCTCCCTTCGCCTAAGTATCGAAACTCTCTACTAGTCTCGAGAGGCCAGTATACAGTCTATCTTGTTGCCTAAGAAGTAAATAAGTCGATAAAATTCCTCCTCAAAGACGTTCCCAAGTACGCACAGCAAATATATTTTAGTTGTGCCTCAGTGTTATAGAACTCACAACGTTACCATCACATGAACAGCATATTCACTAATAACGTAACACTAGAACTTGTCGACATGCCACTGTTCACAAGAAGTCAAACTCGAGGTCAACAAACGATATAGTGAAGAGAACCACAATGAGGAATTCAACGATGCTCCGGAACAAGTAAGAGTGACGTGCATAGTGCCCAACGGAGATATTATTTTATAATCATTTTGTGATACACTTATGCATAAACGGATCGTCCATCCCACACTTCTACACCAAGAAAGAATACTACGTGATATGGCAATGAACTGACCAAAAAGTTCTAAAAGCTGTGCTACGCTGCAAGATCGACTTTGTGGGCTCATACAACAGATAATGCATTCGCAGACGAGCCGGTGACCAAAACATTCGATTTTATTTTCGTGCAGCCAAGACTGCATCGTGCACATCATTGAATTTACAACTAGGACGATTTGCTAAGATACTGAAAGCGGGTAGGCGTAAACAAAATACAATACATACAACAGTCCTCCCAACCCACGATGACAAGATTATCAATAAAAGAAACTCTTTGGTACTGACCCAAGGGATGCAGGCAGAGCTCATTCATTGGGTTTGTTGGCGAGGAATGAGGCTATATAATTTATCAGCAAATTTGTTACCAAAGAACTCATCTAATCTTTTGTTTCCTCACAGTACAATACGAGTCCTCACTTCGGGGTCTGGGCTCGAAAAGAGCACAATCAACCAACGGAGCTAAAAATGTTCTCATCATCAATCACAGGAGCTAAGACTTTAGAAACATTCCTGACATGGAAATTTGAAAGGTGAAACGCCAGGTTTGTCACTGCATACAGAACTTGTCCTCACCATGACTTCCATATGAAGGACTTCCATGTAAATAGTGAGCGGCCGCCATCACGACATGGATGCATTAGATGAACAAGTCAACAATTCACCGTGAATGCACTAGTGGAACAATTCAGGGAAAGAATGATTCTAGACTTTATACTCCTTTTCATGTAAGCGCCAAGAAAATTTACGGTTAGAATAATGGGACAAGTGGCCTGCTTAGATTGCCCTTCCTACAACTTGCAGCCTGTTTCAAAGACAGCTCCAGAAGGTTGATGAATCAAGAAGAAAGCCTAAAGAAAGGAACGATGAGATCATGGATTTCGAAATGACTCTTGCCGGCGCAGAGGAAAATCATCACTGTCCATCTCATCCTCAGGACGCTTGAGACTCCCTGTTCCAATGGATAGGCGGTGAGTCATGGAGGGTTGAAGGCCCCCATAAATACCTACAAGTCCAAATCCCCACAGCGAGCTACAATCAGGGCCTACCCTAACCCTAGACCTTTAGGCAAAAAAAGTTCGCAGTACTATGTTACTTCAATCGAACTATAGACAGATCTTCTCAACAACGTTACAAAAATAATATAAATTGTAATATTTGTATGTCTTCTATGTACGCATCACTTGCCCTTTTAAGACTCAAAGAGTCGTGAGCAAAGTAATTACCGTAGGTGAACTTAACTATGCCATCATATTAACATTGCAATTAAATACATAAAAGCAGGCCCTAAGACATTTAAATATGCCATAAGGACGTTTCCAGTTAACCTAAATCACAGGCACGGACCTTCTAACATGCCGTTTGCAAACAAAATTTCACATCAACCAATATGGAATGAATTGAAACAACAAGCGAGGGAAGAAAGCAGTAGAGATTAATGAGGAAGGGGCTTGAACGAACTTAGTCCAGAAGAAGAATCTGTAATGTCCTTGGTTGCATGCAGCAAAAATGTGCCAGATAAGATGGTTACAAATCCACACATCTCAGTTATAATTTGTGTAGGAGTCTGATGATCCCAATCCTGCACAACGTTGAGTAGGTCAGGGGGTCAGTGTGCAGAACATGTAACGAGTTCGCTCGTCCGCTCTTAGTAAACACAAACGGACAAGCGGGAACTACCTTGAAGATTAAACTCTAGGAATGGCACATAACGAGCTTCAAGCCTGTAAATACATCCTCTAAGTATTGAAGGAAATAAATGAGAAGGTAAACAACATACCTTGAACATAATAGCGCTGGCAAGAATAGTCAATGAGGTAAACATCACATAGTAGATGGGTGAAACTACGGCCGTATTGAAGGTATCTAGGGCCTGCAAATACCCGAGGAGCACATCAGTCCTAACGAACATCTCAGCACCGGGGCCCTCCTACACATCGAGGCCTGTAATAGAGCCTAAGGCTTTCTCAAAATCCTCCAATCCTATCTTTGACAAATGATTGCAACTCTCGTAAGCCTTTCAGCAACGCTTCATTCACAAGCTTGATCATCCGAGGGTTAACATAGAAACGATACATCAATCACTCAAGTCAAACAATACCCTCCAATTAAAACACTAATTTTTACGTCTAGTTACATTCAGCCATCAACGAGATTTTACCATGTGAGAACCTCTATCGCAAGGTTTGACACGATGACGTGATGAAATTAAGACAACCTTAAACGTGATGAACTCAACAAACCGATGCAACTAATTAAGTCCGAGGGTTTGCTTACTTTATTGAGGTAGTTCATCTGGGTTAAAACACATGTAGCCACCACCATAGCAAATACAGAGGTCTGGGGGTAAACAAGCTGATTATCCCCTTGGAAAGTCAGCTTCAACGCAATGCCAAGAGCTTTTACACTCATCACCTGCAAACAGCAGCGTCTAGTTTAAACACTTTGTTCTACGCAGCATCAAATCGCTATCTGTCCGCGCTAGAAAATAAGTAAACTGTAACTCGAAACAAAACCCTGGATTTTTTAACGGTTCGCCTTAGAATTAGATAACCTTCGGAGAAACTTGAAATGCGCTTAACTTCATCATTTGAGGAGGACAGATGATTCTGTTTACACTTACCGACAGAGATCCCATCAGTGAGCATATTCCAACATAGACCATAACATGTGTATGTCCACATCGAGGCACAAAATGGAAGATCAGAAGTAATACCACCGCAACGACTGACAATGTATAAAGTAAAAATGCTGCCACAGCCAAAAAGATACAGAAGGTCATTATTCTCGTGCGACTCGAGCGATTAACTCGCCATGAGATCACAAGGGCAGAAGGCAGAGACACCAAGCCATATCTAATCTACAGGTGATTGATAGAGAACAGAAAAGACGCGAGGACAGGAGGACCAGGTAGTTCATAAGAAGAATATATATTTCATAGATGCTTTGACATGTTCCAAGCAGCTCACATAAGTCTGAAGGCAAATTCAAGACCAAGTTTGAAAATGATAAAACAACCAAACTGAAACATGGGCGTCAAGCCGTCCTCTAAATGTAAAATTGCTCCGGCAAGATGATTTACAAGGTTCAACACAAGGGTTCCACTTCAAGATAGAGACTACGATCTGCCACACCACACCTATCTCAGATACGTACTAGGACTCCCCCAGAAGTTTCCCGTCCACACGATGAGTGCCCAGAAGCAGGATCAAAGCAAGTCAAGAAACATCATATACCGCAAATTGTCAGAAGATGGTAGCTCTTCAAGAATCGGACAGTAGATTAGATGGAAGGAAGCGTACCAGGCTCTGTGGCTAAGCTCCACACATCCTTGACCGATACAATCACCCGCTCCTCGGGTGCATGGAGCACAATAGTCGTTGAGCCCACGATACACAGAATACACCCAACGATGCCGAACAAATGCAACCGCTCCTTCAAGACCACATGTGCCAATGCTGCACTGCAATGAACGAGGAGTGGAAGGATTCAGTGCCGGACCAGGTTCAGAATGACAACAAAAACATTCAAACCAGCAGGAACAAAACAATTCGGTACCGAAGGACTAAGGTAGAAGAATGCCAACCTAACAATGATGCTCAGGGCTCCAAGTGGCGTGACAAGAACTGCCGGAGCAAATGCATACGCCGTAAAGTTCGCGACCTCTCCAACGATCACTGCGTGAAAACACCCCAGTTTCAACCAACCACTATTTTGAATACAGTACCAAACCTCAGGCTCACGCAAAAGCATACCACGAGGCCAAACTCACGGCAAGCAGGGATAAGATGAAGATATTTAGGCGACTTACTTGTGACCATACCCGTCCACCATAGTGGCTCGTATAGGTAAGAATACCCTCCAACTCCTGAGTGACAAATAATTCAAGCAAATTCAAAACTCTCCAGTGAGTAAAAAGGTGAAAATTCTTCAAATGTGCCGTCATCACAAAATCAAGCAAATTTGATCGGTGCCTTCGGTTGTCAATGTGACCAGGGCTAAGTCGTCCAATAAATGTGCGGTAAATTCATCAATGCCATCTCCAGCAATCGAACTGCTCGACAGCAGACTTGATCTCTTTCACAACCTCGTTAAACCTAATATTTCGTAGGTTACCTGCTCTAACCCCAGATGCACCAGCGCGCTTGAGACCTTTCTTCTTAATAATGAAGCTGGAACCGATGAAGAGGCTGGAGCAAATAGCCAGGGCCAGCCCCCTGTGGTTATCATCCACTGACATGGGAGGCCCTGCCCTGCCTCCCCGATAAGGCTAAGGAAAGGCCTGAGCCTGTGAAATATTACGCAATTTGTGGTAGCATAACATCCCATCCTCTCTGCTGCTCTGCCATTCCCAATCGACTTGAGCCCCGTAGTCACAAAAATGCACGTCCCTTCCAACCTTTCACGATCTCTTTTCCTCTGCGACTGGTTTCCGGTAAATAACACGCTGCCTGCCTCAAGAAAGAGCTTGCAAAACCCAGACTATATCATAGGCTTTTAGTGAGGTTTAGTGCTTCCACATGATTTCCAGATCCCTGCCAACCACGAGCGCAATTCCCACCAACATGTCTGAGTCAGTCGATTGTTTCACATCATCCCGATTCGAAGACTTCAAATCAACTACTGATGCAAGGAGTTACGTCCGATATGCGCAGTATGACTCTCTATGTGAGGGTTCGGACTGCACAAAAATCCTTGCTCTCAATATGGTCGGCACAATAAGAATTCATGATGAGGCCTACGTCCACCGAAGGCAACATAACAACCCCGAAACAAGTAGACCGTCCCTACACCTACCTCTCCTGGGATTTGACTCGCGGATCGCCGGGACACTTTCCTCGAGACACACGATATCTTGAGTTGCAAGTTCAAATCCCTTTTCGTCCAACCCAAGCATTTACTTTTCAGATCTTCGATCCTTGAACATCCATCTACATTCGAAGTACGTAAGACTAAGGTGGCCGACCAGCATAGCCTCTCTCTCTCTATCTCTGCCTGCCCTTTAGATTATCCACCTTAGAACTCAAGAACCATACTTCTACCACTTATCAAGATCTGTGTATGAAAACATATACCTGGAACAACACTACTCCCGGGTCTCACAAGTATACTCTACACGGATCAATTCTTCGTCCTTCTTCTCGTCTTTCCTCGCACTTACGCCCTCCCGTCCCTGCCATCAATCTTCGTCCTACGAAGACAAAAATCGTCGACTCCTCTCGAGTCACGTCAAAGGCACTCGAGCATCACCCACGCAACGCGACGCGAAGATCTGTCCTGTGGCGATGATCGACCAGCTTCTTTCCCAAATCGTCAGATCTGCTACATAAAAGACCCGGTTCAAAAGAAGACCAGAGCAGAAGCGCAGGAGAGGTAGTAGGAGGAGGAGGAGGAGGAGGAGGAGGAAGAAGAAGAAGAAGAAGAGGAAGAATAGACAAAGAGAAAGGAAGGAGACAACAGACCCCGACGACGACCAGCACCCAGCAGCCCAAAAGCCCCCAAGCCAAAGCCAGGCGACTCCCGCAGCAGCAGCAGCAGTGCAGAGCGGGAGATGGTGGGATCAATCAATCGCTCACTCGCTCGCCCACTCACTCGATCAATCAATCAGTCAATCAAGCAATGAATCGTTGGGAGAAGGACATGGATTGCGCTCGAGCAGAGCAAGAGCAAGAGCAGCAGCAGCAGCAGAGCAGAGCCGAGCCGAGCCAAAGCGCCCTGCCTGCCGAAGCCAAAATCGCATCGCCTCCCCTCCGCTAGGTTTAGAGGCAGGCAGCGCGAGAGCCTAGTACTAGCCGCGCCTTTGTCATGTGGAGACGGCAGGCGGGGCAGGCACGCCCGGGCAAGCAAGCAAGCGCAGCAGGAGCGGACAAACCTGGCAGGATCCTCAAGGGGTGTCCGTTAGTCGTCGCTTCCTTCCCCGGGTCCTTTTACTTCCTCCCCCGCGTCGGATCCTCCAACGCACGGCCGATATTTCTCCGGCATTTCCCTTCCACTCGGCCGTGTCGGAAACTCCAGCGGCAAGAATCGCAGCCATCGCTCGCCGGCAAATGCCAGGCAGGGCAGGCTGGCCCGGATGGATGGATAGACAGCCATTATCATCATGCCCTTGTGGACTTGTCGTCGTCGTCGTCGGCGTCGGAATCATGCCGGATGACTCGATGGACGGACGGATCGTGGCCGAGTCCGTCAACTTCGTGTCACGTTTTCCACGGATCTGACTGCAGACGGAAGTCCGTCGTCACTTTTACCCTCCCCGCTGGTGCCCGAGGCGTTTGAATTCGATGTTGGATATTCCGACTTTCAAACTTAGATTCCGAGAATTACCTTTCGTGTTTACTTTGTTGATAAATTTGGATCCCCCCAATTCAAACCCAAGATGATCGCACCTTCTATATTAAGCTTCCCTTGCCTTGCTTCTGGATGACTCTATATGTTTCTTCTGTAGTAGAGGAAGGTGCCATGTTCGTAGGAGGAAAAGGTTTGCGAAGATCCCTTGGAGTCGCATGAAAACAAACGAGTTACTAGTGATGGACACGATAGTATCATAATGGCAAGTGTACATGTATTGCATCTACTATATTCAAGTCGGCAGTTTACCCACTACAAAGATTATCACCTACTCTGATTGTTGTATGTCTGTAACATTAGGGAGCGATCCAACTAGTGCGATGGAAATGAGTTCTTTACATTAATTCAAACAACAAGCTATTGAGGGTTGATGTCTCATAACTTCCATGTTTACGTTTATGTTTAAATATGTCAAAAATGGACTCTTCATTCACATCTCATATGGTAAGATAAACAAACCCTTTTATGAAATAATAACACTTGGATTCTCATATCGTATTCTACTCATAACACATAAAGCTGGAATCTACGAAGTGCATGATGAAAGTCATATATTTTGATAAAATTTTAGAAATGAGCTTTATGCCAAAATTGGATGAACATGCCCATGGGTTTTGGGTGACACTATATATTTTTTTCCATGGGTGCGCACAAGTATTCTAAGGACAATGTTTGTCAAGATACAACCAAGAATTGGTGTAACGGGTTAATACACATAACACAATTGGCAATTGGCCTACATTTGAATAGTATGGGTGGGCACAGGTAATGCTATGGGTGGGCTTACGTGGCTGTTGATGGTTATGGTCTGGTCTGAGTGCAGATTTGAAGTAAAATGGTGGCCTCTTCTTTAACCAATAAGTATAGGGAATAAATAGTCATTTTATGTTCAGCGTGTAGTGCTTTTTTTTAAAAATTGAAAAGCTTTATTTCTTAATTTTTTAATCTACTTATTATTTGAATACAGATATAATTGAGTCGAGATCAGGTAAATTGTTTGTGCATAACTCAATTGAAATCTTATGAAAACATCATGAATATCTGACTGAAAAAAATCAAAATTTTTGAGGATTGACATTTTATAAATAAGTATTGTATTCTTGAAGTGAAACATCAACTGTTGTGATTTTGGAGATTATCATATTTATAATATAGTGTATCATATTTCACTATCGTCACTTTTACGCTAATAAAAACTTCGATTCCTCTCATGATTCTCAATTCTGTGAATTCCTCCCTTGGATTAAGTGATACTTCGTTGTAATCTAATATATTCACATTCACATGATTATAGCACAAATAACACACAAGCGTGTTCAGTAAAGTCGCTTTTACTTTACTGGTGCAGCTCTCCCCGTCAAGGAGAGAGCTGCACCCTTTTTAATTTGCTCTTGTTTGGTTCGTGTGCCGGGTTCGAAGAGAGTTAACATGAGATTGACATTATATTCGAAGTCATGTCTTTTATATAGAGAGAGGTGGATATGAGTGTTTATTATTCCAAACATGCTGACTTATTAAGTGTTTAGAGTGTAGTACATACATTCATCAAATATATTTGACTACTTGATTTTATTGAAAAGATTGCAATGAGTCGTAATTACTCAATAGTCCTCTTGTTAGTACTACTGAAACCTCTGCAATGACTTTTCGCTTTTTGCATCCACTCATGAGAAGATGAAGTGTCAGAGAGTTTTTGGATTAGTAGACCACATCCTATAATATGTTGATCCAACAAATTTTGTTCATTCAATACACTGCGCACAAAAATCATCATCAAGCTGTTCATAAGTAGTCTATGAGCATATGTGACCCATAGTGATTTTAAAAAGTTATTGCAGGTTAAATTGCCAGTAAAGAAGGTTCCTATTTTTTAGCACTGTATTGTTTGACCTCTTTCAAATTACTAGTAAGAAACGTTAAACTAGATATAATGTGTTTGACATAAAACAGTTATAAGAAATTTTTATTCTATGCATCACCTTTGATAATTAGCATATTTGCTGTGGAAGAAATAGATTTTCCCATTTCTGTGAGGTTTTTTTCCCATAGATTTGGTAATCATGTCAAATCTGTAACTTTGAACACCAAGTATGAGTTGGAGTAATTAAAGAAAAATACAGTTTAAAAGAAGAAAACATGTAAGATTAAAGGTCTTCTGATTTCCAGCGGGGGATTTATTCACTTGTTCCCATTGTGATCCCCCCAGAAGACGCGCCGCTTTTTCTTCATTCAGATCACATATATGTCCACTAGAAATAAGAAAGAATACGAATGTTATATTTAGTAAAACACTATTCTTCTCCTTTTGACTTACATTAAATTTCTTTTAGGTTCAAGGTTTGGTCATCTTAGAATATATCTACTTTAATATTTAGTATCAGCATATTTTATACTAAACATGCTCAATATGGACACCAAACGCAATAAAATGTTCAATTCGAAAGTATAATATGAACATCAAGGAATAAAAAACAGTCGTCGTTTGAGAAAATAAGCCCAAGGGATAGTATTAATTTTAAACGTTTGGAGGTCGTTCGCACCCTGATGTTGCCCTCCTCACTCGGGGACATCGATTTCTCCGAAGTAATTAGTGTACGACAAAAGATAATTGATTTCGATATGTCAAATGCAAATTCGGGCGATTAATACCATACAAAAAAGTGTCCATTTTAGTGAAATAGAGGCCGAAAAATACACGAGCCTGGTTTTTGTCCTTTTCGAATACCTTACATCACTTGCTATCGAAGGTTCAGAATTGCAATGCGAATGTTAGAGAAAAAAAAGAAAAAGAAGAAGAAAATCCACGCGATCATGGGCTCTCGTACAGACAAAAGGTCATGGAAAAGGACGAGGAAAGTCAGCAAATTGCGAACGCACACACCTCCTACAGAAAGTCAGGGTTTCTGTTGTCGTTTGACCTGCGCTGCGTTCAACGAACCGCGAAGATGATGCTCTAAAGGGCCCTTGACTCCGAGAAAGTTCGACGTTTCTGGCCAGGGGTAGTACGGGGAGCTAAATCCGTGGCTGCTGTTCTGTCTGTAGTCTTTGTCACACTCGTCAGTCCGACCGAGGGTTTTAAACCCCGTTTCCCACTGCCTTGTCGACCGTGGATGAAGGAGCTTTTGTGTACGGCCGAGTACTCGTCATCGAAAGCAGAGCGAGAACTAAATGTCTGGTGATTGAAGATTTTGGATTCTTCTAGGGGCCGGAAGATAGACGAGGGAACAGGTTCTCTTAACAAGTTTTATGAAATCCTAAAGTCCCAGATTCGGGAGGGAGACATTCGGAGGAGTATTTATTTGGTGATTTTCCAGAGTTTTGGGAGCAGCAGGAGTTTGAGATTCTGTCAGCTTAAACCCTAAACCTTGCGTGGAATTGCAGACTTGCTCACGAGCGCAACCATGATAGCCTTAGGGTTCGAGGGCTCCGCAAACAAAATCGGAATCGGGATTGTGAAATTGGATGGCTCAATTTTGGCCAACCCACGCCACACGTACATTACACCTCCTGGTCATGGATTTTTGCCGCGAGAGACAGCTCTTCATCACCAGGAACACGTTCTTCCTCTGGTACATGCAGCATTGAAGGAAGCGAACATCACACCGGACCAAATAGATTGTATATGTTACACCAAAGGACCTGGAATGGGAGGTCCTCTACAGGTTGCTTCTATTGTAGTTAGAATTCTGTCGCAGTTGTGGAAGAAACCTATTGTGGCGGTTAACCACTGTGTTGCTCATATTGAGATGGGAAGAGTGGTCTGTGGAGCTGAGGATCCCGTGGTACTTTATGTAAGTGGTGGGAACACTCAGGTCATTGCGTACAGTGAGGGACGATACAGAATATTCGGAGAAACTATCGATATTGCGGTGGGAAATTGCTTGGATCGTTTCGCCAGGGTTTTAAAAATCTCCAACGATCCAAGTCCTGGTTACAACATCGAACAGGTAAATAAAGGCTTTCTTCTTCTGACTCTCTGAGTATATATCTCGGACACGAGCTGCATTTTTTCTAGTGAAGTCTCTGTATTCAGGTCGATGAGTCGGACTTCTCTATTGAACTGCCGAAATTCTGACTAACTTCATGAACGACGTTCACCCATTTGAGTTTCAGCTTGCGAAGAATGGGAAAGAGTATGTCGAGCTCCCATACGTTGTCAAGGGAATGGACGTCTCCTTTAGTGGAATTGAGAGTTTCATCGAAGAAACCGCAAACCGGAAGCTGGCCGCCAACGAGTGCACGCCAGCAGATTTGTGCTTTTCTTTACAGGTTGTTTATCTCTTCTGTTCATTGGTTGCTACTTTTCCTCTTCCAACAGTTCTGTATCAACCCTATCTACCAATTCGTCGCTGCGTTCGTAGAAGACGACGTGGAGCCACAAGTGTCGATAATAAGTGCATGTTTCTCCTAGTTGGAGTTGTATCGGAAGACGCTGGAGACTGAATCTTCAGCAGTGTACTTAAAATGCCTGCACACTTGTTTATATATCCTGGACTTGTTTGATTGCTTGCAGGAGACTGTGTTTGCCATGCTGGTCGAAATTACGGAGAGAGCGATGGCGCACTGTGATAAGAAGGATGTGCTGATAGTCGGCGGTGTTGGCTGTAACATAAGGTTACAGCAGATGATGCAAATCATGTGCGAAGAGAGAGGCGGGCGTCTGTACGCAACAGATGACAGGTACTGCGTCGACAATGGTGCCATGATCGCGTATACTGGTCTTCTAGCGTTTGCGCACGGGCATGCCACACCGATGGAAGACACCACTACAACCCAGAGATACAGAACAGATGACGTACTGGCCGTATGGAGGGGAGTAGAGCATGCTCCTGTCGGGAAGGACGATGCTGTCAATGGTGTCAGTGGAAAATGCGGAGTTGCTGACCTTCTTCATACTTCGGACACAGCAATAGCTTCCAACTGAGAAGATTACTTCAAGGGATTGAAGTGTTTGTGCTTAGTTCGAGGAGTTACTCAAATCGGCTATATCGCGAATTGCAGCAATTTGTGGCGTGAAGGCCGATTTATTCTGTGTCAAGAGATTCGAGTACTGCAATTTTGCTCCCGCAGTTTCCTCACGTAGATCTACAAGTGACCACCCGCTACCATTTGTCTGACAACGGATAAGAGCAAGCTCGACAGGATAGATATTCGAAGCTGGATGAATCAACACTGCTCGCGAAAGGCGTTCTGGTATTCAGTTTTGGGTTTGGTGGCGACTAGTGTTGGGTTTAAGTTCCTGAAGTAGCTTATGTACCAGAGCCTCACCATGTCTTTGTCCGTGGAGATGTTAAGAGAACCACCTGCATCACGGAGATCAATTCGGACAGGTGCGAGTACTCGCAAGTGTTGAATAAAACGTGAAAGGGTATTAACTGTATATCTCGAATGGATTGAATTGTTGCGAGTTGAAAATGCCGCGAGCACATGATTTGTACCTGTCACTCCTCGGTGTTCCTCTTGCTTTCCATTCAACCGTCGCTTTTTGCATTCGAGGGTCCGAAAGTAGTTCAATAGGCACTTATTGATCCGAGGGTCGTCAGTGAAAAGTAAGAGGAAAGATTTGAGTCTCTTGAAACGAGCCACTGTAGAAGGTTGGCTCAGATGTGCCCGAAGGGGCGACTACAAGGTGTGTCACTTATCCTTTCCATCGGTAGACATAAAGAGCCACATCACATTGTCACATTCATTTTGGAGGTCGAAACTTTCTGAGACGCATACAACCACATGTGCGACTTCAGAAATTCATGACTGCGCACCAAAAGTGCCCTCTTGCTTCACAATTTCTTGATTCGTGTGAGAAGACATTATGTTGTACAATAGTTCGTGTCCCTTCCCTTCTGAAGGTCACTTGAACTTCAACTGTCACTACTCCAGCAAAAGGATTGAACTAGTCATGTGGACAGCACAAACACTCTCACACACCAGGATGATTCTAGGAGTTGGAGTGTCTCACGTAACCCACTGGCATTACTCTAAATGGCAAGAGTAAATTCCTTGATTTCCCTTTCGTTTGGTGTAATCCATTGTGTAAAACGAACACTAAAGTTCGTAGCTTAGCTTTCAATGTCCTCCAATCACATGAGCAAGAAAATCTTCAGCTTTCATGAACGTGGGCTTCGAAAGCAGGATGATTAGGAGCCTTTCTGGAGCTGAGAGGTTTTCAATCGTACTCAAGCTCCTCAGGTGTCACCGGCCGCTTCATCGGAATTACAGACTTCTTGTCAACATCCCTTGGCATGGCTTTTCTCATATCTGGCGATCGCAAACCACAACGAGAATTTTGAGAACCCACAGACGCGCGAGATTGCAGCAGCTTTGAAAGACTGTCCACCTATGGGTAGTCTACCTCCAATTTGCTTCCCGAAATATCATCTGCAGTGCTAGAACGCAAGAGATTATGCTTCACATCACACAATCCAGTACAGAAACGATTTGGTCATACCTAGTCCATCCTCCTCTCCCGAATAATAACGCAGGACTCGTCGGTATATCACATACCCCAGCTGCATCTCCCACAAAATCACAGATTAAACAGATGTCCTTTAGAATATAGAGAAGCAATCGACTACGAAGCCAACAGCCCTCCTGTCAGTCTAAGTTCTTGTCGAATGCTGAAATTGTGACATCCAGCATTGTCGAACCTAAAATTTGTGAACTGAGTAGAAGTTACCTTCTCATACATCTGGATCGCAGGTGCGTTTGATGCTCTCACGAACAAGTCCACGAAGAAGGCATTATACCTGCAAAGCACCGTAAAATTAAAATAAGGTACATAAACACAAGGAGCTAAGAACGGATTCGCTCGAGGTTCAATTTTCTCGATAAATTTAGATCACTGACGTACCAACGAGCAAAGTTTCTGAGAGCTGGAAGATGCAAACGGGAGACAAATTGAACACGGTAGTCTACTCCACTTACGTTTTCTCAGTAACTTCTTCAAGTATGTTCATAAGCTTTTTGGCCAATTGTTGCCTTCTGTATTCTGGTGCCACTGTTACTGCGGTCACGTGACCATGCCAGGACTCTCCTTGACCTTCAACCTTTCCCATAACTACATGATGATTTCTTGCGTTAGACGGAATCGAGAAAGTGGTAAATATGAAGTAGATAAAATTCGGATTTTTCGTTCTGTGCACCTGAGTGATGACATAGACATACAGGCGAGAACGAGAATAAAATGTACAAAATCACTTGAGTGATCAATTCGAGACACGAGAAAGAGAAACATACTGTATCCCATAATGCGACCGTTTGGGCCTTCAGCTACGTGGAAGTAATCAGGCCATCTCGCCAGGTAAGTGAGATAAAATGGCATATTAAACTGCAAACCAAGAAGAAATTGCGAAGAGTGAGCCTTAATCTCGAGCAAGATTTGCGATCCATCTCCGCCAGGCGACATTCCACACGACATTCCAAACCAAACTATTCGTTCCACCTTCTCATCCATCCAAGCCTTCAAAAAATGACAATTTTCAAAAAAGAGCACAAACTTCCGCGCGGAAAGAAAATCGGAGAAACGCACGGTCTCTGTCAGATGGTCCAGATTGACATTGGTGAAGCGCAGAAGATCTGCACAACAAAAGCGCCGGATCGTCGTCATCGACACCTGTGACTCCAATTCAATTCACCTCACTTCACTTCTTCACCTCACTTCACTTCTTCACCTCACCTCACCTCACTTCACTGCACATCACGTCACTTCAATCGGCCAACTTCTGCTCTGCTCTGCTCTGCTCTCTGTTCTCCCAAAATCTTTCAATGTTTTTCCACAAACCTAATCCACCGTTTGACAAGTACCATGAGGAAAATATAAGAACATGTTCTTGTAAATAGTGGTGGATCGTATTAGAGCATACATGACCGTACATGCGCTTCTGCTGTCGGTGTGTGCAACGTTTGGGAAGTCCACCAAGGGGAAGATAAGAACGTGTTCTCGAAAATAATGCTTCAATATAGTAGAGCATAAATGGCCGTACATGCGCTTCTGCTGTCCCTGTGTGCAACGTTTGACAAGTCCCAGGAGAGAAGATAAGAACATGTTCTTGTAAACAATAGTGGATCGTATTAGAGCATACATGACCGCGAATGCGCTTCTGCTGTCGGTGTGTGCAACGTTTGGGAAGTCCCCCAAGGGGGAGATTAGAACATGTTCTTGTAAATGATGCTTCAATTTATTAGAGCATGAATGGCCGTACATGCGCTTTTGCTGTCGCTGTGTGCAACGTTTGACAAGTCCAACGAGTGCCACGAGAGAAGATAAGAACATGTTCTTGTAAATGATGGTTCCGTGTACGAGAGCGTGAATGGCCGCACATGCGCTTCTGCTGTAGGTGTATTATATATGCACAGGGAGGGAGGCAGAATGTAATCAGTGCACGGATTGGTCGCCATGGCTGTTAACCACGGTTGCTCTGGGGCACGGGCCGGTGTCTTGTCATCATTTGCGGAGAGTTCTGTCTTCGGATTGCCGAATCTTCTGTGGAGCTCATCCCGCTTCCTTCGATTGCGGGCGTCTGCTTCAGAGGTATCTCGAATCCAAGTCTGCAAATCATCAAATATGCTCATCAAATATGCTCAAAGTCTAGCTTTGTAAATTTGCTGCAGAACTGGAATCAAGCGATATTAAAGTATTATATTATCAGTATTACAGCGCCAATTCAATTCAGTCCTGACTTGTTCGTCTCAATATTCTCGCTCTTTCGGCAGAAGAAGAGCCTTGGGCTGACAGTCTCCAATTCGATCATCAAGTCTACTTCGGAATATGAGAGACCTCACGTGATCGTGACCGGTGGCAATAGCGGTAGGATGAGCAAGAAATAGCGGTCCACTTTTCCGCTCAGACGTTGGAATTAGACCACTCGTCGATCACCCTCGGCTTTACTCAGTTCTCAGAAGTTGTGTGGAAACTGTGTTACGTGGATTGTAGTTTCTGCGCCGTGATAATTTTGAAGAGGAGCAAGTTGTAGAAGAGACATCTGGAATCTATTATGAGCTTCATGGCGTATTCTTTCGTTTATTTCCACAGGTATAGGAAAATCAACGGCATTGGAATTGGCCAGGCAGGGAATGGTGGTCACACTAGGTGAGCTGGATTCCTCACAGCTCTATTGCTCTTGTCCCTTATCGGAGGAAGCACTCTATAAGCTCCAACTGTGTCGATCAATCCTGATATAATGAAATTCACCGCATCTGAGATTCTTGTCTTCGGCGCTCGGATGATAGCGTGCAGGAATCAGAAAGCTGGCAGCGATGCTGCGGAAGAAATTGCACGCGTTACCAACAACAAGAATGTGAGGTAAATCCCGCGATTGTTTGAAGGTATTACCAATGAACAGAATGTGCGGATTGCATTATGTGAAGGGACATTCATTGCGTTATTCTACTCGTCTAAGTTTACGAGCCTCATCGTGATAAGTTTAGCTGCCGAGGTCATAAAGTTCTTCTGTCAGATAGAATTATGTTCCAGCAGCCAAGAGGTTGTTCGATGGAATTGACTAATTATGCTCTCAAACAGGTCAATGACTTTGGATCTCGCCTCTCTCGACTCGGTGAGAAAATTTGCAGCTGAGTACAAGGATACAGGACTGCCTCTTAACGTCTTGGTGAGTCTTGTGGCAGAGTCGTTCAAAAGAATCTAGGACCTTACTCTAAAGCCTACACCGTGAAATATGCTCAACGGATTTAGAATTCGCCTTCGCTTGATGCTTAATTCGAGTACTTTCGGTCTCGATAGTGTGAAAGCTGGAGTATGCTGCTATGTTTTATCGCTAACTTTCAGAAAGCCACAATTACTACATGATAATGGCTGATTATCTGGCGCACATCTCATCCGTCAGATGCTCTGTACAGGTGAACAATGCTGGCATAATGGCATGTCCGCAGTCATACACCCAGGATGGGTTCGAGTCTCAATTCGGGGTAAGTGAATCTTCTCAGGGACTGTGGGAATCTCCTCTTCTTGCGGTCTCGAAAATTTAGGAAGTTACGGAGATCATACTAATCATGGCAGTAACATGGTGCCTCGCCATTTTTCTGCTTTAAGGCCCTTGTATGACGACGTCAAGAAAATCAGTAACAACATTCAGTGTTGTTCACTATTTGACATGAGTTGGGAAACATGAATCGAATATGTCTAGTCTAAATATAATTTGTCAATTTCGAAGGTTATATAAATATCATATTCTGACGCTAATGGAGACAGGGATAATGTAACAATTTACTCGGGAAATCGTTAATAACTTGCTCAAGTATATTCGAGGTGCTGACTATCTGTGGCTGTACATCAGGTTAATCACTTGGGACACTTTCTTCTGACCGCTCTGCTCATGGATAAACTCGTTTAGAGTGCTTCAGATAGGTTTGTTCTGACGTGCCCCTATCGATGGGTTTAGCATTTTCACCTTAACAGAGTTCTGATCGAGAAACGTATGAGCTGACTGGTTTGCGCTGATTTCAGAGCCAAGTCAAGAGTTGTGGTCGTAGCCTCTGCTGCTCACTACCTTGGAGACATTGATTTCAACGATCTCAATTACAGAAAAACACGAGGCAAGCATGTGAACCATCTCTTCAAAGCAAGTCTTACAGTATTTCAGTCGCCAGAAAGTAAGGTCATCCTTTTACCGACATGATAGACTTATGTTGCAGTTCTTGACCTCTTTTCTATTCTTGCATTTGGGTTCTCAGCCTACAACAACTGGGGAGCCTACGCCCAGTCAAAACTTGCAAATTGCCTCTTCTCCTTGGAGCTAGCAGAGCGGAGCAAGCGGTTGGGACTACCAGTCATATCAAATTCTATGCACCCTGGTGTCGTCGATACACAGGTACAGTGCTTTGATGAGATTCCACAATGCAGTCTCACTATTCTCGAAACTCCTACCAAACGATAAGCTTCTAATACATAGGTCTGGTCAGTGAGGAGACTAAGTGCACATCCAACGAGGAGCCCGAGTGCATCTATCTTGATTCCAAGTTGTGGTGGTCATGATTGCAGCTGATTCGTTACGTGTTCCCACAAGGTCTTAGAAAAGAAGGTGCATCTGAGTCGACCGGTTTGGACTTCTTGAGGCCGCTGATCATGAAAGTCTTCGGGCTTCGAGTAAGTCTTGCTTTCTACTTGTGTGCAGTGTCCGAGATCTTTCTCAATGCAGGGAGCTTCAACGTGGATGAAACAGAGAAACCTTAGGATCTTTTCAATGTCTTGATTTCCGCAGCTCGTTGTATGCACATAATGGATGACAGTCATGATTTATGTGTGCTCTCGGGTTCATGATGAACAGACAGCTGAGGAAGGAGCGTCTACCGCCATATTCCTAGCATCCTCGCCAGAAGCGACCAGATCAGGCTTGTATTATGAAGACAGCAAACCCTTTAATGTCGGTTTCATTAAAAAAAGCGTGGACCAGCAGCTAGCCTCTCGCTTATGGGATGTCAGTGTGGAACTCACAGGGGCCGCCGATGCTCTAGCTGCTCTGAGTCTGTGCAAAGATTCTCCTCTTGTGAGGAAGTAACATATTCCCCGATTCAATCGACCCTATTTTTGGTCCTTATTCTTAGTGCCGAAAACAAATAAAACTCCCCTTAGCCCAGCTCTGACAAGATTGGAGACTTGATCTAGGACTGGGAATTTTTTCAGGTTCTTGTCATGACATATATTTCTTCCCGATCTCTCTTCTGACTGAACATCTGCGTCAAACGGGCTACGGGCTGGGCGTCAGAATCATGTTCAGATCTATGTAATTCCTGAGTCATGATTGCGTTATTAGATTGATCTTGCAGCCACATTTTTTTTAGACTACGAGGACGGTCGAGGAAAATGTCATGTGCATATACCACAGTCCGATCTCCTTGTGAGACGTGACTACATATTTCAAATGTATTTTCCCAAGATTTGTAAAGCTAATTCATTAACAGCAACTTGATCGAGACGTCTGTTTCAGTTTGTAAATGAGCTCACTGGCGTCACATGACGATTTTCTCCCAAGGAAAACCGTGTGCATGGACCTGTTATTATTTTACATGACATTAAAGTACTGTATCAGTCAGAAGCCGCCATATGTGACGAGATGTATGTTTGGAGGGAAACGCGAAGATAATATACTGAATCAAGGGAGAGATTCGCAAGGCATGCCCAAGGGGTTGACGGTAGGGGCATCTAATGCAGATGATGTCGATGGAGCCGGAATATTTGGATTCCTTGTTGAACGGGGTCTAAGACAAGAGTGCCCGCCTGAATCCATACTGTCAGTGAGAGCAGCCTAGCCCATAATAGCAGATGTAAAATACATATTAGAGCAGGGAGAATTACAGGATGAAGAATTGGGAGACGGTCATGGTCGATTAGTGTCATCTGCGAAGAATAATCCGCAGATGACATTGGGCTTTTGGCTCAGAGGAAACGTGGTTCAAACAGGTGAGGCAAATGGTGGCCAAATACCAGGCACGGCGCCAGATTCAATTTTAGGGTGTTTTTGGTACTACTGCTGGACCACCGGACTGTATCAGAAACAGGGTCTGCATGATGATGGAAGACTGAGAAATTCAGAAATACCTGGGGGCACCCAGAGTTGGTGGTGTCTCCACGTCACAGAAAGAGGAAGTCAGCATACATAGAGATCTAAAAGCTAGGATAGCAAACTGGGAAACCTGATTCGTCTCATACGATGCAAGAGCTCTATCACAACAATTTGTACTGCAAGCACACCCTACCTTCTTTGCCTCGTACTTAGACATCTCGGAAACAAGCCTCAGGAGAATTGACCAGATACACACATGTATGCTACGGGAATACAAGTTGGAAGCCATGAAACTGCGGTGCTTACGAGGGGAATTCTTTTACAGACCCACGGCTGAAGGAGTTGAAGGAATTGGACGCGCTCAGGACGCTAATAGAGGTAACGAGGAATACATGGCCTCTCTACTCGATGGAAAGGGTGGATCTTGGGACAAGCGTTCGAAGAAATCGTCAGGCAGTGCCGTGGCAATGATGACGGAAACATGGTGATGAGACAGTGGCGGACCTTATCAACACTGACCAACCGATGTACATCCACACTAACGAATGTCGAGCAAAGCTGATCAAATGTTGGAAGTGAATAAGTCGAGAGAATGTACTGGAACCCGGAAGGGAGATCACCCGGAGGGACATCGTGAACCTGATCATTAAAGAGAAAAATGCAGAACCGAGAAGCAACAAACAGGTGAAAAGGTCGTGTGGGTTCACATTGCTGTACATTGCGAGACCAAAGTGGCCAGATAAATTTGGAGGAAATGGGTTCAGGGATGAATGCCAATTCTCGCACATGATAGACTCCATTGTAGTCAGGTAGAAGTACCTGGGACCGTCACCAGAAAGGGCAATCAGGACAAAAGTTTGCTGACACCTATGGCTCAACATAAATCAGCTCCTCTTATGCCAAGAGGTAGAAGCAAGGATGAACATTCAAGATTGTCATCGACAAGATGTACTGCTGTGGAATAGCATCAAGATTAAAGAAAAGTATGAACTCAAGCTTTTGCACTGGAATAGAATAGAATTAAGTGAAATCAATCAATTATTCTGCTGTCTGTTAACAAGAATAAGTGATTAACTTTTAAATCCAGTGTTGATTCGAAATTCAAAGAGGAACATCTAAAGTAGACAGCAGGTTCATTTAACTATATATTGTCGCTGAACTGTCTCAGTTACGTCCTTGTATCCTTACGACTTGTTGATAAAAAAAACTAACGGCTGCGCTATAAGACTGAGTCCTCGACCAAGGTTTCATTACTATGCCAAAAATGATATTGTAGTCGAACAAAGATCTAGGCTACCTATCATGCCTCCCAAGTGAAACACTGTTTCCAGATCCGGTCTTACAGTCATGCCTCCTCTTCTTTCTAACATGTGGCTCAATAGGTTACTGCACATGGGCACAATTGTGTATAGATTTGATGTGGATTCAGCAGAGAAATGATACATTTCAAGGCAAATGTCATGTCAAGTCTCAATTATTCATTGTATAAACATGTTCTCACTGTCAGGTAGTATCTTAGTATTTTGAGCATCAGTGATAATATTCTATATGTATCAATTTTCCTTTGTATTTTCATTTTATTCTAGTGCAAAAGTATCACAGATATAGATAATTCAGACTTATCTATATCTGTGATACCAAAAGTACTTAAGAGTAAACTTGACGCGACCAGTCGCCACATGGCTAGAAGTCGATGTCGAAGTTGCTTTGATGCTTTGAGTCCCAAATAAACTCTAGATAGATACATATACAACTTTGGATCCTGAATTACTAACCAACTACAGAAACTCAGGGCTCAAGAAAATGAGCAACTCTTGTTTTACGTCCAATTGAAGAAGTGTCGATTCCAACCTTCAAAGCCTTTACAAAGTTCCCTGGTTTCTCATCTGCAACCCACAACAACTTCCCAAGAAATGAAGATTGGGCAATCTCATGTAGGTATTCTTCATCAATAGATTGAATGGTTTCCGATCAAGGTAGACTAAGGGCCTGACTTTTTTCAGAGCTACTATAGACAGTATAGCAGTAGACAAGGTGAGGATTAAGTCATAGTGGTGCACATTTAGCACATCATTCTGCTATATAGGAGGAATATTCTTATCTCTCATATCTTCTCATGCATTTTCTTTATGAGCTTCTCGATGAAGCAAGGGAGGAAGCATTACGAAATATAATTTGGCTTCTTAGAGAGTCACATGCTGGGATCGAAATGCACCACTCAGTGTGTCGGCTCAAACCATATACAGGATTAGTGATACTGACCCACGTACCAAAATTGTGTACAAACTGGACAGATTGTATATGCATCTGGTAGTGATGGCTGGTGGGACCTCCATGCACTTTAGCATGATATGAATCAGAAAGGGAAGAATGATCTGCCATTTGTCCAATAAGCACCACTCATTTCCTGCTACGCGAGGCCTGCATGAAGAATTTGTGTCTCGCTTTGATATCTTTCCGCCATACCACCTTATGCACACCACCCACTTCTGTGTGAACGCTCGTTTTTTTCGCATGGCTAAACATGATCCATATCTCGCGCCTACTTCTAGGGCAAGTGGGTTCCACCGGACCTTTTACTGTAAGCGCTTGTTTTGTGTTTCGCAACCAGTGATTTGTAGAAGAGCAATCAGGTGCAAAATACACCATGATTATAACCTTCGGGATAATTCAAACTTCTTGAATTGCAAGTTTCCTCTTTTCTGCTATGTAATAGAATCCTCTTATTACTTTGTGATGTACGTCGACCTCCTTCTTCGTCTTACTCGTTCAGTATTCTTCGTAAAATTTCTCTATCTTTTCATAATTGATATTTTTAGGTAATGAGTATTTTATCACTGAAATTATTCCTAGGAATTCATGTGGCTTCAAGCTGTGAGATGAGAATATGAAGTATCACAATTCAAAGTCAAAGTTAATTTAGTTAAGAAGGAATTATAAATTTTGTAACACGCTTAAAACTGAGTGTCTTTCTACTTCCTGTTACTACCTCCAAAAAGTTGAACGGTTCTGCGATCAAGAGCAAGAAAGGTGGAAGCGTATTTATGAAGAGAGACATTTTTCAACAAACTTTAAGAAACTATATCGAAGGTTGATGATTTTTGTAAATTGCCAATCCAAAGTCAATGAATTTCTGATGGAGTGGAAGTATTTAACGCATTGTACCCAGTAAGACACCAAGTAATATAGAAAAATGTATGGGAAGACCCCAACTCTGAGATGGATCATTTCGGTAAGATAGGATGTGACTATTCCCCCATAAATTCACATCAAACAATTTGTAATCTTGCATTTTAGATATCGTCAGTTCTTGATAACTTTTCTTTCATAAATATCAAAGTAAAAAAGAGGATTTTTTTGGTACTAGAGTGTGGAAAGTCACTCTTCATTTTGACGTTGTGTGTGAAGTCAACCTTCATCCAGATCAAGTATAACAAACATCACATCCATCATGATAGGTTGGATAGTTTTTTTGTGCAGATAAAGATTCATGTGGACCACTATTGCATCTAAGATGCGTATTGGAGGACCAATCCAGAAGTTCCTTGCTACAACTCAACTAGCGCAAGTCTAAAAAATCTAATATGTTCACGAGCTTGCACATGCAAGATTGTAAGATTTTTCAGTAGTAAAAAGGAACTCGAGCATTCGTTGAGAAGATTGTCATGTGATCAAGGTAGACTGAAAGTCTGGAGTCCTATACTTGAACAAAGAGCAACAGTAAGAAAGGTCATGCATGTCTTCTGAATGCGACAAATAATTTCTTCTTTAGAATAATAGTAAATGTGATTGTTTCCTCATTTGCCCAAAGACTAAGGTCTGCTCCAGAAAAGACAAGTCCCGTTATCAACCGGGAAGAAACAAGAACCGTCTCGAATAATAATGGAAACCGTCGACGACTACGCTCGCGGTTAGATCTTTCAATTCAAGTTCGAGTGGGGCCCACACCGAATCTCAACTTGAGGTGGTGGTCGAGCCCACGTCCGGGCCAACGGGGAGACGCGAGAAATAGCTTGCTTACGTGCCAGGCAACGCCCTTCGCTCGGCAGCTGGCAGTCAGAACTTTTTGCGTCACCTTGTCTACGACCGGTAACCGTCGTAGACTGATTAAGCTCCTGTCATTGGGTAAATCAGTTCGCCTTTCCAGCTCTCCTATTGGTTTCAATCGTTCACCTCTCAACTGCTTCTCTCAGTTCCGGAGATATAATCGAGATAAGCCGCTTGAAAAATGCCTCCTAAACTGTTAACTTCGGATGCGAATATTAGAAACCCAACAGCTGACATCGCCCATGTTTCTGAAGGTTATATTATTATTAATAATCAAAATTCGCCCTCAAAAAAGAGGTTAGTAAAAAAATAATCGAAGGGACTTGTAACTAGTCCAAAATTGCTGAAGAGCATGTTACCGAGAAACATGCATAGCATCTTCTCAGGTGAAGTGCGATGAAGGTCATAATTAAAAGAAAAATTTGTTGGAGAAAGAGGGAAATCATTCACTCTCCTGACCAAAGTGGAAGCCCGGTGAATCACAATCTACACCAAGGTGGGAACGCAGTGAGGTCCTTGGAGGAATATTTATCACAGTATCACATAAAACCAGAGCGGAGTCGATTTGTCGAGCAAAATATGGGGAAGAGAAATCCCAATCGAGCCCTACAAGAACGAAGGAACCCGCGCGTTGATAGGTCGAGATATCTGGCGAACATTCGGGAAAGGAACAGCAGCGCCGCGTTTCGTACGTCCAAAAAAGCAGTGGACGGAAGCGAGGGAAACACGTCAGCGAATGAGATGGTGACGGGCATCGACCCCGTCAAGCAAGGCGTCCAGTCCGAGGAGCGAGGCGCGAGCCGAACGCGGAACGAAAGGAAAGCGCCCGAAAGCAGGACCGAAAAGAAAGCGCGCACGCCACTCTCGAAGGCGACGCTCGAAACAAGCGATCCCTCCCTCATCGAGAGCCAGGAAGTAATTACTCTCTGAGACCCGAAGGCGAAGGAAGATCCGCGAGAGCGAGTGGATTGGGTTGCGCTGCGAGCGAGCGAGCTAGTCGTAGGGAGGTGAATGCGACCGTGAGCACATTGTTCTTCCGTCTTGTCGGATCGGCCCGGAATTGAATTCGACCACTTTCTGCTGTCGCTGCTCCATAAGCTCATCCGCCTGGGGATCTCGGCCAGTGCCTGAGCTTCTCTCGTGCCCGAGATTGAGGCAACTTTCTCTCGCGAGCATTGTGCCACGCGCCCTTCGCTAGTGCTTTGCTCGCCCTGAAAGCCATTGCTTGTCCGTTCTTCTCCCTCTGTGGCTACAGAAGCCTGCGTCGTGCATTCCTCGCCAGCTTTATACTGCGAAGTGCTTTGTTGAGATCGACCACGAGTTTGCTGCTGATAAGCTGTTTTTTCAGCTTATTTTCCGGAAGAGTTCATTGAAGAGATATAGAGCAGATCTCCTTGCGGGGAGTGAGACACTGGGAGCATTTTTCCGTCGGTTTTCGTAGGATTTAAGTTATATTGGTTGGGGCAAATGGATTCTTCGCTGCTTGGAGGAGTGCAATTTTGCACCTGTCCCTGCAGTCAAACTGCTGTTCTTGCTGCCAGTTCCGACCTGGGGAGGCGTTCCACTCACAGGATAGATTCTCATCAACTCGCCCGGAGTAGACAAGACTTCGGTGGTCTGCCGTTGGATTTGAGGCTTCCGAATTTACAGGAGTTCAGAAGCAGGCGCCCTCAGAATACGAGGTGAGCAATTCTTTTTCAAGCTCTGAAGCCCCGAGATTAGATTGGCTTCCGTTACCGTCCCGTAAAGAGAGAAAGAAGAGTAACCATATGCAATAGAGGTGAAGGGTATCTGCGGAAAGATTTTATATATTCTTCCAGTTCTGTCATGGCACTGTTTGTGGGCAGTATCAATGGATCCATGTGTCTTACTTTTGATATGGCTGGTCTTTTTCAAGAATGCTCTTTCCGTGTTCCGTGACAGGAAGTACTTTGCACTAGAGTGAGGATTCTCCGTGTGATATTTAGTTTTCTAAGTCTCGTTCCCGTGTGAATCTTGGATGCGTGTAGAAACAATGTGTATTCCTGATGTTCATAGAGCTACTTTACTGTGTTGTTGTTGTTGTTGGTATGAGGTATAATTAATGACATCCAAATCGGTGCTTTACTTGGCCGATCAAAGAAAACTTATGGAAATTTGAACATTTTCAAAACATATTTTTTAACAACATTGCGAACATTTTGTCAGCTTCGTCATTTTTTGATGTTTGGAAGGCGAATGTTGTTGCAGGTGTCTCTACTCACCTCTTGTCGAAAGTTTGGAAGCATCGAGATCAAGACCTTTTGTACCGAATAACGAAGGGGAGTCGGGAAACTTGTTGAGGACTTTCTCATCTCCTACTAGTCTAGCCGTTGCGGATTCATCAATCGAAAAAGTTTTCAAAGAAGGCACCGTACAGCGAAGTAGTTCTGATATATATGAATATTTGAGGAAGACTGGGGTTGCCGAGGATGATGTCAGTAGATCTGTTCCCGAGGATCCGGTTGCGGCTGCCCGTGGAGATCAGTCACTTATGACCACACTGACAGGTCTTCAGAACTGCTTCTAAAGTTTCGAGTGAAAATTACACGTGCATCTTTGTGATATTGACTGTAAACTACTCACTTTGTTTTCTAAAACCTGTACTTCTGACTGACGCCATGACTGTCTGTTTTTTAAAACGGCCATGTGAACTGTATATTCTTGAGAGTTTAATGGTAACGTCTTTGCTAATACCGTGTTTGTCCATTTGGCTGCGCGCTGCAGATGTCAGCCACGATGGAGAAGTAAGGAGAAGTGCAAGACTACGGCCTGCTACTATGTCCTTAACTCAAGGTTTTACTAGCGCTGGTAGTCGAGCAGTTAGCTGTGCGGTTGGAGTTGCAGGTCGTCCACCAGCTAGCGCTAACAAGCTGAGAGGTATGCTTACTGTTTAAGTGTTAAGTCTGACCAAGTTTATATTATACCTGTAGAACCTACGATAGTTTTTGATATGTCGAGAGTTGGTTATATTCTACTTCAGTCTAAAATATATTTAATTTTGGTTCTGACAGCTCTCATACCGCCATCAGGTCCTATGGGTTTAGTGATGGCCATATCAGTTGCTTTCCTTGGGCTTGCCACAGCTGTCCAAAAGACGAAGTCTTCTCCTGACATTCCACAGGTAAGATATAGAGATACTGCCTTTTGACAACCCACAGGTTAGTCTAGGGCTTGTTAGTTGATGGGATTTGAAGTGTTCGGAGCATGTAAGATACAAAACTGCGGTCTCCTGATAGTACCATCTCAGGCTTTTAGATAGAACGGTCATCACTCGGTGTGTAAGTAGTGCTATTGACTTGTCTATGACACGCATCGTTTTTGTCGCTAATATGAGTTCTACATTGTTAGTCAGTTAAATGTTAATATTCATAGATGTATATTATTCTTAGTCCCCTTTGCTATCAAACTGCATTGTGCCTGACATTTGCAACAGCTAGATTTGTGAGGTAGTTCCCTTGAAACAGACACCTGAGGTTAAAATCAGAGGTAAAGAGGTCTAGTTTAGACCTCGTTGTCTCGTTTATCATTTTGAGATAATTCTCTTGATCAAGGCTCTAATTTTCAGTTCCTGGGTTTTTATTTCAGAAAGTTTGCAGCAGATGTGATGGATATGGCGTAGAATGCTGCGATGTTTGTGAAGGGCGTGGAAGAATTTTGTGGGAAGGGAAGATGAGTCACATGGACTCTTGTCCCAGATGTTTTGGGTCCTGCACGAAGAAGGTAGGCTCCTAATCTTACATTTTTGTCCGGGCCTTGTAAAATGCAACCAGTCGAGTAGATCTAGAGATAGGAGTGTTATTTTTCCTTTCCCTCCATTCAGAGCCATGTATTGATGTGAATTTTAACTCCCAATTGTTCCGATGTAATTACGATGGCGCTAGTGCCTATTCTCTTACCACTTGTGTATCTCCTGGATGTGGCAGTGCCCTCGTTGTGGTGGTAGTCGCATGAAGAAGGGAGATCCACCTATCGTGCAGAGATCGAAGTTTCTCCCACCAAAGAGTATATAAGTTTCCGCTCCGGTAAACACAGGAGGGATTTCCCTGTATGTATTATATTCATCTCAATGCGTTTGAGACAATCCTTTCAAAAAGAAACACACCTGTACTTAACTTGACGGTTATGATTTCGAGACTGACCGGGCGTCAGTTGGATAGCGCAGGCGTATTGTACACTAGTAGAAGGTTGTAAGTGACCTGTCCATCAAAGTTCTCTGTTGTATCGAATAGTAAACTACTCTCAGACAAAATTAGATCTAGAGAAGGTTTATATGCCAAAGTACCAACTACTTTAGGTGTTATATACATGTATCATATCTTTATTTCAGGAAATTTTCTTATAGTTGGAGGCAGAACTCGTTCATTCACCAATTTATATTTCTATGCTTCGTCGTTTTGGATGGTGGAAGTTTCCTATCTTCTTGTGACTTCCTATTTTCTCTTGAGGAAGGTTTTGGGGCGTTTCAAAGCTGTCAAATTCTGACCTGAACGAGGTCAATGGTGGAGTAGATGGTTTGGAAATTCCTGTTGTTGAGATCAATCTTGCTTAATGTACAACACATGTGGTATGCTTGAAACAAATTGAAGGTATGCCACGTCGAACGCAGAAAGCAGGAAAACGGTAGGTAGAAAAGCTGTTCAGTTGTTTACTTTTTCTTAAAATATCGTGGTCACTATTTTTCCCCGTTTTCTTTTCTGAGAATCCTCCTGGGGACCGAGGGTCAAGTGTTTTAGATCTTTTAGATTATTTTTGGTTTTTTGTTTTTGAAGGTTCGAAATAAGGAATTTTTGTAACAGGGAAGGTTTTTGCTCTGCCAAACAATTTGTAAAATATGGCGACAAAGTTTAAAACATATTGAAGTTATTTGTGTTAGCTCTTGTGGTAAAGGAAATGGTACCCACATTTTCCGCTTGGAATGGTAGATATTGACTGTTCTTTAACTGAATTCTGCCATGGAAATCAAAATGGAGAATTATCGTCATGAAATCTATCGCCAATGATTTATGATTTGAAATATCCATTGCCCTTCCCTTTGTAGAGTAATGTCCCTCTGACCTAAAAGACATAATTGGTAAATAGATCAAGCCCCTGGGATCCGAGTGGTCGAAAAGTTAAAGAAAAAACACATCAACAGAAATACTATTACCGGCAAAATGATACTGAAGATTTTCTCCTAGCTGTTGACTAGTGCACTTAAATTTCCTATGATTCTTTGATGTATAAATACAAATAATAAAAGTTTCTTGTCATTATAAAGAAAAGAAATTATCCACATCTAAACTTTTTATACCTTGGACATATAACAAAGCCTCATAAGTGGTCTTCAATATATCCTTAAGGATATAACTCTTACACTTTGATTAATATTGAACCTTGTTCAATTTAGTGTATGAGAACCAATTCTATTTCGTGCGAGAATATGATATAAGAACATAGAGATGCCAACAAGTAGGTATACTACTTCATAATATGCAAAAATGGGATTGGCATGAAAATGATAAAAGTTCATTTTGATACTCTGCAAGTCCTAATCATGTTCTGCCATATGCCACTTTGAATACCAAATCATCACATCAGCTAACTATCCTATGGAACTCGTTTTCTGCAAAACTTGATGAGGAAGTCAAGAAACATCAAAATATCTCACTACGCAAATGATGTTCAATTACAGAGCTTCATGCAGAGTACAAATAATAACGTACAGAGTTTGGTTTCTTACATCCAATTTTTCTTGTAGAAAGATCTTTTGGATACTCTTTACGCACACCCAATCTATCTTTTTACAACTAGGGACTCCAGACTTGTATGTCATATCTTTACTTGTATGATATTCAAGTAAAAAGCTTCAGACTCTAGAGGAATACAACCTATTTCCGCAAGCAAAATAACGTAAGGAGTTTGGTTTCTTACATCCAATTTTGTTTCTAGAAAGATCTTTTGCATACTCTCTATGCTATCCCAACTTAGCTTTTTACAACTAGGTACTCCAGACTTGGATCTCATAGCTTTACGTGTATGATATTCAAGTAAAGAACTTCAGATTCTAGAGTAACACAAACTATTTCTGCAAGCAGAATGACGTCTAGAGTTTGATTTATTACATCCAATTTTGCTTGTAGAAAGATCTTTTGCATACTCTCTATGCACTCCCAACTTAGCTTTTCTACAACTAGGGACTCCAGACTTGGATCTCATATAAAACTACGGGTAACACAAACCTCTTAAATAAAATTTTATCTACAATTCCAAAATAGAAAATGATTTCTTCTATATCGATTTAAAAACAATAAAGAGTTTTGTAACCTGCTTTTATTTTTATTTTGCACGCGAAGTGACCAACTATGGTCATTGAAGAAATCAATACTTAGATATTTGTAACTCTTCACTTGTTCTAAAAATAGATCCAGAACTTAGATCTAGTTCCATTGTACTGACTTTAGGTTTCTCCATATTAAACTCAATTTGTTTCTCAATACAAAAACTTGTCAAAGTGTTGAGATGTTTTTGTAAATTAATGCCGTTACGTGTTAGTAATATGATGTCATTTGCATACAATAGAGTTTTGATAACAAAGTTCCCAAGATTGACGCCTTCATTACCACATTCGTATATTATCTATGAAAAACTCTAAATAGAGTAGCAGAAAGAGTACAATTTTGATGTTAGGCAATATCTTTTGAATTTGTGAATGGTTGATCTTGTTCCAAACGGAATGGTATAACTTGGTCACGATTGTTAGAAGATCTGATGATACTCCAATGGTTTGGAGTCTATACCATAAGATCTTAGAGGTTACAATATCTTTTCTTTAAAAAAAAAGCCAGGATGAAGCCACATATCAAAGCTTTCCCATTGACTTTAGATTTCTTCCATTGAACAAGCAAGACCAAGGATTGGTTGATGGTGTTGTATTTTGAGCAAAAACGAGCTTAGATGCTTGTACCTTTTGGAAATACTATGTCAATGTGCTCAATTTGATTTCTTTTATTTACCAAACAACTTGGCAAAAACACTACCCATTATGATAGTAAAATAGTTTTGTTCTTCTTGATTTATGAATTGTATCAATCTTCCATGGGAACTCTTCCAAGCAGAACGAAGAGCACAAGTTAGCAAATCAGCAGAAAGAGCAAAGCCCTTCCAAGCAAAGAAAGATAATAAACAGCAGCATAAAAAGAACAATTTAGTGACTATATATCCAATACAAGCGGCTTCCATTTGAAATTTTCAGTAGAAATATCTTCCAAATCCTCACATTTAGATTTGCTAACCTTCTACTTTGAGTCATCACGTCCGCTTCTTATAATAAGCTAGATATTTCTTCACAACGTCACATAGATATCTCAATGAAATAGAGATTTTTCACAATAGATATTAAAGATTTGAGATAAAAAAAAAAACTTGAAATCTGTATTACTAACAATCTCCAAAATGATTTGGTATTTTCATGTAACTCCCTTGACAATAACTTTTACTTCCAGAGCAAGAAAGTTTGTAATAATAATGATAAAATTTTGGAAATCCAGAGTTGTATTATTATTACTACAAAATGATATTGCCCGTGCTTGCAAAGTCAAACCAATCCTTGCATTTTGTTCGTTTGTTAGCAAAGATTCGCGGGAGACATTTGAAAAAGGACCTATCATGTTTTGACCAGTCGACTTTCGTGGCCTGGCTGGATTGGGATCCCTTCACTACTACGGGACGTCTAGGGTTGCGCATAGTACGTCGGACGACTTGATCAGAGAAATTGACAAAAATAGCCAGATAATGTGAAGTTTTACTACACGTTTTCGGGACCCTATGGCCTCCTTTGAGCTTCAGTAGTAATCCAACTTGCTAGATTGACGTAGATCTACAATGTACTAAAATAGACAATCTGCCGAAAACTAAACTAAAAAAAATGCCGGTGAATAAGCGAATGTCTGACCGTCGCAATATCGCGGGAGATAAAGATCTTTGATGTAGAATGTTTTCTTCAGACACAAGAGTCACAAATTCTTGAAACTTAGAAACATTACCCCAGAAGGCTTTTCGAGGTTATTCAGAGCACCGAATATGATGACTCTGCGAAGGACAGCTAACAATGTTTGCAACAAATTGTACATTTCTGATAATAAATGTGTATAACAAGAACCTTTTGGGATCGAATCGATGCGATCGACGTCCCACTCTACAACATTTGCCTGAAGCGGGCTATAATCTGAGGAGAGCCAAAACGTGAGAACAGTACGAACTTGACACAGTCCTATTCTGAACCCTTTGTCCGAATCGTTCTCCCCATCTGGCGAATAAAATGGCGCTCGATTCGGCTCCGATGACGGAATTGAAGTACGGTGCATAAACCGATCGTACCATCCTCATTGAATCATCCAATTCCTGTTGATCACGTGTGCGAGACACTGGCAGTTGGATATTCTTCAATAGTACAATCTTAAAGACATCTTCATAGGACTTCAGAATATCTCTCAGTTCTTCCTCCGATAACTTGTACCAGGGCAAGTTGCAACGAGTCCGCTGCTCCTCAGTGAGAAGACCCTGATCAAGGAAAGATGTGGATTAGAATCCGATTGCTACACCAGCTCGGCATACAGTACAATGGAGCTAAAATAGCCAGAGACAGGACTTAGAACGAGGTGGAATTGTTCATAGTGATGAAAAAGGTTGACTTCTCACCTCCGCTATCAATTCATCCCAAATGTGCTCTAATATCCTCACGAATGACACATTGGTCGATGTTTCGTCTTCCGAGAACGGTGCAAGATATTGCTCTCGCGTATCGCCGTTTTCAATCCTAGCGCTCCCGAAAATGCAGTAGAGCAATCCTCCCGGAACCAGCTCATGCACTCTAGCGTCGAGAAAGTTCCTCATGTCATTTTCTCCCTGCCGCTTGTAAGCATCGATCACGTGTTCATTGGCACCGTGAAGCCAGATTCTGCCTTTGTTGTATGCAGCAGAATTCTCATCTGTGACTTCGCTAGGAACCTAGATTTACATCGATACAATGAGTCGTCAGTACTCAATTTAGATAAAAGAGACATTTAGGCTATGGATTCAAAAAGTGGTATCAACTCCAACATCTCATAATCTGCATGCAATTCGGAAGTCCTTAGGTGTAGAAAGAATGAAAGGGAATTTGAATATCTAAATTGTCAATATCTGGGGACCTACTCAGATTGAAGTCGTTGTGAGACATAGCGAGAGTCACCAAGCTGAGCGAAGGTTTCTGTGCTATCTGGATTGTTCTTGCTGTATTCATATTGGAATGAGAAGTGGAGCAATATTCTGGCTAAAATCCAGCTGCCAGAATTCGAACAGCCGCATGTATATCAACGAGAGAAGGGCGTCGATATCGAACCTGAGAAATCCAGTGCAGTGTGTTGGTGGAAAGAAACACATTCACTGACGATTTGGGGAAGATGCGTTCATAAAAGGATCCAGGCACACCGGCATAAAAAAATTCTCGACGCTCCGAGGAAAGAAGCTCGAAGAGAGAGTTGAAATCTGTCGAGGGCAAGTCATTGAAGTACGCTTGAAACTCAGAATCATCTCGTCCGCGCCTTTGATACTCTGACTTCAACATCTTCACCAAACGACTCACAATGTTGACCGTATTTGGTCCTGATGAACAGCCCAGATCTGAGATGACGAGGGGTCCTGTGTTTGGAGCAGGCAGAGTCAGCTGCTCGATGCCAGTAGCGAGAACGGCGTCAGCCGAGCTGATGACCTCCTGCTGAAAAGATGAATTCCTCGCATAACTATCTTCTCCATCTCCTCCGATCATTGTGAGGACTTTGCTGATCATCGTGCCAGGCTTGCCATCGGTACCTTCGGTCATCTCTGCGTTGGAACTTCACTGGGAACTTGCAATTGAAGGAACCTGTTATCACATACGGCTGCGAGGTTGAATGTATTAAGTGCCTTTTAATTATAGCGGGATATATGTGCGATCCAGTATTTTGTGAAATTCAAAGATTCCTACGAAGGACACGGTAAATGTACAAGAAGAAGAACCAACAAGAGACGAAGTGATACCACGGCCACGAAGATGCTTTTAGACAGAGGGTGGAAGAAAACGATGACAATTGAGCCGACTTGTGGACGAGATGAAGATTGCAGAATATACGAGCACTTTCAAAATACATAATAAATTGTGGTGTTTCAAAATCTTGCCTCACTGATTGATCGTTGCTAACTAAAATACTTCCCCAGATGTCTCTGAGAATTAGTGACGAAAATTCTCGGAGTATTATTCGTCATCACTGATTGTGACCGAGCTACATCTTCTAGTCACTATGAGCCTTATGGTATACCGTGAATTCAAGGATTAGTGGGGGTGGAATTTACCAACGCAGAGAAAGGTTGAACGAATCTCGATACTTTTGAAAGCAGTCGAAGAGAAGTGTAAGTAGTCAAAGAGATTGTTCGATGGCAGCTGCTGGCATTATGTACTTATCACTGCATAAACACTGAAAACCTACGGCAGACACATCCCCGACCACTGAGCGCATGTACTCCGCAAAGTAGCTGTGATAACACGACTGGCAAAATCTCCAACATTGGACATCCAAGGTGCTCAAGTCATTTGAAGGAAAAACTAGCCGACAAGTCGAGGAAGAACTACAGCGTTCTGGGCTACTGTGGACGCGTTTTCACACAGTACTTCAAGTAATAATTCAGATCCTCTGAATGCAGCATGCACACATAGAAACGAGTGATCTGCGTCGAGAGTTGACCTGCAATCTTCGTGGAGATGGGCAGACTTCGAGATCACTCCTGCTGTGAACGGCAGGAGCTTCAGGCGTCCGACCTCTGCTGCAGATGCACTTTATCCTCCATATTCTCACCTGCAATCTCGTGCTCATGATCTCAGATCCAGCGGCTCTTCGAAATCTGTCATGGATTTCAGCTGGATTCCTTTCTGATGCTGTCGAGCTCAAACTACGCTTTTGGGCCCCACCCATGGATTCCGATTCAAGGTCTCTGCGCATGAATCTATCGGTGAATGTTGCTCGTATTGACTCCCTCCTGATCACCTCGCGACGATACTCGCTCGCAGTCGTGACAGTCCCTTCTGTCGCACCACTCTCATGCATGCCTCTTGACTACGAGACGGCAGCCACCACACGCGAGTGTCTACCACGTTGGTTCTCACTGCATGGTTCTCACTGCATGGCACGCCGGCGCCTACCACGTTTTACATCACTGCGTAGACGCCCTACCGTGGTCACCTTGTGGCGGTGCTCCACTTGACCGACAGTCGTGGCGAGACCCTGTTCTCTTTCCGGTGACCCAATCATGGCGCAGCATTAACGGGGGCTCGACCCCCTCCAGCGGGGTCCCGGGTCCTATGCCGGTCAAAACCGAGGGCTACGAGGCTCAGTTGTTTTCTTCCTCGTAACGCTCGAGGCGTCTTCTTCCCCTTCTTCTTATCGTTTGCTGACATCTCTTGGGGCCCCCTCCTTTTTGTCTGGGCGAGGAGGGACCTGGCCCGGCCGGACCCCAAAGGACGTCTGGTGTCGCTTGTCGTCTCGTGATCATTGCTTCGACGAGAGGAAAGTAGCTCACGCCGCTCATCTTCTCGTCGCCTCGCCGTGTCCTCACCGCTCGAAGATCCGACTGCGCCACGGGACTTCGATTCCTCGGAGTTTCGATCAAATCTTTTCCGTCTCCCGACTCCTAGCATCCCTCGATGTGATCGAGCGATTATTTTACGGTACGATGGTTTCTTCCGTGAGATTGCCTCACAATTTTAAACTTATGTCGGCTCGCAGTTGTAAAGACTTATGAGACTTCACGAGACTATGATTTCTGGGAAAGTAATTTGCGCATTTTTACGTCTCTCGACCCTTTGCTTTGATGGAGCAGTGGCTGCTGGGACAATTGACCACGCTCCTACTTCTCCCGCCTTTCAGTATGCGTGCTGTGAAGCCCAATTTTATCACGGGACCATGACTTTTCGGAAAGATAGCAGCCCACGAGCTGAGTCAATCGCTTGAGGGAACACACCACGACATTACAAGCGGTGAAACTTCGAGGTTGGAGTGAGACCCTCATTCCTACGAATAGGCTCCAGAGAACATTCTCATCCTCGTTTCGATCACCAAGAATAGTAGTTGTATGAACCAATCATAGAGCAATGAGTAGAAACATTAGACTAGGAGGAGGTTGATGATGAGCATGAGAGCTGCGGGGGCTGTCGGGCGATCGATTGATTGCCTCAGAGAGCTTTGTAGATCTTGAGTTGAACACTCAGGGCTTGTTAGGCTTCTCGCTAGAACAACCCCGACCGTATGCTCTCCGGGCTGACGGTATACGTACACCGTTCGTTTGGCACCGTCACCGTCACCCAGTGTGTTTCACCGTCACCGTCACCCGGGGTATCGCGATTCGCACCCAATACGACTCTGGCCTGCCTTCTCGTCTAGCATTTCTTGTGACTCACTTTCGGATTGACGATGGCGGATCAGGCGACCTCGGAGGTGGCGATTTGTCGAATGATTTCTTCATTCTTCTGCATTCTGAGTTACGATTGTCAGGAGAGTTGCGTTTGTATGGGCCAGGGTTTTTACTGTCGTCGCGGCTTTGAGAGAACTGGCGGGTTTCGAATTTTGTTTGGTTTCCTTCTTTCTCCTAGTCCTTTCTAAAAGCTCGATGTCAGCCTTGCTCTCCGTTTCTCTACCCGTCCCTTCCCAGCACTGAACCTTGCATGCTGTTTTCTCGTACGTCTGGTCTCCGTTCCTCTCCCCGTCCCTTCCCAGCACTGAACCTTGCATGCTGTTTTCTCGTACGTCTGGTCTCCGTTCCTCTCCCCGTCCCTTCCCAGCACTGAACCTTGCACGCTGTTTTTCTCGTCCGTCTGGTCTACCTTTTACCTGCAGTGGCTTTCGGGATCGTCAACCCGGAAGAGTTTCAGGAAAGCGCAATAGTCCCGACCCTGTCATAAAGCGTGTATGTTTCCCATTATCCACCTCCTCAAATCCGTGCCCACGTCTACATCAAATCAGTGTCGATGAATTGCTGCAGTAAGTGGTGATGGGTGACTTCCTGCAATTTACTGAAGTGGGCAGTGCCGAAGAAGAAGTTTCCTCGAAGTGCCATGGTGGAAACAGAAAACCTCTCTCGAATCTTCATCACAGTTTTGTGTTTTGATTTTCTGGGAGTCCATGGCAGACTCGATGATTTTGTTAAAGTTGCGAAGCTGAAATGAAAGAACCTGAATTAAAAAAGAGCATGCTGAGTACTCAGATTTCAGACTATCACCAGTTTAAACCCCACCACATCATCAATCTTGCGACCAGATACAGGTCTGCTGCCATTCTGCCAATTCTGCACCACCTTGCCAGGCACGCTGATTCCAAGGAATTGCCTAGGTTCAGCGAGCTAAATGTCTCAAAATGTCCTAAGATATACTTTCCCCTACCTGATCTCAGCGTGGGCATATGTAAGAACTTAAGGAACTATACTACTGCGGCCTCGAGATCGATCCTTTTTTAATAAACAGTTCTTTTAAGTCTTTCAACTCCCACAGTGAATCGTATTAAGCTATTCTGTCATTGAGAACAAGATCCGGACTTGTACGCGAACTGTGTTGACTCAGGAATCTTTCTACTCAGAAGCTCTGATTTCCTTGTTTGGTTTCGTTGGATGGATGCTCTAACGAAGGAGCGTTCCGAAAATTTTAACAAGCCGCTTCTGTGTCCCGCACACGGAATTCTTTAGTAAAAGGCGAAAGATAGTTCGCTCTGGACAGAACTTCGGCTGGTATTCTCATCAGCCGAAGATCCAAGAATATGAACCCCGCAGAAGGCTCTTGTGGCGCGCACATTGTTCCATGCGCCGACACGTGTCCATGTGTATAATTTGAATTCCAGAGGGTCGCGTCAAGAAGTCACCCGTCTTGACGCGACGGTCTCAAAGGAGAGACCGTCACGACGGTGACCGTATGCCGTCGGCCCACAGTCATACGGTCGGGGTTGTTCTAGCCTGCAGTCTTGTTAGTTGATGGGATTTTAAGTGTCCGGAGCATGTAAGACACAAAACTGCGGTGTCCTTATACCATCAGAGGCTTTCAGATAGAACGGTCATCACTCGGTGTGTAAGTAGTGCTATTGACTTTCTATGACAAGCATCGTTTTTGTAGCTAATATGAGTTCTACATTGTTAGTCAGTTAAATGTTAATATTCACATATGTTTATTATTCTTAGTCCCCTTTGCTATCAAACTGCATTGTGCCTAACATTTGCAACAGCTAGATTGGTTAGGTAGTTTTCTTGAAACAGACACCTGAGGATAAAACCAGAGGTAAAGAGGGCTAGTTTAGACCTCGTTGTCTCGTTTATCTTTTTGAGATAATTCTCTTGATCAAGGCACTAATTTTCAATTCCTGGGATTTTATTTCAGAAAGTTTGCAGCAGATGTGATGGATATGGCGTAGAATGCTGCGATGTTTGTGAAGGGCGGGGAAGAATTTTGTGGGAAGGGAAGATGAGTCACATGGACTCTTGTTCCAGATGTTTTGGGTCCTGCACGAAGAAGGTAAGCTCCTAATCTTACATTTTTGTCCGGGCCTTGTAAAATGCAACCAGTCGAGTAGACCTAGAGATAGGAGTGTTATTTTTCCTTTCCCTCCATTCAGAGCCATGTATTGATTTGAACTTAAACTCCCAATTAATCCGATGTAATTACGATGGCGCTAGTGCCTATCCTCTTACCACTTCTGTATCTTCTGGATGTGGCAGTGCCCTCGTTGTGGTGGTAGTCGCATGAAGAAGGGAGATCCACCTATCGTGCAGAGATCGAAGTTTCTCCCACCAAAGAGTATATAAGTTTCCGCTCCGGTAAAGACAGGAGGGATTTCCCTGTATGTATTATAGCAGACCTCCTAAAATCTGGCAGTTGCCAACTTTGCCATATTTAAGGTAAACATGGCACTTTTAGCAGTTAAATATGGCAAAATTGGCAGCAGTTCCAGCTACGATTATTATGCGCAGATCTTCTTTATATCTTCAAATTGCTTTGCATGCATGATACCCCCTAACGACAAGTTTGTTAGGCTCTTTCGGGAGTTGCTTTTCTTGTGTTTCACGATGGAAAAGTCGCTCTCGACGGATGCCATGTTAGGGAACGCTGTCGCTAGACCTCCACAAAGCTTGCGCAGTTGCAAACAGCGACCTTTCAAGCAGTTCCACGCTGGGTTAAAGAAAGTTTTCTCGTCATGCGAATAGAGAGCTGACTTCACGGCCAGCTTTCGCGATGTTCGATTTCAGCGTGCTCAATGTCCTCGTCGCTCCAATGTTTCTTCAAGTGCGCGCGCAACGGATCCATCACTTGGATGATAAAAGTTGCAGGGCGAAGCTTTAAGAGGTCAGGAGGCATCACAGGTGGTGCTTTAAGCTCACTTGAATTGTTCGAGCCGTCACGTTCGGCTTGGACGAGGGTCCATCACTGATGAACATCAACAAGAACTTTGCAATCACATTCACAACCAAACGTTTCTTGTTTTTAAAGAATTGAAAAAACATGATCGTAGATGTGCAAGATAATTGTTTCTGTTTTGACAATCCAATTGTTCAAAATGATGTTGGCAGAGATTTCAACTTCGTCCAATTCGTCAGGAACAGGCTCTACTCCTATTGCACCAGCTGTTTCAGTAATCAGCTTTGCGATCTCTTCTCACTGTTGCGAAATAACAAACTTTTGGGCCTTGTTCGCGCGAATTGTGATGGCAACCCGTTGAAAGATCAGCGCTAGCGCTGCGGCAACAACCCACCACTGCCTAGATGGCGCCGAAATTGGTTACTTCTCAACAATATGGACCAACAATCGACGGCGATAATGAAGCTTCCAGTCAAGCATGCTGTCGAATGCCATCCAATGTGTCGTGTCTTTTGGGCATTGCAAATCCATTTCGATTATGAGAATTTATTGAGCTTGAAGATGAACGCTGAAACCATGTCCTGTCTTATAAAACTCTCCTTCAAATACTGCTTGTGTTGCTTTCTTGACAACGATATCAACCTGGTTAGGAACACACCAAACACGTAGCATTGGATTTGAGCATTGTTTTTCAAGCAGAGTGACAACTCTTGCATAGAGACCAGTCATTGTGTTCTTTCCATCCAAGCTGATCAAGATCATCTTGTCCCGTCACGTTGGACACACAATATTCAACAACACATTGATAAGCTTCATATAATTTTGAGCTTCATTGAGCTTTTTTGAGCTTCATATAATATGTGGATCAAAGAATGGGACCAAGACCAAGTGGAGATTAAACAATTTTCCTTTCACACACAATTGAATCCGCTGGTTGAGAAATGGCACTCCGCGATTGAGTACTAGCTTCAGCAGTAAGAAAAAAGCCCATACATATGGGTCATTCAAGACATTGAACATGGTCTGCAAGTTGACATCTACTAGGACACGAATGAATTGATTGACCATATGATTGTTGACACCACTGAGGATAGCATTCCGTGTTGCAGCGCGATGCTGTTAAATTACTTTCGCCATCTAGCGAAAGTACAAGCCGATTGAGACACGCTGAATCGCAAGATCAAATCTCAATGCGTTTTTTATTGTCAAGTGATATGATCCATCGTCCTTGAGTTTAAACAGCTTCATCGCATTCACTTTGTTGATTGGAACCGCATCGTCATTTTTCTCATCATCATCCGGATTGAAAAATAAATCTCCCACCACGTAGTCAATAATTTAGATCGAAAAATCACAAACTTGAGATTGTCCTTGTCGTTTTCAATGAACTGATGGATACCACCGAGCTCCTTATCCTTCAAATATGCAAGTTTCTCTTCATGGCTGAGGAGATGATAATTCAGCCACTCTTCTTGGAGTTGAGACTTATGATGCGTCTTGTACGCCTCTGGTCGGAAAGAAAACTTGAACAGTTTTGTGTTCGCCGTTCGCTGGCGTTTGACATCCGGTCCAACGCGCAATTCGCGACCATAATGTACACAAAACATACATTGGACAGTGACAATCATCCCATCACCTCTTCTTTCGCAGGCTGCAAGCAGTATTCAACCACATGCTTCTGCTGAAATGGCGTCTGACGACTCATCGATGACGCAGCACGGCAGCAATGCTCTCGCTGGAGCGCTGGGGCTCTCTGCGTCAGCCCGTTAGTTCGCGAACTAGTGCGTTGCAATTACCAAGAACAGGATCTACGATTCTACGATATTCAATGTGTTAAGAGCCATTATAATCGAGCCGGCTCTCTTTTTGGCTTTTGATCATTAAGAGCCGAAATCATTAACACATTAAGATTTGATGTGTTACACCTTTTATAATTTCGACATATTGGCTATGTTAAATATGACAAACATGGCACCCACTTTTAGAATGCCAGATTTTAGGAGGTATGTATTATAGTCATCTCAATGAGTTTGAGACAATTCATTCAAAAAGAAACACATCTGTACTGAATTCGACAGTCATGATTACGAGACTGAATGACCGGACGTCAGTTGAATAGCGCAGGCGTATTGTACACTAGTAGAAGGTTGTAAGTGATCTGTCCATCAAAGTTCTCTGTTGTATCGAATAGTAAACTACTCTCAAACAAAATTAGATCTAGAGAAGGTTTATATGCCAAAGTACCAACTATTTTAGGTGTTATATACATGTATCATATCTTTATTTTAGGAAATTTTCTTATAGTTGAAGGCAGAACTCGTTCATTCACCAATTTATATTTGTATTCTTCGTCGTTTTGGATTGTGGAAGTTTCCTATCTTCTTGTGACTTCCTACTTTATCTTGAGGAAGGTTTTGGGGCGTTTCAAAGCTGTCAAGTTCTGAACTGAACGAGGTCAATGGTGTAGTAGATGGTTTGGAAATTCTTGTTGTTGGGATCAATCTTGTTTAATTTACAACACATGTGGTATGCCTGAAACATATTTAAGGTATTCCAGGTCCAACGCAGAAAGCAAGAAAACGATAGGTAGAAAAGCTGTTCAGTTGTTTACTTTTTCTTCAAATATTGTTGTCAGTATTTTCGCCCCCTTTTTTTTCTTCTAAGAATACTCATGGGGACCGAGAGTCGAGTGTTTTAGATCTTTTGGATTTTTTTTTTTTTTTGTTTTTTTTGTTTTTGAAGGTTCAAAATTAGGAATTTTTATTACAGGGAAGGTTTTTGCTTTGCTAAACAATTTGTAAAATGTGGCGACAAACGTTAAAACATTTTATAGTTTAATTTATGTGTGGTAGCTCTTGTGGTAAAGGGAATGGTGTTCACATTCTCCGCTTGGAATGGTAGATAAATACTGTTTTCTAATTGAATTCCGCCGATGATTTATGACTTGAGATATCTAATGCCCTTCGCTTAGGAGACTAATGTCCGTATAAGTTAATAGATTTAAATGGTAAATAGATCAAGCCCGCGTGATCCAAAGAGTTGAAAGGTTAAAGAACAAACAAACACATTACAAGAAATACTATTACCAACAAGAAGATAATGAAGAGATTCTCCTAGCTGTTGACTAGTACACTTAGATTTCTAACGAGTGTACTAAAATAATAACTTGAATAATAAAATTCTCTTGCTATGATGAAGAAAAGAAGTTCTCCACATCTATTTTATTAGCTGGTCTAATCTTCTCATACTTTCGACATATAACAAAGACTCATGGTTCGTCTTGAATATTTCCTCAGAAATATAACTCTTTCACTTTTTTCAATATTAAACCTTATTGAGTTGTTAAGTCATGACCCAATTCTATTTCGTGCGAAAATATGACAGAAGAACATACAAATACCGACAAGTAGATTCTTCGTAATATACAATAATAGGGTTAACATGAAAATGATAAATGTTCAGGTTGGTTTTCTTGAAGAAAATGCGAGTGTTCGGGGACTGCCATGGGTTGCAAGTACCAATCATATTTTGCCACATGCAAGTTTGTATACCAAATCATCACATCCTAACTAACCTATAGAATATGTTTGCTGCAAAACTTGATGAGGAAGGCGAGAAACTTAAAAAAATTTCACTATGCAAATGATATTCAAGTAAAAAGTTTCATACTCTAGAGGAATACAACCTATTTCCACAAGTACAACATTTCGAGTTTGGTTTCTTACATTCAATTTTTTATTGTTAAAAGATCTTTTACATAACCTCTATGCACTCCCAACTTATTTCTTTCTAACTAATGTCTCTATACTTGGATTTCATATAAAACTACCAGCAACACAAAGCTCTTAAAAATTTTCTACAACCCCAAAGCAGAAAATGAGCTCTTCTACATAGATTTAAAAATGAATAAAGAGTTTTGTAATCTGATTTTATTTTATTTTGCACTCAAAGTGTCCAACTATGCTCATTAGAGAAATTGATACTTAGAAGTTTGTAACTCTTCACTTGTTCTAAAAGTAGATCTTTGTAAAAGATCCAGAATTTGGATATAATTACCATTATAATGACTTTAGACTTTTTCCATATTATATTCCATTTGTTTCTCAATACAAAAACTTGTAATTAATGGCATTACGTGTTAGTAATATGATATCATTTGCATATAATAAAGTTTTGATAGCAAAGTTCCCAAGATTGTCGACTTCATTACCACATTACTCCTTCCATTTTTTGATGTTATATGTGAAAAAATCTAAATAAAGTAGCAGAGACAGTACAATTTTGATGTTAACCAAGATCTTTTGAATTGGTGAACCGTTGATCTTGGTTCTAACCGAATGGTATAACGTGGACACGATTATTAGAATATTTGATGGTACTCCAATGGCTTGGAACTTAATCATAAGAGCTTAAGAGGTACATATCAAAAATTTTCTTCGAAAAGAAAAGTTGCAATTCAAAGCTCTCTCAGTGACTTTAGATTTCTTCCATTGAACACTCAAGATCAAGATATGGTTTATGGTGTTGTATTTTGGGCAAAAACGAGGTTGGATGCTTGTTACCTTTTGGAAATACTCTATCAATGTGACCTTGGATGCTTGTTACCTTTTGGAAATACTCTATCAATGTGCTGAACTTGACTACTCCAATTTACCAAACAACTTGGTAAAAGCACTAACCATTATGATAGTAAAATAGTTTGTTTCTTCTTGAATAGTATCAATCTTCCGTAGCAACTGGTGCAAGCAACACAGATTAGCAAATCAACAAGAAGAGCAAAGGAGTCCAAGCAAAGAACGACAATAAATTGCAGCATCAACAAAAATTCTTTGGTGAGTATAGATCCAATATAAGCTCTGAAATTTTCAGTAGGAAGATTATCCAAATCCTCACATTTACATTTGCTAACCTTCTAAACTGAGTCATCACCTTTGCTTCATAGAATAAGAAAAAATTCAAAAATTAGAAAGTATTGGTCCCATCAAAACTTACACATTCTGATGGGGTCCCATCAAGTAGTTCAATCTGCCCAAAACAAAACTAAAAAGAATAGCCGGAGAGTACGCGGTCGCAATATCGTCGGAGATAAAGATCTTTGAAGTAGAATGTTTTCTTCAGACACAAGCGTCACAAATTCTTTAAACTTAGAAACATTACCCCCAGAAGGCTTTTTGAGGTTATTCGGAGCACCGAATATGATGACACTGCGAAGGACAGCTAACAACATTTGCAACAAATTGTACATTTCTGATAATATATGTGTATAACAAGAACCTTTTGGGATCGAATCGATGCGATCGACGTCCCACTCTACAACATTTGCCTGAAGCGGGCTATAATCTGAGGAGAGCCAAAACGTGAGAACAGTACGAAGGTGACACAGTCCTATTCTGAATCCTTTCTCCGAATCGTTCTCCCCATCTGGCGAATAAAATGGCGCTCGATTCGGCTCCGATGAAGGAATTGAAGAACGGTGCATAAATCGATCGTGCCATCCTCATTAAATCATCCAATTCCTGTTGATCACGTGTGCGGCATACTGGCTGTTCCATATTCTGCAATAGTACAATCTTAAAGACATCTTCATAAGACTTCAGAATATCTCTCAATTCTTCCTCCGATAACTTGTACCAGGGCAAGTTGCAACGAGCCCGCTGCTCCTCAGTGAGAAGACCCTGATCAAGGAAAGATGTGCATTAGAATCCGATTGCTACACCAGCTCGGCTTACAGTATAATAGAAGTGAAATAGCCAGAGAAAAGGCTTAGAAGGAGGTGGAATTGTTCATAGTGATGAAGAAAGTAAAATTGCTCACCTCCGCTATCAATTCATCCCAAACGTGCTCGAGTATCCTCCCGAATGACACATTGGTCGATGTTTCGTCTTCCGAGAACGGTGCAAGATATTGCTCTCGCGTATCGCCGTTTTCAATCCTAGCGCTCCCGAAAATGCAGTAGAGCAATCCTCCCGGAACCAGCTCCTGCACTTTAGCGTCGAGAAAGTTTCTCATGTCATTTTCTCCCTGCCGCTTGTAAGCATCGATCACGTGTTCATTGGCACCGTGAAGCCAGATTCTGCCTTTGTTGTATGCAGCAGAATTCTCATCTGTGACTTCGCGAGGAGCCTAGATTTACATCGATACGACAAGTCGTCAGTACTCAATTTAAATAAAGGAGACAATCAGGCTACGGATTCAAAAAGTGGTATCAACTCCAACATCTCGTAATCTGCATGCAATTCGGACGTCCTTGGGTGTAGAAAGACTGAAAGGGAGTTTGAATATCTAAAACGGTCAATTTTCTAAGGACCTGCTCAGATTGAAGTCTTTGTGAGACATAGCGAGCGAAGGTTTCTGTGCTATCTGAATTGTTCTTGTTGTGGTTATACTGGAATTCAAAGTGAGGCAATGTTCTGGTTAAGATCCAGCTGCCAGAATTCGAACATCCGCATCTAGGTCAACGAGAGAAGGGCGTCGATATCGAACCTGAGAAATCCAGTGCAGTGTGTTGGTGGAAAGAAACACATTCACTGACGACTTGGGGAAGATGCGTTCATAAAAGGATCCAGGCACACCAGCATAGAAAAATTCTCGACGCTCCGAGGAAAGAAGCTCAAAGAGAAAGTTGAAATCTGTCGAGGGCAAGTCATTGAAGTACGCCTGAAATTCATAATCATCTCGTCCGCGCCTTTGATACTCCGATTTCAACATCTTCACCAAACGACTCACAATGTTGACCGTATTTGGTCCTGATGAACAGCCCAGATCTGAGATGACGAGGGGTCCTGCGTTTGGAGCAGGCAGAGTCAGCTGCTCGATGCCAGTAGCGAGAACGGCGTCAGCCGAGCTGATGACCTCCTGCTGAAAAGATGAATTCCTCGCATAACTATCTTCTCCATCTCCTCCGATCATTGCGAGGACTCTGCTGATCATCGTGCCAGGCTTGCCATCGGTACCTTCGGTCATCTCTGCGTTGGAACTTTACTGGGAACTTGCAATTGAAGGAACCTGTTATCACAGACGGCTGCGCGGTTGAATGTATTAAGTGCCTTCTAGTCATAGCGGGATATATGTGCGATCCAGTATGCTTAATTATATAAAGGACGTCTGGTGTCGCTTGTCGTCTCGTGGTCATTGCTTGGACGAGAGGAAAGTAGCGAAGTGTCCTCACCTCTCGAAGATCCGACTGCGCCACGGGACTTGGATTCCTCGGAATTTCAATCGTACCTTTCGCGTCTCCCGTCTCCGAGAATCCTTTGATTTGATCACACGACTTTGTTTCACGGTACGATCAATCTCGTGAGATTGGCTCACAATTTTAGACCTCGGGCGTCTCGCAGTGTTATTAGTTGGACTTGAAGACCGATATATTTTATTGATGGGACCTCGGCTCCAGTGTGACTTGAAGACCTACATATTTGCTTGATGGTACCCGGCTCGCAATGTTATTAGTGGGACTTGAAGACCGATATATTTTATTGATGGGACCTCGGCTCCGGTGTGACTTGAAGACCTACATATTTGCTTGATGGTACCCGGCTCGCAATGTTATTAGTGGGACTTGAAGACCGAGATATTTTATTGATGGGACCTCGGGTCCAGCGGTCTTCAAGTACCGCTGGACCCGAGGAACATCAAGAACATATTTGTTTGATGTTACCCATCAAATTTCGTTGGGTCACATGGTATAAAAATAAAATTAATAGGTACTATCAAGCAAATATCCCGTTGAAGACCTCTTTACTTCACAAGACTATGATTTCTGGGAAATAATTTACTCATTTTAAGTCTCTCGAGCCATACTGTCCTGTGCTTTGATAGAGCAGTGGCTGCTGGGACAGGTAGATCACGCTGCTACGTCTGTCGCCTTTCAGCATGCGTGCTGTGAAGCCCAACTGCATCACGGGACCATGACTTTCCGGAAAGATAGCAGCCACGAGGTGGGTCAATCGGTTGAGGAAGCACACCACGACAATACAAGCGGTGAGACTTCGAGGTTGGAATAAGACCCTCATTCCTACGAATAGGCTCCAGAGAACATTCTCATCCTCGTTTCGGCCACCAAGAATAGTAGTTGTATGAACCAATCATGGAGCAATGAGTATAAACATTAGACTAGGAGGAGGTTGATGATGATGAGCAGGAGAGCTTCGGGGAGCTCTCAGGCGATCGATTGATTGCCTTAGAGAGCTTTGTAGATCTTGACGAGTGGAACACTACTGCACAGAATTTTCGTGGCCATTTTATCTTCTTTCTTGGAGTTAGTTTCCGATCCTGAAGTTAGTTCATGAAGAAGCCCCTTCTTCGCCTCTAACTTGGTTGACAAGCTCCAAGTTCCAGAGTAATGCCACCTCGGCTCTGACGTACAAAACCTTTACACGAAGGATACATTCCTAACGAGAAATATAATTTTTTGTATATTAATTTGGGCAGCCTCTCTATATAGGGCGGATTTTCTATGTTCCGTATCTCAACAAAATAAGGATAATTCTCAAATCAAAATACGGAATATATTATGGAACTTGATAGTTTTAGGTCGAATCTTGACATAAACTCTCATGTTTTCGGCCAAATTTGTCGGCAATGTAATACACCTACGAGAGAAATGGGTGTTATCTTCGATATCTGAATATACTCTTATCGTTTTAGCTCGGAGAAATCACTCTCCACACCATTGAAATGTTCGAAAATAATCAAACTGATCTCACTATAAACTCCATGAGTTGAAAAAATCTAAATAACTTGGAATCAGACTTTTCAGTGAACAGATTTGTGTGAACAAGGTAACCAAGGAAACAAAATACTAGAACTTGCTTGGTTGAACTCACAGGTGTCGTCGCAAAATTTTAGTCTAGTACTCAGTCAGTATCTCTAGTAAAGTCACCGAGATGAACAATAAAATCGTCACAAATGATCACGGCAACGATTTAGTTGAATACTTACATTAGTTTCTCTAATAAAATCACCTAAACCAACCGAGATATTGTCAAAAACGATCACCCCAAAGTTTTAGTTGAGAAACTCCGCTAGTTTCTCTAGTAAAAACAATTAGACAACAAAGAATCTTTTTTGTAAATAGGGAATTTTCTGAAAACGTAATACGGCACTTTGGCCCTCAAGTTCCGTATGTGCTGTATTTAGAGGATCCATGGACCATGGGTCACAGGAAAGTACATCTTTGTCCCCTCTTCTGGGTGCACAAGGATATGTCATATATACGGACATAGTGTACGTTGTGATTATTATGGGGCATCGCACCATCTTATCCCTTAGATTCCATTCATGTAAAGCATGAACGATTCATGGAGTACTTCTAATCATTTGACCATAATACTTGGTTACCCTCACGGATAATGAGAAGCTTTGTATGGGTCATGAACTGATTTGTGTACTACAACATATATTTTCTAGGGAGTTCATACTATTTACCCCGCCACTCGCGTCTTTTGATGTGTCGAAGTTGTGACACAATCTGTTATGACTCATAACAGATTGAGGCTTGAGAATGTTTGCTGCTAGATGGCTCTCTGTATATATATATTGATATGAAACAAACTATTGTTTGCTTCAATAAAAAAGAGTATCTTTGAAATATTGTTTATGTATTTTTTATAAATTAGTTTCTTTTATTTCTACTGAAGACATGACAACTACTTACTAATTTGCAACCAACTCTTAATTATAGATGATATATACTCCGTGAGTATATTCTTGGACATGTCTTCCGTAAGCTTTCTTTTTTCCCAACTGTTTGTTGCATATAGACAGAAAACCTATTCGCATGCCCTGACTAATCTGAGTTAACACAGTAGTTTGTGATTAATTTTTGCACAAACGCACAGTTCATAGATTCAAGTAACCAAATAAAAAGGAAAAACTGATACACTCCTTATAATATAACAATATCTTATTAAAGTACTGCGTATGATCTGAGGTATTCACATAAATTGATAAAAGCAAATACTCCTGGTTGTAACATCACATTGAATCGATAACAACACTGCAATTTCTTAATCCTCATAGGGACATGAACTAAGATATTAACATACACTTCACAAGGAACATCACGTACAATAGTATTTTAGTATACCGTTATTGTGGTATCATAAGAAGCTACAAGATACGACGGAAAGTACAATTGCGAATATAACATGAAGATTTAGTAATATGAGATCTCGCATGATATCCACGATGATTGATGTGCGGGAGTACCTCTTGCTTACTTGCTATACTGTACGTCTGTTGTCCTAAATAGCAACACTACGACCACATCATACTCAATGATTGCGCAGGAGTCCTAAGACTTCGTAATCCATAACGAAGAATTTTATTTTCGTTCCGTTCGAGAGTTTCGAGTGATAAATTTGTGATATTTGCTAAGCTTTAAACCTGGGACTGCAAAATTTCACTTCGAAAGTCTAAGGAAAGCGAGAAAGCATGTGAGATGTTGTGTCAATACGTACTTTGGCTTCTCTAAATCACTAACCCCAATCTACGAAAGGTAGAGATGGATAACCATCTTCTGGCGGAGGTTGTAGAGAGGGAGGAAGTTTGTTCTCAGCAACTCTGCTTACTGGCGATGAACCACCATATGCCACAGAAGAAAAGTATCAGTATCACAACTCTGACCTACTTTCAGTGTTACACCTGTTACTGTTGGCTTTGGCAGAAGTCTTTAGTTCCAAGCACATTCCGAATTGAAGATGATAAAAAACTCCACCGAAAGAGCGGACAAGAATACCTACCAGGAACAGATGCGGAAGTAGCTGAGGGCGCCCCATGCGCTGCATTCGTTGGAGAAGGCCCCAAGTCACTTTGAGAAATGTTTGACACTGTAACAAGCACGAATGCACAAAGTTTGTTCATCCACTGCAAAATATCCACTATTCTCTTTACTGCTGAAGTCCGACAATTTGCGCATCAGGACAGTATTTCTTTTCATCGTAGACATCTATAGCTGTGCCTACTATATTCCAGTTCCGAAACCAATCTCTTTAAACACCTCATAACAGAAACATCTCATTTTGTTTTGACCGGATGCACCAGACGAAGATATTTTACTCGCATATGCTGCAAATTAGGTCGATGTGAAGGTGAAGAAGACTATGCCTGTGCGTCATGATTAGGTGTATACTACTGGTCAATGCTACATTTTCTGGTGGCTAATCCAAACCCAGCTCCAGTTGTCAGATTTTGTAATCTACTTGATATGATGAGCTGGTTTGATTATCTCACAACAGAGAATCACGAGAATCAGAACGGATCTCCACCTCTGTACTAACCTGACATCCCGGCTGCTGCATAAGAAGGACCTGAATGTGTTATATGCGCGTACTGACAATTCGATCCATAATTGCATGTGCCCTGTAATGTGCAAACCATCATGTATGTTACCAGTTGCCAGCAGAGAAGCACATGAACTTTGAGCCAGCAATTTCGGTAGGATAAACTTCTTTGTTGTGCTAAAAGATGAACGTGGTCGAAGGCAAGGGAGAGAACACAACATGGAGATCTACACCATAAAAGAAGAGCGTAATTTATGGCCTGTATCACATGAGCTTTCACTAAATAGATCAGCATACCGTTCGCTGGAAATATGCGCAAACTCCACGGTTTCCACCTTGATCTTTATCTGCAAATGCACGATAGCATACATGGTCGAGTGAACAAGCTTAACACGAGTCTCCTTTGCAAGTAAGGTTGAAGGTGCAGAAACAAAAGCTTCAGGAGGTGAAGATTTTAACCTCTGAAGGAATCATACCAAGCTTTCACAGCTCGTTGATGCGTTATTCCTTGCATGTGTCGCTTGCGAGAAGCTGGTGTATCATGAAATGTTTTGTCACAGTAGTCACAGACATATTTTGGGGTCGGCATCCTTCTCTACGAGGGTACATGGACGTAGAGACACTTGCGCTCTTTCAAGAAAGACGTGCCTCCTAGATCATGACCACGAGCTTCATAAGCGGAAGAATTGTTCGAAAAACTTAACATAAATTTCTGCGTTGCGATACCAGAGATTGTGCAGGAGAGGCTGCAGGATCTGCATCTCCTACCTCCCTTGTAAAGTATCTAGAGAAACTGCAAGTGGCTGCTATGGGGTTGCTCACAGGTTAAGTTTCTTTGCGCTGCTCTCTCCCGATCCATGTACACGTCCTAAGGTTGCTTCTAATATTGTGTCCCGCTGGTTGTCCAATTTCTTCTCATCAGTGAGCTTGAAGTCCGTTCAGACTGGGCAAGCGCATGCATTCTCGCTTCTCACTTCCAATCTCAGGTAGTGTCCACCTCTTTCGTCTGCAAAGATCAGTTGAGAATCGAGAACCTTTCCCATCATGAATTGTTATGAATTGTAATCTCTGACATCGCAGCAAATGCACAGCACAAAGTCTTACGCCTGAAAACACGAAATTTCTACACAATCTAAGGTCTGCATTTCTTTCCGCAAAACCTGTTGAGAAGCTAGAAGCGATTTCCCGCAGGTATGAGAATCTCTTCCAGAGCCAACAAAAGCCTACTGCAAAAAACCTAGGCCCACAAACAAATTATGAAGTGATGCTCTGCATCGTGGTGATGACAAAGTGCTGAACCCTTGACCCTTAGCTGACATGGGTTGTACTTCCGTCTAAACCCTCAGTCATTGGATGACAAACGAACCACATCTCGTCACAGCCCATTGATCCTCAACCGAACCTTGAAATCTTCCGAATCCTCTATTCTTTCAGATACGCATGAAGGATTTCTCGATGACAAAGGCCTGAATTTCGGCTGAATTTCCTAACCAGTCCATCAGGTGGAATGCCATAGCTCTCATCGATATAATACCCACAAGCTGATGATGGAGACATTCCCGAGCAAGAGACTCACCAGTAAACAGCAGCAACAGGATCGAGCCAATACCAACAGGGGGAGGCAGCCACAGTCCGCAGCAACTCGTCAGCGCGCTCCTCTGTCTTTCAGAACAATGTCAGGAGGATCTGATGAATCACAATCAGTCCGCATGGACACAAGACCAAGCACCGGCACAGAACATAAATGTTAGATCGACCGCGACATGCGGCGCAGAAGTCTGTAGAGGACAAGAATTTGAATAGAAAAATCCAGAAGATCTCGAATCAAGACAACTTCTACGAACAACGAACAACGAACACTTTTCTTTCCATGGAAGCAAGTTGCACGAAAGATTGAGATATTAACCCTTTCGATCAATTTCTTACCGCATCCCTGGAAAGAATACCATCACCCTGTGATACCTTCCTCAAAAATGTCCAGCACCTCCTGTAATGACAAGGAGCCGGGCTCATATCTTTGCGCGGAATCTAACCTACAAACCCTTCGCTACCCATTCTTGACGTCGTCGCGAACATGTAGATGCCGACTACGACGAGCTTGAAGTGCCGATATGTGATGAGTGAGTATCGGGAAGAATATGATTCTGTGTACTCGCCGAAGTGGTTGGAAGGCAGTGGCCCTTTCCTATCTGACCGGCGCGCAGGTTCATTCCTCGCCCTCGGGCGGCTGGCCAAACGACAGTGTTCAAATTAAAGAGAGAATGAATGAGAGGGAACCATTCTTATGACATTGTCCGGAATTTTCTCGATGCAAAGAAAAGTGTACATTTATGTATTGACTCGTAGATTTCTTATTAAAATTTCCACTACTTTCATCAGTTCAAGCGTTCTAAGTCCCCGAGGTCGATGTCGGGAGATTGATATGGCCAAGGGGACATCTGAGCTCGGTACCCTAATGGGTGTATGTCTTCTTGATTTTGTCTGACATGTCAGCGAAGGAAGAGTTCACCATGCGTTTCTCTACACTAGAAGAAATCTGCTGACATTAGAGTCTTGTTGCCTGTGCGAGAGATTGTGCATAAAAAACACGCTGAAACCAGAATGACAACCACGATCGATCAGGAGTTGTCCTCGTTGAAAATCGGGGATCGGAGTGGCGTCATATATTGAAAGAATGGTGTCGATCCGGGCACTGAAAACTCCAGCACCAGAATAAGGTGCGGCACGAATCAGACATCGCTCGTCGTCAACGCCAAGCCGTGGAAAGTGTCTTCTTCGCTTTGGAGATTATGTTGATTTTTTCAGACTTCCATTTCCACCTTCCTTTGGAGGATGGGGAGCTCGTTCGTCCCGTCCTCGAGGGTACAGGGCGGCTGTCTCTGATGTAGCAGTGCCAAGTGTGATCGTCACTTTCCTGCACCATCGGACTTGCCTCCGCCTCCCTTTTGCTGTTGTCTCGCGGAGTGTTGTGGGTCCATCGTCCTACTTCTCGACACTGCAGACATGCACCAAAGTGACGTCCGTTTCATTCTCAGACCAGACCACAGACAACCCAGAGCCTGCCATGCATGTTGTGCTCCTATCAATTCAAGGAGCCAATCGACCTAAGCTCGAAATTGAACATTCGAGTTTCACAACGAAATGCCCTGACGTAGCCAGTGCCTTCTCTCCTCGATAATCTTCAACAGCAGTTCCCAGTGCGTGAATCGAGGCATCAAGTTCAGTACGGCCTCGGCAATCTCATCATATTTCATGCAATTGGAATCAAACGATCGGAGCAGTGATGATCATGGTGATGTGAAAGGAGCCAGGAAAGGCGGTTTGAAATTTGGCTATGGTGGAAGCAGTAAGAGGAGAATCATGAACAGACGAAATGTTTCTCTCAGACTGGAGAGGATTGGAGCTTCTGATGGATGGCTTGCAAGGTAATGGCGACCTAGTTGGCGAATTGTTCTGTTGACGAACAGACGACGAACTCTGTGATCTGCCAGCAGACATCGGTAGCATCTGTCAAATTTCAATGAGTGAGAAACTTCAATAGCCTCGTCACAGGAGTACCTCCAGCTCCTTGAGGCTGGCCTGCAGTTTGTTGACCACCATCTGGAGGTTGGCAGACAGAAGTTCACTCGTTCCTCTGGCTTCCACCAGTTCTTTCACATCATCCAAGAAGTCCTTTGCGTCCACCAGAGCTTTGCCACCTACGTCCATCCCAGCACCTGATCAAAAGCATCTGATTACGAATTGCGTGTTCAAAATCCGAGCTGCTAGGGACACGCGGAAGTCATCTCACAGAACAAATCTGGACTCCGTTCAGTTCCTTGCAAGCGCATCTCTCGTGATCTCGAATCTTCATCCACTCCGTCAAAGGAAGGATCGAGGAATTTCGACCATTTGTGCATTTGACAGGTTGAAGCAATTTATATCTTCAACCCTGGTAGGGTTTGGTGCACCGATCCAAACGAGACTGCAATCATCTCTCCGCTCATCGCTCATCGCTCAAATTTGTGCACATTGCGCCAAAAGGCCGAGAAGCGACTCAATGAAAAACAGAGAGAGCAAGCCGATTACGTAATATGAACGAATTCCTAAAACTCAAATTCGGATCGCAATTCGCACATGGCTTAGAAGTGTAGGTCATCACAAACTGCCGAGAGAAGATTCTGGTCACCGACGGACTCTCGGAAGTCGGATTCACCTGAATCATGGCTGGAGAACGATGCCCACGATGTTCATACACGACGATGGCTATGCTCGTCTTGTGTCGCCTCCATTCGTCGTTCCGACATGGCGAGCTTTGAAGACCTCGGAGTCGCCCTCCCTCACGCAGAGACCTCGAGAGATGCCAATGTCGGCCATCAGCAGCAGAGCGGCTTTTCAGGAGCCACGAGAGTGAAACTGCTCTTCAAGTCGAGATGAGCCTCCCTGCTTGCATCGAAGGGATGACGGCTGCTGCCGGAGGAGCATTCGGATTCTTCCCACACCTTCAATTTCTGGACTGGAAGAAAGGATCAAGACACATTGTCTTCATATGCTATATAATCCTTGGTAGCTCAAAATGTGCGGAATGATCTTGCTCTGTCCAAGTTTTCACGAGAAACAGGTGGAGAACGGATGTTATGTGTACAATATGAATTACATAACTATCAGACAACATGCATAAACCGACTTTACATATTACTTCCATATTCTCGAGTGAGTATTAGAATTCGTTGATGGGTGTCCTGTCCGACATCTGTGATGATAAAACATTGTATTTTCGTGAACCATGCCGTTACTCATCGACACACTCTATGGTTGCAGTGAAGCTAATTATCAAGCGAGTGGTGTTCTAACCAGATTCCAAGGCAAATTCACTTTAGGCTCGTCAATTATATTCGGAAAGCAGTTGTTACGTACACAAGTAGAAGCAATATGGCTGGTCACTTGCAGCTCATCCGATAAAATTGCAGCTTCTCCGTGAGGGTTTAGCAAACTCCTGCTTGAGAGTATAGCTTGCTTTCATAAGTCGGCCCATGAATTTTAGACATCGCGCCCCGTTTCTGCATAGTCTTTGTCATCACGAGCGATAGCTGTGATAGGAAGCTTAAGCTTAAATTATGTACTACTACCAGTACCGTAAATTAAATTCTTCTTCAATGTTATAACTGAGAAAATTGTAAAATGGGAAGTTTATATTAGACGGAAACACAGGAAAGAAGAAACCATGGCACTAGAGGTTCCTGATTCATAACTAGCGAACATTCTCAACATTGTAAACTTTAGTTGCAGCTACTTCGGTAGGTTCCTATCCTTCAGCGGGGTATGGGCATCGGACGAGACAATGCAGCTTAACCAATCGCAAGCCATACTGGAGGTTACCAATTTGTTTGAGGTCACAAGCTGATGGTGGCACCAGATCCCATAACGAAGAAAACAATGAATAGCATGTGAAGACAACAGACTCTGCCATCCAGGAACAAAGAAAGAAGACTGGAATTTTCGAGCAACGTATAACACAAGCAATTACGGATGCCATCGCTTACTTCGAACTGAAATGTTTCAAAATTTCGAGACTTCCTTTCAGATCGAGTGGCCAAGGTTCCTGCATAAGGTACAAACGAGTTGTCCATCGTAGACTCGAAGTTCGATTCTCGGTCTTGCATGAACTGATTGACTCGTGAACATATTACGCAGTCCTTGAAAATGAAATCTACAGTTTCGTGATTTGAAGTGACTAAAATACATTGTGCACGGTGGACCTTATCTCTCCAGCTGAAAACTCCCCTCAGTCCTACAAAACTCATCTTCGAAATATCGGACAAAACTTAAGACAGGTCTTAAGAGCTTCACTAACCGCTACTCTTCCAACAGAGGCTTCATACACTCCAATTGTGAATCACAAGCTTCCTGGAGCTTCATGCTGGCTTCACTTCGGAATCTACGGGTAAACTATTCTACAACTACCGTGGCACTTCTAACATTTGATTCTTGTAGAGAAATTTATTTCTCAAATAGTCCCTTGACATACACCATGCCTTTCTCCATAAGTTCCAGCTCTCTACGTAACCGATCAATCTGCTCATCATCACCTTGGAGGATGACGTCTGTAGACGTTTCATCGTCTGATACTACCATTTTGACTTTGATCTCCTCCTTGCGAGATGCCCTGGTCCAGTAGTACACACCTCTGCAGGAAATCGTTCACTGATCAGTACATACAGCTTCGTGCTGAAAGTCCTGAGGTAGGAGGTTACTTTGGTACACAATAATGATATCACTGGAATATTGTGAGGAAGGAAAAGGATAAATTGGACTTACGCGAGTGGGCTCAAAAATGTCAAAAAGTACCAATTACTGCCGACGTCGGGGGCAGTAATTGTAAGAACAAGGGCAACACAGCCAAGACTGATTGCCGTACAGAAGGACAAGAAAGCTGCCTGGCCCCTGCTTGGAACCATCACTCCTTCAAATCTGTAGCCAAACAGAAAGCAAACAACTCTGTCAGAAGGGATGGGCAGCAAACAGAGCATGCTCATCAATCGACTATGAGTAATCCTCTATGCTAGAATGAGAAGTTTCATTAAAGCCTCGAATCTCGGAAATCACAGGGAGTCATTATTGTAATTTGAAAATATTCAGCTCGAGTGTCATTCACTATCAACATATAGTACTTTGAATCTTGCAGAGATTTACCATCGGCTAACAATTCTCTAAGTTTATGTAACTGTATTATGCACGAAATTGATGTTGGAAATCCAAATCCACCTGCTTCAACTTCGTGATTAACGATGATTCATAAGGTCAGTCTCATAATGCGCAAACGTACAAACAAAGTTTGGTGTGTGAATTTCGTGCAAGAGTTACAGCTCCACTCACGTGACAACTTCTCCTCTGTCCGTGATATTAAAGTTATTCCTCGTCAGGGAAGATGTGATTTCCCCGGCAATTTGGCTCGGTATCTTTCCATTATCAGCGCCCGGTCCAGGGACAATAAAAGTTTTCTTCACAATCTGCATAAAAGTCCTTAAGGTAGTAAGACATATATATTTCCCTTATGGATGGGTCACAGAAGTCAGCAGAGCTTTGCACCTGAACGCATGCTGGCAATCAAAACACGTGATGAAAGAATTCATGGCATCCACCGTCACAAACCCTCGATGCACTAAACGACTGTTTGACAATAAGTTCGGAAGAACCTCGGAATGTTTTAATCTCCTGTAAGCTGTAAGCCAGCAGAAAAATCATGAGAGCGAGAAGTTCCTACAACTGTTGGCCAATTTCAAAAAGTAAAAGGCTCAAGTCCTGTGAAGCGAATCTGTACCTTAGACTTCGTAGATCGCTTGACCAAGGACCACACGCCAGGAACGGAAATCACAAAAAGCCCTAGGGAAGTGTAGTAGCTAGCTTGAGAATACCCGGCACCTTCAGCAATGGCAGGAACAATGAGCATGGGAGCAACGCTGAACAAAGTGAACGCGTTTCCCGAGCTGGAGGCAGCATTCTTCTGCTCGCGTCTTAAGCTTGCTTCTACATTGCCCTGTTCACGGAATTCTAAGGCACCAGAGCTGGGCCCAAATTCAGCATTGCTAGTGGTCTGTACAGAAGACGTTTCCGAGGGCCTTTCAAGCGAGCACCTCATGGCCAATCTTGCATGCTCCGGGCGTCTGCTGGCCCTACGCTTCCAAACATTCGACGATGGCGAGGCAAAGCAAGAATTCGACCCAGCTCGAGACAATCTGAGTCCATCCAGACCCACCAGCGATGGCAGCTTGCAGCTGGCCATTGTCCTCCCTCTCGGGCACCAACACTCCAAACCCTCCCACGCAAAATACTCAAAATCCACGCAATCAAGACCTCGAAGTTCTCCGTAAAATGTCCAGAGCGTCGCTCGGGTGCCTGTCCCAGACGATGACGAGAAGTGCAGCTGCTACACTCTTCGAGTCTGCTGCTGCTGCCACTGCCACTGCCACTGCGAGAGCTCGCAACGGCCAGCGTGCCCCCGTTGGTGCCAGCCGTGATTTGCTGCGGGAGCTCATGGCCCCAAGAGATTGGATGAGGTTCAGCTGAAGGCCGAGCAGGACGCAGCGAGCGTGGCGCACCCGTGGCGTCGCGATTCTCTTCGCTTTCGCGAGAATCTTATCGAACCTTCCGCAGATTCGCTGGAACCTCTACTCCTCCAGGCTCTGGGAAGGTGACACGTGCTCGTGGGCCTCGCCTGCCACCTCGTGGAAACTGGGCATTGTCAAATTCACCATGCCATACTTTACTGCACGAATCAACTCGTGAATGCCGAGAGTCTTGCCTCGTGCACTGTCCCTGGCCCTCAATGTGAGATTCTGTTCTTTACACGTTCTCCACGGACATCGACCTTGGAGTTCGGCCGAAGGTTCCCCATTCCAGAGTGCTCACTGTGTTGAATGAAAGCTGTCAATGCTACAAGGCCTTCTTCAAAGCCCACGCGTGATTTTTATTTTACAATTGCGCAGTTTTACAAAAAGTACACACCGCCTTCTGACTTCTGTCATCCGGCAGTCAGTTGCAGACACATGTTTTGGTAGTGAAATGACAGTTGAATGTTGGAATGAAGAGCACCGTGAACGCACACCTTTATAATCTTCTAAGTTATCCAAATTGTTCTCAGCTCGCAAGTCACTGAGCTCAGTATATTTTTGTTGCTATTGAAAAATACCAGCGGGAGAGAAGCATGGAGAAGGCGGATCTTCTAGATGTGTGTTCGTATATTGACTGTATTTCCTTTACTGAATGCCAGACTGCAATTAGCACATTCTGGCAGGTGACATATTTCACATATGCTTTTACAGCATGTTGGAGCATATCTACCTGAGGCTTTCGTAAAACATTAACCGAAAATATTACACATTGTTAATTCTTCCTTTTTTTCCTTTGGTTGCTGCTATTGCGTTTCAACCTGTACACGTATAACTGATCCTTTCCCGAATGACTTCAGGTGGCCATTCTCAAATTGCACTCCAGTTTATGGCACCATATTAGACGTCTCAAATTCTTTTCACGCTTCACGAAAGGACTAAACTTCGCTCTCGGGTACCCCAAGCTGCTCCAACACTTTTTTCAGTTCTCCAATATTGGAGATCACGTGATCTGGCTTGGGTCCATTCTTGGGAAGTTCCTCTTTGTGTAAGTTCACCCACACAGTCGATAAAAACCCGGTGTTGATACCGCCCTTCACAAGCAAAAACTCTCGTTACTGAAGAGTAAGTATAGTGCATACAGACAAAAGTCGAATACATCGTCTTGAATCTGATTCCACCTTGGGCCTCTCCACAAAAGCAAGACTAAATGAAGCGAGAAATACTGGAACCACTAATGGACTTACCAGAATGTCCGTAGTCAATGTATCGCCAACCATTATGGATTCTTGTGGTTTACAACCAGCAATATGGCATGCCTTCAAAAAAATATCTTTATGTGGCTTTGCCTTCGGTTCCTCTGCATAACACACAAACTAGTTAAAATCGTAGGCTGAAGCAGTTCAGCAAATTCAATCGATAATAAGACTCTAATTCCACAACTTGAGAGTATTTGTACACACCTCCACCAACAAGTATAGTATCGAAGAGCTCGGATGCCCTGCAAGCTTGTAATTTTGCCCTTTGAACCTGTCACAAGTCATCCAAATCCCATCGTCATGATCTGCCATTCACGGGGATAAGGATAACATTCAACTTCACGGAAATATGTGCTTGTATCTCCTCTTCAGGTTCAGGCCTTTGATGCTTGACCGATGGGAGATCCCTGTGACAGCTTGGTGAAACTTGTGTTTACAGAAGCATGTTTCACGTTTTGCAAGGGAACAAGCAGATGTTTTGCCCAGTCTAAACAAAGTGCCAATAGCTGTTCAGAATGTTACCACCGGATGACCATTGGTGATAACACCCACTTTGATCCCTCGACCTTGAAGCTTCTTTACTAGCTGCACATTAAAGAGCACATGCACTTAATAAAAGAGCACCAATCCATCATACACAAAGCATCACCTCAAAGTATCACACAGAAGTATTTAAGGGTTGACACGTACTCATCCACAAAGGACAAACAAGTCCTCCGTCCTTCAGAATGAATACTTGGAAAGACCTTGTGCCTGAGATAGCGACGACGAGAGCTAGTTACTGTGGATATATCAACTACAAACTCACTGTGTGAATACGATAAGATTCTTGCCTGTCAAAGAAAGCCATTATGATTGTGAAAGTACCGCTTCAACACCGGATGCCCATCGAAATGCTCGCAGTCTCTCTCGATCAAAACAGCTCTGCATTTCCTGCAAAGTGCCATAAATGCTTCCAAAACTAAGGACGAAACACAATATCTGAAGAACAAAAGACCTTGAGAGAGCAAAATACTCCATGAAGCTTTCATAAACCCACGATGTGAATTGAAAAAAAAAAAAATGGAGAATTTGCCAATGTAGATTAGGCTTCATGAGGACATAAATACTCGACTAGCATGTCAACCACGATACAGGGGAGAAAGACAATATATGCAGTCCTATCCCAGAATGGAGAATACAGAAACTTTAAGGATTGAGCAATTACCCTGGCCAATTCCATGTTCACCACGCCCTGCTCTTGGAGAGCCTGATGCCACAACGTAGCCCTCCATTCCGTGACATCTACCTGCACTCCCACGTCAACTGTGAATAAACATTTTGCCCTCTTTCTCACAGGTCTTGCAGTCCTTCATGATTTCATACAATCGAGGAATTCACATAATCTGCAATTCAATACACAAAAGCGATACATTTAACGTTTCGATTAATCTCAAACATTGACATTTAAGACTTCGAATTTTCACTGACCAAGATAAGCAAAAGCATAGGCTTCCGAGGACTCTCGTGTTTGATTGAAATTCACCGTGGCAACATTCCTGAATGGCTATAAGCAAAGCTAGAAATGGATCTACAATTACATCTACAGGCAATTGACTATCTTCAAAAACTTTCAAAGTAAGCAACCCTGGAGTATGAAAATGAATCCGGTCACGAACCTTGTTCTCAGGATCCCAAGCTTGCGCCACAAATTTCTTGATAAAAGACCTCAAAACGACAGACCTTGCAACCTTCGGATACTTGGCTGCCACCAATTCTAAAACTGCCGAGTGAGCCACGCTATCGGCCTCGTGCGTGAGGACAAGCGTGTCATCGAGATCGAAAAATACGCCTCCAAGCTTGCGATCTGTCTTGGACGCCATCGAAAATTGTCCCACCTGCTCTGCCACTGCTAAAGCCCTGCCAGTGTTTCTTCGCTGCTCAGAAGTGCAAATTGCGGCTCGTCCTGCTACTTTCGACTCTGGTTTTTTCAATTCACTCCCAATCTTGCGACATTGAAACTTGGTGCGGATACGGACGATCTGACGGGCACCGTCTGGTGGGCTTGGGCAGACGCGGCCTGTGAAGTAGAAAGCACTCTGAGCAGCCTGCATTGTGACTATTGCACCCAGAAGCTCGATATTCTGCTACATTTGTGGAAGTTCAGGCACCTCCTTCCCACGAACAAAGAAAGCCTCATTCCCCGAGTAAGGGATAGTGTGGCCCGCCACTACAGAACTACAGAACGAACGAATTCTGGGGTTTCCTTGTGAATAGAGAAATCTGCCTAGTACCAAATGTTTACTGTAATCTAATCTCTGTGCATTTGCATTTGCGCGTTTCAACATTCTTTTGTTTTCACATCACAACAATTATGAGAGAGCATTCTCTGGTCATTGGATCGATCATTATGATTACTGGAGACTATTGTATTGTGCATGTTGGAAAGTATTTTTATGTACCTCAAGGCTTCCACTATGTTATAATCAAGTTTATTTTCTTCATTTTGTTCCTATATCTCTGAGTATCTACTAGATGATTGAAAAGGGTTTACAAATCGGAATATTGCGCAGCATTTTGTGATGTAAGTGCATCTTGACATGCTTAGATGGTTGTGCCGTCTTAAAGTTCAGAATTGCGTACAACCTCAAGTTCATGAAAGCAAAATCAGATGAACAAGACTGGCGATAATGTTTTTGTCAGAGTTTTGTGAAAATGTCTTCATCTTTAATTTATATGAGCCAAATGTTTTTCAATTGTCAACCGGAAAGCTTCGGAACTTTTGTACGGAGAGAATGAGTGCGTTGAAGTCTAGCGATTGAGTTGAACATACTGTAAAAGAGAATGGAGATTATCTTCACCACTTAATCTCTTTTATTTACCTTTGGACATTTTAGAAAGGGTACACAGTATTTTCGATGTCGGGACTTCAACCAGGGTCCCTCGGGTGAGAGCCGAGTATCCTAACCAACTAGACCACAACGGATGATAATACAGCGGCTATGTCAATGAACCAATGTCCAAACACTTACTATCATCATATTCAATATCTTGTGATACTTGTTAACCTGCATTGATGTTAATTCCGTGAAATTCTTTTGAATATCACAATAGATGCACTTTAAAACTTACTGTGTGATTGGTCATAGATCATGATTATTATCAAGAATTTAACTGCATTTATCATCAAATTAGATCTTTGTGATAAACTCTTTGAACACATATCATTATGAAATAAAATAAATTATGAATTAACTAATGTGTTCATATGTAAATAGAGAGAATAAAAGACAAAAAAATGCAAAGTACATTAAGAGTTAAAAGACATTATAAATTTCATGGGTCATACATTAACATTAAAAAAAATTAATATGAAATCATTTTCCTTTTGACATATTTCATTCAGTAATATGGAAGAAATGAATTTCATCATGTGGAGTTTTCTTAAAATCCATCATACATACATACATGCATATGTATGTCTGGGTATTCACTTTTCACTTTTCAATTTTGCATCTAAGAACTATGTATTGTTTTGTAGTTTGCATAAGGATAGCCACCAAATGGATAGCAAAAATTGATCATAGTGAGGCGAAAGTCTAATTGAGATTTGTATTTTCTTAATTGTGACAGAAAGATTTTTTTTAAAAAAATCCATGATAAGATAACACCATCAAGCCAAATGGGAAAGATTTATAAAAAAGAATACCTAGATGTCTGTCTCTTATATTATGACATTTTTAAGAAACACATATTAGGACTTAAATGAAAAGTATCAAAATTAGATTAAATATAAACAGAAACATATCGTGTTGCATTGTCTACTGTAGTTGTTCGCTTGTAAATATTATGAAAGAAGAAAATACAACTCCTAAATGAATTTAAAATGAAAATAAAATAAAATTCTTCATAACATTATGTCAAAATCCACCATCCTTGATGCATATAAATATAAATCTAAAGACGAGAGCTTAATTCAAATAATGACATTGCAATAATGACATTCAAGTACAGAGCTATGTTGATGAGTATATAGATCAGATCCTGGCCACTGCCGACGAAGATGGGTACTAACCTCTTCCTAGACTTGGCTGTGCATAGGATCAAATGCAAAACTTTACATTGTAAACCTATAACATAGCGATAGCAAATATACTTCTCTACTTTTTAGAACTTCAAATAGAGCAAAATTTATTGCATTCTATCATGTATTTGATTCACTTTTAGATCACATCAATGATTTTGGTATAATTTATGGATTCCAGATTTTTCTTGGATGAAGTAGTTATCGGAGATACAAGTATTTTGCTGAGAATGTGACGCTGTACGTACATTACCCTTTCCTAAGGGGGCAGGAGTTTTGCTAGACTAAGTTGCCGAGTGCTTTATTTTCCTAGGGAATCAAAACATTGCGCGTACCATTAGCCACGCTTGCTGAGAAAAAAGGCTTTGAGAAATCAAATAGCTTGAGGTCGAACCTCGCGACGGGGACCAACGAGGGAGGCCGCGATTCTTGCAGAGTTCTTAGTCTTGACTTACACGAGGGACTTAGACTCAAGTCAGGAAAGAGATGAGCGCTTCATGCCGTGGCGTGGCCAGGCGAATATGCGACACCGTGTCCTCCAGAGGAGAAAGCATTCTGTCGCTGGGCCTCGACGTCGCGTCGCGTTGCATTGCACTGCGTCGATCTTTTCTGGTCCCGCAAAAGAGCGACAGCTTTCAAATCCTCGTGCAAGTCGTCGACCAGCAATTTGAATCCTGACAGTCTCGATGGTCAGCGAACGATCCGTGACCGGGCGAGGGTAATGTGAGCCTCGACGAATCGATTGGGTGCATGCTCGGACTGTGTGCGCTTGACAGACCCGAATTCTCCAGATGGCTCAGATTCCGAGCTTGGATCATGCGCCCATCAATCTCTCAGCTCTCAGGTACGGATCGAGCATTTGCGCATCCCCGGCCTCAAGATTTTTCCGGAAAGAATTCAACTTGTGAGCTTCTTGTGAACGTGCGCAATTCTTCCGTGCCGGGAAAATCCTCCAGCGAAATTGGACGTTATGCCCTGGATTTGAGCATACAGAATGAGGCAGAGTATCAGAGTGGCTGATCAAGTGGAGGACAAACTGGATTCTGGTGGATAGTTATAGGACTTATTGAACCTAGTTTACTGCGACCGGATTTTTGGAATGTCTTCCAGAATCAAAAGTTTATAGTTTCTGATATCATAATTGAGCTGCAAACGAAGTTATTCGGAAGCACATTACAAAATTAAAAAGGGGGCATGCATGGAGACTGCTTAAGCTGTCCAAGGGGGTTCCAAGATAATGTAATTTTAGTTTTCTATGGCAGTCCTCCTCCCGTCTAATTGATCCACTAGGGCTTACTTAATTCTCATTGACTTACTGTTTTTCGTCGAATTTACAGGGAACAGGCCCAAAAGGAGCTGATTCAAATCTTGAGCTCTGTAAGTGTATTTTTGGGTGCTTTTTCAGCTCCTTGTTATGATTTCAGGCATAATTTGTCCATCAGGACTCAGTGTCCTGCTTTTATCAGTTGAGAGAACTGTGATCCTGGTATTTAACCTATTCTTATATTTGATGTGCTGATGTTCTTGCAGGTGCGTGGCAAAAAGGTCCTAGTACTGGATCCTAAGCTCAGTGGTCCACTGGCTCTAGTTGCGCAGCCCTCTCTTCTCAAGGTCTGAAAAATTTTCATTCCTCAAAGTTTCTTCCTGTGGCTGAAGGAATTAAGCACAATGCCTTCCATTTACAATTGGTGTTTCGCATGTTTGAGTTTGCAGGAAAATGGAGTGGAGAACCTTTATCATCTCTCTGCCGATCCTGTGGCGTCAGAATGTAAGAATGTCATATACTTGATGAGACCTCGCATGGGACTCATGAAACTCATTTCTTCACAAATTCAGCAAGACAATATTCAAAAGCTGCAAAAGAATTATACGGTGGTCTTCTTGCCACGGCGCACTATAATCTGCGAGAAGGTTAGTACCTTTTCACAACCCCCAATTTAGTAACCTGTCTGTTCTTTTATTTGTTTCTCAATTTTACAAGTTTTGAAGTTTGATGGAGACATGAATAACAGGTGGTTTGTTATGAAGGTTTTGGAGGAGGAGGGCATTCTTGGTAGCGTGACCATCCTCGAATACCCCTTGTACCTTATTCCATTCGACGAGGACGTGTTGTCACTGGAACTAGACATGGCATTCAAAGTAAGGCAGTATCCTTGTGGTTTAGAATAGGAGTGGATGAAATGACGTACATTTTAACGCATTTAACCATTTCCATTCGTTAGATGCAAAAAGCGAACAGTTTATTTCGTTCAATGTCACATTTATGATCTATGACTTGTGTGCAGGAAACTAAAGTTGATGGAGATCTGAGCGCACTTTGGTATCTAGGGCGCGCCATTACCCTTCTGCAGGTTTTCTGTCACTACCTCAAATATATATGTGAATAAGTTTGCTAGAAGGAAAACCTTTTGGTAAATAGTTGACTCATTATGTTCTTAGATCTCGAGCTAAGGCGTCTTGCTTTTGTGTACATGCCTGGATATGTGTCATGTTCAAGCGATTTAGAAGACAGGATCGCTACGAGAAACACGTACAAGGAGGCCCCAGAGCCGGTCAAAGATTTGGACAACCTCTGCCTTATTAGCACTGCTGCTTTCTTTTATATCAACCTGACACTCTTTACAACTGTCTGCAGGCGCAATTCGGAGTTATTCCGAACATCAAGGGCAAAGGAAAAGCTGCAGTTCAGGTTGCTGATATTTTGAATCGAATGCAGAGAGAGCAGATGCCAGATGCAAATGCAGCAGTGAGTATCCCTTGCTTGAATAGTTTTGAATGTGTCGTTTAGTGTGAGTTCTTCTTGGTTTTGCTCTTTGATTAAGCAACGTTTAACCAGGGCAAGGTTTATCGTCCCCAGGCTATGATAGGTACACTCTTATGAGTACAATTTGGTGGTTTAGTTGTTATGAGCTAACGTCCCCATCTTGTAGAAGAGGATGTGTGTTACTATAAGAGTCAGTTTTTTCTGCTTCTAAGTAAGCACCTGCAAGTCACAACTGCACATTTTGTTTCATCATTTCCATAACGAGGTGTTGTATCAAAATATTCAATTATGGTTTGATAAGTGCCTTCATGTATATGGCATCTAATGTCCTAACTTAGCTTCTTCGTTCTGTAGGTCGTTACGCCAGAAATTGACACAATGATCCTTATCGATCGCCAGGTAAGGTAGTTGAATGCTTATTTAATGTAATCAACTTTCTGGAAGCGTCATTAAACTTACCTTGCTTGCTCCTTACCTGATATCACCGCAAGCTACCACAAATCTTATTATCTTATAAAGTTGGAGCAGAATAGTATTGTAGTAGTTTGTAGTAGCTGATAACGATGTCAATGTTGATTTATCCATTTTACAGGTCGATTTGGTTACACCTATGTGCTGGCAACTCACATATGAAGGTTTAATTGATGAGGTACTTTTCTGCTTTCACTTACTTCGTGGTTTATATCTCGGGTGTATTGTGTCACCATCTAAAGTTATTAGGTTCTGGTGTTTCTCTTTTCAGTCAGATCATTTCATAGTTTGACGGTGCATGTCGTTCCAGTACAGTTTCTCACGATCAGCAACGGAGCTGTGGAGCTGGACCCAACCATCATGGGAATAGCACAGTCCGGTGTTAAAAAGGCAAAAGTTCCCTTGAATTCTAGGCAAGTGCTGCTTTTCTCTTACATCATAAACCAACACATTCGCCGAAAACCTTGATTCTTGGAATCTACTCTTTTCCGTAGATTCAGTTAGACTCTGAGGATGACGTTCCGTAGATTTCGTTTGCATGTGGACTGGCAAATGAATTTAAGACTGCAATTCTACGACATAGTTTTCATATCATCTCTCAACTCAATCTATACTGTATCGTGTGGTGAGGTGATTATTATAATTATGTCTGTAAATGTATCCATCTCTCTGATGTTATGAATTCATGTAATTGCATGCAGTGACAAATTATACCGAGAACTTCGAGATTTGAACTTCGGAGTCGTTGGTCAGGTTCGTTGTTCCAGTAGGACATGGAGCCGTACAGAGTTTTTTTTGGAACGCATTCATCTAGCAACTCTCAGGACTTCATGCATTTATCGTTTGGATCATGCAAACGTAAGTTGATGCAGATTATGCAATAATTTACCCTCCTATTGAAGCTTTCGTTCATGTTTCAGGTTCTTCGTAACAAGGCCACAAGTATGAAGCAAGACTACAACGATGTGACAGGTGGAGGTCCAGTAAGTTTCTCAAGTCTTTGTAGTCATTGTCATACGACGATCCATTGAAAGGGCCAATTCACCAATTCTTGAGTTAGCAGTTCCATCTCACCAACTCTCGATTAATCTAGTGTTGAGTGTCTTCAATTCAGTTTAGCAACTTCAAAAGAAATCTTTATGACGACAGATCAGGCACTATTTTTTTTGTCTAGATTCTTTTTTGATGTACGCTTGGTTTCTGTTTGCAGCAACATCAGTCTGTTTCTGAGCTCAAAGACTTCGTGAAAAAATTGAACGCGCTCCCAGAGTTGACGGTACGAATTTCCAGTTTTTTTATCGTCTCTTGGAACGATGACAAAATGATACTTATCATTTGTTAGTAAAATGCTCCTGCAAGACGATATAGTCATTCTTTTTGAGTGTGCACAAAGTCATACTGATCTACCTGATCACTGGATCCTCGTATATGCAGAGGCACACTAATATTGCCCAACATTTGTCCACATTTACCACGAAGTCGAAGTTTTTAACACGCCTCAGCATCGAACAAACTCTTGTGGAGGGACTAAGCTACGACATGCAAGTGCCCCACCTCTAGTATATCATGGCCATTAAAAAATCTAGCGTCAGTGCCTGTGACTGTCCTTGGCCAACAAAAGTTGAAATTATGGTCACTACTTCGAAAGCTTGTTTTGTTTCAATGTCTCATAGAATTCTCATCGTGGCATATTGGTTCCTGTTTGATTAAGTTTGGGTCATATTGGGTTCATGAACAGATCATTTGAATTTGTGGAGGAGATGATACATAGGCAAGAGCCTATCACGAGTGTACTTCGATTACTAGTACTTCTCTCACTGACCAGTGGTGGTCTCCAAAAGAAGCATTTTGACTATCTCAGGTATCTATTAACGGAGGCATAATCCCAGGGCAGGGATTCTAGTGTTGAGACCTGAGTTTGGAGTCTAAATCTCATAACAATTTTATTGGTTTGTAGAAAGAATGATGGTTTAGCCTATCGCGAAAGCTGTACATGTTCCGAGTTGTTCTTGATGTATGTGAAGATGTGGCCTGATTTGATTGTGCATGTATTTAAAGGTGGAACAAACTCATGTCATACGTTTCGTAGATGTACACGTTTCTTCTTCTAAAGTAGGATATGCAGGGCATCATATAGGGTAATGGAAGATGCTAGACTGAACAACTTTACTCATATCCCTGATTTCAGGCGGGAGGTTCTGCATACCTATGGCTTCGAGCACATGTTTACTTTAAGCAACTTGGAAAAAGCTGGACTTTTAAAAAAGCAGGTTGGCTTTCCGCTATTTCTTTATTACTTTTAGGTTTGCTGATTCTTGAAGTTATTATAGGCGTTTCGGATGCTTTTGTAGCAATGGTTTGGCGATGCCAGGAGATTAGAATTCAGATTTCTATCAAGAATGAGTGTGTTGTTTCTGAACTCCTCAGCAACGTCGGATTTTAACAGGAAGCCAAGAGCAGCTGGCAAAACATTAAGCGTGGATTCAGACTTGTTGTTGAAGATCAAGATGATGCCAAGTAAGCTTACTTCAACGACTATGCCTTGAGGGTTTGTCTATTGTTGCTATACCGATCGCTCACTTTTTGAAGGCTTAGGCTAATTGAATTGTTTCCTGCTTGGTTGATAAGGCTTGATCCGTTGGCTTTTCAAAGCATCATTATATCATTAAATGATTCTGCCCTAAAGCAGCAGTCCTCTAATAAAAAGTAGATGCATTTGACCCACACTTAAGAACGAGTCAAGCAACTTACTCTTACAGTTTGTACACTTGGTCGGAAGGTTTTGAAAGTAAACCTAACACTGGGTCGTCATGGGTGGCAGTCCCACAGATGTTTCTTATGTTTACTCAGGATACGCGCCTCTTAGTATTAGGCTTGTCCAACACGCGCTCAAAGGTGGCTGGTAAGTTGCTGATGGCTACGAGTATAATATTCTCCCGTTTTTTTTTTATATATTCCCGTGTCAAGTTTGAGTCTTGACTTGTTGAGTATTTGCAAGCGCTTTAAGTCTTGCTATAATTGACTGGCAACTGAATTTACAGGAAAGCTGTGGACGAAGTTTTCAAATTGCTACCGGGGCAAAGTTTTGATAGGAAGCAAGTAAGTGTTAATGCTCTCGAGGAACTTTATCAAGAGTTCTGTAAGATCATGGCAGAAGATGTCATTTTCAACTGTTGTCAAGAGCGGTGGCTCTAAATGAATCAACCACATGTTTTTGCATTAGCTTCATAAACAATGATAGACGTTCAAGTAAGAAGGTCGCTGAACAGCCTTCAGAGATTCTATTTTACTTTCTGTATCTACCCAACTTCAACTTCCTCAGTTCAAACCAGGCACACCTGTACGAACGACCAGGTGACTTGTTGCTAAACGATATCGAATATGTTTCATGCAGGGGTCACAGGCAGATCAAAGTGTTCTCTCGAGAGACGGTAGTGCACGAGAAGGTTCAGTAACAGCGGACAGGTCGGTGCTTGTGTTTGATACAGTATCAGGAGAATTGATGGTCAAGTATTGGCAGTTACCTTTTTGTATCACTCTAACTTTGGGTTGCTTGCCTGATTCTGCCTTATCTGCTGAGCCAGTGCCCCAGCGGTAGATGGGCGGAGGGCTGTTGTCTTGGTTGTCTTCATCGGAGGAGTTACATACGCAGAAATATCTGCTCTGCGATTTCTTGGAGCACAAGTAAGAAACATCATAACGTATGGTGGAAAAGCTGTTCTAATGTATGAAGAGATTTGCTCATTAATGAAGTTAAGAGTGCACGTTTTTTCCTTTTCAGATACGTGATTAATACGTCAATGTGCAGGAGGGTATGAAGTACGACTTTGTTATTGCCACAACAAAGTTAATCAACGGAACGAGTTTGCTGAAGTCTATGGTGGAGGAGAGCTAAAGGGAGCAGGAACCCACATCCATTGTCTTTCTTATGATTTTTGCCGGCATCTCTCCATCAATTTACAAATGTGAGAAGAGGTCTGCGTGCTTTCGAGTGGGACCTGAAATATAACACCTTCGGTCATGCTCTCTACTGTCAACTACGAAGTGTGTTGCATTTGCTCTGGAGATCTATCTTTGCAATTCATAGAGTTCATGTTCTTCTGGAGGTTGAAATTGTAGACACAGGGATACACGGTTTGAGGAACGATGGGCAGCTTCGAAGTTTTGATATGCTACATAGAGAGCTTGCACTATCCTCCCGCTGATGATACCAAGTTTCCCATTGAGCTTGCAGAGGAGAGTCACGATTTACGACAAAAGTCCGCTGCCCCGCTTGTATATGCAGTCATTCCCTTGCCACCATCTTTTTTAGGTATATACAGTAGTGACTACACAGATACATGTCATATATGGTGGTTTTTCCAACTCAGCAGCATTTGAGTGTCCAATAGTTCTGTTTGATTATTTTGAAACGAGTTTTCGAACTCAGAACTTTTTCGAAATTTGCAGTTGCTTTTGGTGAAAAGAGCTCGTCTCGTGAATTGAATCGAATATATGGTGGTTATGTATGGTGGTTTTTCAACTCAGCACATGGATCATTGGTGTGTCTCACACTGTCAGAAGACTGCTGCACATTTGTCCGATTGTAACAATGATGTCGTCAGGAGCAGCAGTGTTACTAGAACTAGCAAAGTTGAAATTTTCAGTCTTCGAGTAAAAATTTTAGCACTTGACCATTTCAGCCCGATTTGCGCGGGGTGGTTGAGGTAGGGCCTGCCTTGACTTACCTTCCCAGGATGATCATTGTATCTCGAACAAATCTTTTGAGTGTTTCTGGGATATTTTCCTCAACTCCCGGAGTTCCAGTCAACAGAAGACCGAAGTCCTCACGATTGCTCACGAACCATGACAAAAAAAGACACATGATTTTTAGTATTAAATTCAAATTTTAGTGCTTGTTTAGATAAACAAGCTCATGTTTAATTGAAACAAAATAAAACGGAAAGCTATGAAATGAATTTGATAGAAGTTAATGATAATAAAAAATTTAATGTTTTGTTTGATAACTTATTGAATGTCAACAAAATAGTAGTACTGACAAAATTGAAATCAATTTATCTTTGTGAATATGTTAACATTTAAATATGAATGTATTAATGAAGATCAATATTGTATAATATATAACTAAATCAACTATCAAAATTGATAAATTTTAATATTAAAGAAACTACTTTGATTGAAGACAAAAATTGTTCATATGATGTCAAAATATTATATTGTAATAATTAAATTATAAGTTAAAGAGTGTAAAATATAATAAAAATATAGATAATTTTATTTGATATATAATTTATGATAAAAATTAAGACTGGTGATTAATTTAATAAATAAATTTATGCATTTTAAATTAAAATTAATTATCATTTAAAATAAATAAATAAGTTGAGTTAACCATTTACATAAATTTTATATATATAATCTAAGTTATGTATATATTTTTTATACTATGAAATTTGATATATATAGAAATCTATGTATATAAAATTTAGTTTTCAATAAAAACATTTTTCTTGTATATATACAAAATATTTCCATAGTTACATATTCATCTCATAGAACATCGATTCATCAAAGTTCATATTACACATGAAGATGATGATTAAACCTTGCGATGATCACTGGAGCCAAATTAATCTGGAACTATGTTAAGAGCGTGAGATATATAATCAAATCAGTTACTTTTTGTTCCATCGAAGTGAAGTTTCTATGTAAAAAAATGTTAACAGACCAATACCGGAGACCAAGAGGATAAAAAACACAATACAGATGTGTATCGAGTATTGTATTAAAATATAAATAAATAATCATAGATCAAACAGGACACCCAAATTATCGTAAAGTTGAAAAACATAATAAAAACAAACACACCATAGAAAAATAATCCAAAGGCAAATTCTAGTTAGTGTCGACGGTATTAGCACCCAAATTATCCGAAAGTTGAAAAACATATTAAAAACAAATACGCCATAGAAAAATCATCCAAAGGTAACTTTGTAGTCAACAGTATTAGCACGATAACTAATAACGTCACTCATATCAAATGTCAATAGCACTAATATCTTCAATGTCAACGGTCCACTGAGAAGAACTATGTTTTCTTGGTGGTCCTGCAGGCGCGGGTCGGGAGCAGCAGCACGCGATTCGACCTCGGCCAGCGGTCGGATCGTCACGCGGGGCCGCGGTTCCCCTTACGAGAGCAGGTCGCCATTCTTGCGCCTTGTGTCACTCCCCCTGTCCCGGCCAGACATGCTCGAGCCCTGTCCCATGACGTCCCGCGGCGCTGCCTCGATCCTCTGCTCTTTCCCCACTGAAATCAGCTGCTGCTGCTGCTGCTGCCATGCCTCCTGCTGCTGCTGCTGCTGATGGTCATGGTGTCGATGCCGCTGCTCCTGCTGCTGCTGCTCCCGCTCGAGCTTTCGAGCAGCAGCAGAACGTCGGCGAGAATGATGAGATCTCGCCCGTCGAGCAGGTGGCTCTCACGGTGCCCACGATCGACGATCCGACCTTGCCCGTGTGGACTTTCCGCATGTGGTTGCTCGGAGTGTTCTCGTGCGTTCTCCTCTCGTTTCTGAATACGTTTTTCGCGTATCGGACCGAGCCATTCATAATTTCAGCTCTCACTGCTCAGATTGTGTCCTTGCCCTTGGGCAACTTTCTCGCTGCCACGTTGCCTTCGAAGCGCATCCGAGTTCCCTTCACCAAGAGCAGCTTCTCCCTCAATCCCGGGCCCTTCAATGTCAAGGAGCATGTGCTCATTACGATTTTCGCCAATACCGGTTATGCCTTTGGAGGTGGAACGTCCTACGCTGTGGGAATCGTCACGATTATTAAGGCCTTTTACAGGAGAAAAATCGGATTTTTTGCCGGCCTTCTCATCGTCATCACCACTCAGGTAATAATGAATCAATCGATAGCAGCTGCTTCATCTCCATCCGCTCGCTGTCAATCGGGAATTATTCTTTCACCGACCCATCTGCTCATGACCCTCCGAAGCTTCACTCGCGGGCAGTGTTGGTCCTACTTCCTGAAATTTGTATCTGAATTTCGTCGTCACTTCTTTCACAGTTCGTTTTGTGTATTTTAACCATGGGGCGTGCTTATGGACGAGGCTATGGAGGAGCTGAGCTGACCACAGGTGTTGTTTGGAAGAGTAGGTCACGGGGTATGGCTGGGCCGGCCTCATGTACAAGTACCTGGTGCTGCCAGCACAAATGTGGTGGCCAGCTAGCTTAGTGCAGGTTTCATTATTCAGGTACTCTCTTCATTGAGACTGAAATTGGGTTGTAGGCTTGAAATTGCCTCGACAATTCGAGTGAATTCGAATCCTACAACCTCAAATTGGCTGGAAACAATTTCGTTGTTGCCTACAGGACGCTGCACGAGAAGGAGAAAGAACGAGGGCTGAAGCGGAACCAGTTCTTCCTCATCGCCATGATGGTGGGATTCGCGTACTACCTGCTTCCGGGCTACATGTTCATGATGCTGACCTCGATGTCGTGGCTGTGCTGGGCGATGCCGAATTCCGTGCTGGGCCAGCAGCTGGGATCGGGACTCCACGGGCTCGGATTGGGGTCCTTCAGCTTCGACTGGAGTGGAATTGCCGCATACCTCCTGAGTCCGCTCGTGACCCCGTGGCATGCTATCGCCAATGTCATGGCTGGCTTCGTGCTCGTGGTGTACATCGTCACGCCGCTCACTTACTGGACTAACATTTACAACGCCAAGACCTTTCCCATTTTCTCCAGCAACCTTTTCACGAGCGACGGGCAAGAGTACGATGTCGAGTCGATTGTGAACGAGAAATTCTTCCTCGATGAAGCTGCTTACGCCCGAGCTGGTCCCATTCACATGAGCACCTTCTTCGCTTTCACCTATGGCCTCGGATTCGCCACTGTCACCGCCACTCTCACTCACGTCGCCCTCTATCATGGCAAGTAAGTTTCCTCTCGATCATCTGGATGTAATCTCTTCTTGTTGCTTGAGCATCCTGCCTCCTGAATTCTGTTGGCCTGCAATGAAGTTGACGAGGCTCGGAATGGGAACCTTCGTCGCAGAGAGATTTGGCGACAGAGCACGCGCGCGTGGTCTGGAGAAAGGCCTGACGTGCACACGAGATTGATGGAACGCTATGCCCGTCTGCCGAATTGGTGGTTTCTAGTGCTCATGGCGGTCTCGCTGGCGCTGTCGATTTTCACCGTGGAGTATTTCAGCTACCAGCTCCAGCTGCCATGGTGGGGGGTGATCTTCGCCTGTGCAGTGGCCGCCGCTTTCACTCTTCCGATCGGCATCATCACCGCCACCACCAACATTGTGAGACACGACTCCTCTGCCCCACTACGCCCCTCTTGCTTATGGTTTCAGCTGACATTCCCCCGCCGATCATTTGTTGGCACGCTGTTCTAATCGACGATTGAATCAGACTCCAGGATTGAACATCGTGACGGAGTACATGATGGGCTACATCCTGCCCGGCAAGCCCATCGCCAATGTCTGCTTCAAGACTTATGGCTACATCAGCATGCTCCAGGCCATCTACTTCGCCCAAGATTTCAAGCTCGGCCACTACATGAAAGTCCCTCCCAGGTCCATGTTCGCCGTCCAGGTGAGTAACAACAATCCCAACAATCCACATCTTCTGATATGCATATCTCAATTTGTTTATCCGTCTGTCTAATTCCTCCTATACCGCCAAAATTCATGAATCCCCGTCTCAGACTGTCTTCGTGTGTGATTTTTGAGGTCCGAGTCGATGCAATTCTCGCTCTGGGTGGGGTTCACAGTATAAGCTCAGCATGTTGTGAATGCCCGGACGAGGCTGATGCTGATTGGGTATGAAAGCAGGTGGTGGGAACGATTGTGGCGGGGACGACGAACATGGTTGTGGCGTGGTGGTTATTGACATCCATCGAGAATATTTGCGATGTGAGAAACCTGCCAGCCAACAGCCCATGGACCTGTCCCGCTGATCGAGTGTTCTACGACGCATCGGTGATCTGGGGTCTAGTGGGGCCGAAGAGGATATTTGGGACACTGGGCCAGTACAACGCCATGAACTGGTTCTGGCTGTTCGGGTTCGTGGCGCCGGTGCCGTTCTTCGTTCTGCACAAGATCTTCCCGGAGCAGAGCTGGATTCGTCTCATAAACATGCCGATTCTACTCGGAGCCTCAGCGTACATGCCTCCGGCCTCGTCAGTCAATTACATCTCATGGGGGACGGTGGGATTCATCTTCAACTTCTACGTCTTCAGAAATCACAAGCGCTGGTGGCGGCGGTACAACTACGTGCTGTCCGCAGCCTTGGACGCAGGCCTGGCGTTCATGGGAGTGGCCCTGTACCTCTTCCTGCAGGTCGAGGACAAGTCTATGACCTGGTGGGGCAACAATCTCGACAACTGTCCGCTGGCGACCTGCCCCACGCAGCCAGGCGTCATCGTTGACGGCTGTCCGGCCTTCTGATCCCATCGCCAGTCCATCAGTAGGAGTGCGCACTGGCGAGTCCACACTAATCGAGCTTAGGATCTGATTCAGAGCACAACAGCAGCAGCAGCAGCAGTGGCCACCGATGTGCGTGCCACTGCCTCCGGATCATATATTCACCGTCCACTTGATTCTTCGGGTTTTGACTCTCACCTCCACCACTCTTGTTGCGTTCCTTCGTTTTTTAAGCTATACGTAACATTGGGGATATCAATTTATCAGGATGTCGGATCTGTACAGTATGTACCATCTCACCTAATCATATATCTCACCTCAGATTTCATCCCTTATATTATTGTGAACAGTTCTGTTGATACCTTTTGTATATTCCAAACTATTTCCCATACACCAATTAGAACCTTTTAAGTGTTTAGAGGAGTATGTATTCATAATAATAAATTTTTTATTTAATACAAAATCTAAAATAACGGTAGATTGTATATTTGATTTGCATACTTCTCTTAGTAGAAGATAATTCGCAAACTTGACATCCTCGCTTGTTTTGTTGTGAAAATTAGACGTAACGAAACCGTGTATATATATTTATATTTATTTACATAATTCATATTCCACTAATTATCAGGTCTGAAATTTATTTACATCAAATTCCAATAACTATATAGATTTAATCCGGTGTTCTAATGCTAGTCCGGGTTCAAAACGGAGGCGAATTATTTTCTTAAAGACATATCATAACACACATTGAGCATGATGATATATTATTGATGTTAAATATGTTATCTTATAGTCATAATTTCAATATTTTTCTCTATTTTCGAAATGAATAACACGATTATTTCAGATACGCTTGTCATTTTCCTTGACTAAAACCAATAAAAATGAAATTACTACATCTTTATAGTTTAAAGTTTTACTCTCGGGAAAACCAAAAGCTACTTTTGACCTGTACAGCCTTGGCATTCTTTTTACGATAATTGGGAAATCTTTTTGAACCCACAGATTTCGAATCATTTTGACCCTGATTGCTTCTTTCCTCAAGTAAACTGCGAAAACAATTACAGAGAGATTTGAAACATTGTTTTGATTAGATTTGCAGCCATGTGAGGAACATTGAGTAGAATGAGAACTCGTTTTATAATTACACTTACTTTTAATTTGTTCTCCCCAAGATATCAAATCTATATCAACTGTTTAACCAACGATGTTATAATTTGTCATAATTCATTGAACGAAAATTAACCCTATTATAAGTATTGGTCGAACACCCTATGGTTGTTACTGCATCGACCAATGAGAGAACTGCGGAGTGAACACTAAATGAAGGATAACTAGTCGTTCTTTACTTTTATAATAGTTTGTTGTATATGATATTAGAAATTATTATCTACACAGCAAATACCCATCACCTGGGAGTAGACTCTCTGGTCGCGCCTACGTGGTGTCCTCGTTTATCGTGCAATCACTGAATCATTGGCTCGTAGAAATCTTATCGGGATCTTTGCATCTGTACTGTCACCTAATTGTCGGGGGCAGTCGAATAACAAACACAGAGGATCCATCAAACGGAATACTGCACATGGGAGACAGGGCTAGCCCCCAACATTGCACCTGCTTAGAGTTCAACTCAAGTGAGCCAGGGGGAAACTTATGAGTCATGCGTGTCATTAACTTGCACGTGCCAAAAGGGTCCACTTAGAAAGTTGTCTGTAATGGCATCGGGAGCAGATGGTGCGTACCAGATAATGTGCGATTGATATAACAACCAACCTTGCAATTGGAGAGAGTTCAAGGTACGCTAAATGTCAGGATTAATTCAGTTTTCGGTGAGTTGGCTAGATGTCCCTATGTGAATGCTCGAGATGAACAGCGACCGAGACGAGTGAAGTACCAAACTTGGACATCGTCTGTGACTGAGCCTCGTTCTTCTTGCAAGGTCATCCTCGTGCAAGAGGATCCCAGTCCCAACGCAGGTCGGGGCTTCAATTTGAGTTTTGAAGTACAAGCGCTCGTTTATACGCCTAGAGCAAGTGCCAAGCTTCTGAGAGGATATATACAAGCGGCAGCAGGTACTGAAGCAGGAAGTCATTCAAGTCCTCTGCCATCTAATAAGCTGCTACGAGTAAAACTGTCTCTATCTTTGTTCTCGTTTCCATGTAGGGATTCGTGATTTTAGTGCTCAAATGGTGTCACCAAGAATCGCGGATGCGCCAGCTGAAGAAAGCCATCGAAATATTGTTCTGAGGTCATGTTCCGAGCTTGAATCTTCGCATGTAGAAGCTGAAGGATGTGTCTGACATTCGCTTGATGATTATTCGCGTTTGCTAGTCTTAAAACAATCTGTAGATAATCCATCCCGGGAGGATGAACCTCAGTTAGTTTTATGGTAAATTCCTTCACTTTCTATACAGTGTATAACTCGATTTTTGCTATGGCATGAGATGTATGTATGATGTATATACCGGCACTCGGACACTTGAAATATTGTCCCCTAAATATTCGAAAAATTGTTTTTTTGAAAAAAAATTAATGAAATACACACTTTCAATCGGCATCTGATTGAAAGTGAAACACTTATACATAAAAGTGTTTCAATGCTGTTTCACTATTGAAAGTTACAACACAACAGGTTTTTTAGGAGAAAAACTCTAAACAGTGTCATTGAAACTTTCCTCAGTTTTCTTACATAATAACAGCCTATTCAACTCAACGAATTAGTTTTAATGTAACTTAAATTTAATCAATATCTCAATCGACCTCTAACATCTATAAGATGTCATGTGAAAGAGAATTAATAAGTCGTGAAATAGTTACATTACTATTGTTTGAAAACATATTGCAAATCATTCTTTTATATGATGAACATTGGCACATATTTCAATCGCATGCAATTAACCTTGTGTTATTCTAGATTTTGGATTTATGGAGTTTAATTGTGACATAAAAGAATGTATATCATGAATTTGAGATTCTAATCAAAACATGTCTAGCATCATGTAGAGAAATATTGTTCAAACTAATCAACAAACATGATACAACTAAAGTGCAAACATTTTACTATTGATATTGTTCTTACATGCAATATAAATTAGAGCAATGGTGATTTTTTATGTTACTTTGTTGATAATGAGTTGTGTTATCTACAACGATCTTACGTGATACTTGTGTGTAATTGTTTGAAATTAATATTATCTCATTCAGTTATTATATATATATTTATTATAAAAAATTATTGTATTATTGTTAAAAGCTTTTGATAATATTCGTATATTTTACCAAATTTTTGAGCTTTTTTAAGTTACATTCATTCCTCTAGTCAAATTTTAGCATAAAAAGATAAAATACATCCAATTTTTTTCATTTTTATTAGAAATTTTTTTCCAAAAATAAATCAAGAATTTATTACAAAAAATTATAAATCAGATTCTACACAATGATATAATTACAATCAGACCTAGTAAGGAATAAAAGGACTTTTAAATCATTTCTATAATATATATACATATATTTTTTATTTAAAAATTTACATTTAGTTTACAACCTTTTTGTGAAACTTTTTTCTTAATCACTAAATATTTATCAATGTAAAGTAATTTTTGAATTTTTGAAGTTTACCATTCATTAAAATAATTTTAAATATAATTATTTATTGAGGTAAAATTTAATATCTTATTAAACTTTTCATAATTTCAATTTAAAATAATTTTTTATCAAATAATATCAATTCATAATTACTCATTCTTGTTCTTGCAACGAACACGGAGACCTTAGCATGTGCAAGAAGCTCTGTTGAGGTGGGTTCATTTACCCTCCCCAAAAGTATGGAGCAAGCCGGTTTAATGATAAAAGAAATTAGGATTGATTTGGTTCAGATTCTAAACATGATGTTACTTTTGTTCACAACAATTTTAGTCATGGTTCAAAATTATAAACAATATTCTATAAATAAGAATGTATTTTTCCCTTACTTTTTACTTTTTTTAATATTTTTGTTACATCACAGTTGAAAGATCATGTCTTAAAATTGCATACATGTTGGTTGTTTATTTTTTTTATTTTTTTCAATCAATTGATAGATTTTTTTTTCATTGAGCATCATTCATCAAACAAAAAATCTTATAATTCTGACTGTTGAGAGTCAAATAATTACTTTTTTTTCTTATCTTGAACACTTGATCTATTTCAGAGATGAAAAGTTCAATTTTCTTTTTTGATATTTTATCACTTCACCTTTTGCATTTGTAGTTTGCAATGTAATCACACGAAGAGCAAAAAATCATTACCAAAGAAATCACTGCGTTTCAAGCTCTCTCCTTTTTGCTTTGATTTCTCTCAATAGATTGATTGCTTGATATTATATAAATAAATATATATATATATATATATATTTCTTGAACATCAGTCTTCAAACAAAAGAATCAAGTAATCACTTTATACTAATTATCAGTGATACTACACAAATTAGTGAGAAGGCTCGTTTGAGGCTTTCCATTATCTGAAATTTTGAAACCAAAGTGAACAGTACTAGCTTCGTAGGAGCTAAGCTTGGTATCTAGCTCTATGAGCTATAACACTAAGATCTGGAATGTGTCTTGGACAAACAACAAGACATGGGAGAAGAATTATCCCAACGCATGCAGTGGTTCTAAGCGAGATCTAGGGTACTTGCTGAGACATAACGGATTTCTTCTTTCTCTACCTTGCGTTTTGTATAGAGAAAATTACTTGATGGCATTCCATTGGAACACAAATTGCTTGATGGAACCTATCACGTTTTGTTTTAGCCAATAGATTCTCACCGACGGCACACCGTCACGAAGTTCTTGTAATAACCTTGAGATCAACGCGAGTGATCCCAAGGTTATAACCTATTACCATTAGCAAGTATTTACATTAACTTTTTTTAGAACTTGGTGACGGTACCTAGTCTGCGGAATTTTATCCAATAAAACAAAACTTAATGGGTCACATCAAGCAATTTGCATTAGGATGATGTTCCATCAAGTAATTTACTCTCTCTTATAACTAGTTGTTTGTTGAAGATCTGGGCTAGGTCTTCTATCTAATGCTAGCTTGTATCACTTTGGGTTGAAATTTAATCCCCGAGTGATACAATGAAATTTGTAATCAACAATTTCTTCCCTGGTTGAAAATAAGGGCTAGGCCTGGCTTCATTATGTAATAATATGTTCTCATTATATATCATATATAATATACATAAGGATGAATAATTAGCATAAACTGAGATTAAAAAAATTATAAGTGAAGTCACCCGCAGATTTGCTTTTGGCTTTTCACTATGTACTTTTCTTTACAGAGGTGCTTATTGTGACACTTTAAGTTTCTTTTACCGGATAAAACCACTCCAAAGATACATGTCACGCATGTTCTAGTATGAACAGATGGTGCAGGTAGTGAGACTATGACTGCGAGACTATCTTGTCATCTTCATTGAATCGCTCAAATTTCCACTCAGTGCAATCAGACCCGAACATTTCTTTGTCCAAGACTTTTCCATTGCACCAAAATTTGTAAAATTACTTGACACCTGAATTCACAAGTACTATTGTTACTTCTTTGTGAAATTTCTCCACAGATTCCACTCATTCATTGTTGCTCACCGATTCCACACATCACTTGTTGCTCATCGAGTCTAATTTTCGACAACTCAAAACCTAAAATCTCTATGGAGCTCTATGACAATGTTTGTCACATTTCATCGTTATGAGATTTGGGATGGTAGAGTTTCACTAAAGCTCTTATATGATGCAGAGGTTGGAGTAAAACTAAATTTAACTAAACTTAAACTTTAGTTTAGTAAATTAAACTAGCTTGATAGTTCACATGAAACAATTTAGGTTATGATTGTCACATCAAATAATTAACTATTTCTCTATGTGTGTAATCGAATTTCAGACCATTATTCTCATCGGTGTACAGCACCTTAAACTAATTCGAAAGAAATATGGAACGTAACTTGAAGTGCAGCAGAAAGTACTAACGAGCATACAATCCGTCAAGTGGGGGCTGATGAATACAGTACAGCTAACGAAAGGTACCAACACATTGACGGATTGCTCAGATATAATAATTGAAGTGCTTAATCAGATGTTCGCTTTAGACTGGCCAATAGCGCCTCGAATCCCGAGAAAGAGAAGAGAAAACATATTATCTTAAAATACATCTGAATTCAATTCAGAGGTTCTCACTCATCCAGCGGGAACAGTTGATCATGGAGTCCAGTGCGAACCCAGTGCCCGGCCCAGGACTTGACGTAAACACTTTCTCTTATAATACCCGTACTGTAACGTAAAGGATCGAAGATTCCATTGGACAAAACCAACCAAAACGTATACGCTAGACATGGTTCTTCTGACTATTGGACGTCATGTTTCCCAGGGTGTTGATGACGTAAGGTCGTTGTGCACAATTTAGTACAACATAGTACTCAAATAATCATTTTTTAGATTGTTGAGTGATTCTCACCAAAAAATGAAGGTATTTTTGCTGGTTGCACTGTGAATGAGTGAGATCATATTAACAAATAAAATCGCGAACTTTCATAAAAGACGAGTTTTTTTTAAAAAAATTACTACCTTTCCATATAAGTAATAGTGTCATGAAAATGTGATTTGGGAGAGTGATAACACATGATTGAGTGTAATTAGTTTTTGCTTTAATTTACCAGCTTACATTTATTTTAGTTTGTTTTACTTTGCTTGATTCATACATATGCATATTGATCAATAACATGTGAATATGTTACTATGTTGAGTAAAAACCGATCTATAAACTGGTCGTCCATTCATGAGACTATTCACAATTATTCATAAGAAAGTCATGAGATATGCAATTAATTTTTTATGGTTTGAGAGAGAAGTAGATAATTCTAGCACATTTCATCATCTTGGATAAGTGGCGAGTAAAGTGTAATCAGCCAATATATTTTGAGTACGTCTCTCTGTTCCTCATTTCTTTGGCTAGCCAACCCTATAGGAAATATACCATATAAAGATTCAATATATCATATTGAAAAGTGCAATAAATCCTAGACATTAGTCGTAGATTTAGAACATTAGAACAAAAGTAGATTCTATTTGTATAAGTTACGAACAGATCTAGAACTTGTTGTCTAGACCATCGGAAGTCAAGGTACAAAAGGTTCAAAAGTGTAAGGAATTAATAATTTGTTTCTACATTGTTGTCTGATAATCAGAAGAGACTTGCAATTTTAAAACTTCGAGTTAATAGTTTTTTTTATGTTACCTGTTGGAGTATATGAAACTGACATGCAGACGTAACGGCCGGTAGAAGACTAGGGGACAGAAGACCCAGAGAGTTGAACCATGGTCTGCAACATGAAGCGAAGGCAAGTCAATCCGATCGATCGATCGATCAGAGTCGAACGACGCTTTTCAGTCCTCATGCCTCCGATTCCTGAGAACTTAGCTTGTCGGATTTATGCCCGAAGACATTGCCATTGCCATTGCGTTCGTGCTCTCCACAGAAGATCTGGAGATTCTATCGATGCAAATGAATTCGACACCGAGTCGACGCTGAACATCAAGCGAGGCACGGGACGATGGAGGCAAAATGTAGACGGCATGACAGCAGGTCGCATCCTGGACTCGGGCATCAGTCGAGTTTGCACATCGCCATTTTGATCGGGCTGCTGAACGTGGCGCTCGACGTTCGGGCCGAGCCAGTTTTAAATGAGTCCGTGTGCCTTCACATGTCCGTGTCGCCTGCTCTGACTCCCTACATTCAAGAGCTTCCCAGACTCCCATCCATCGATATTTCTACCGGCGTTCAGGTCACTTTGGGCGTGTATAAGGTTTCTCGGGTACGCGTGACATCTTCTCTGAAACATAGATGCCTGGAAAAATGAATATTTGAAGGATGGTGAGCCATGAGCAAATTTATGCACTCTGACATGTGACAGGATTCTTCGAGGCTCAGCCCTCGCTGAGCTGTTAGAAGCCGGAATTTCCAGCACAGTATGCCTTGTGTGAGTTGGAGTGAGCGTGAGCTGAGCTGATTATGATTTGTGCACAGAGAAGTGACACCATCTCTCAAATGTTGTTCGACACTCTGACGCGTGCTGCTGCTGCTCGCTTGACTCCCAGAGCGTGCATCCCGAGCTCCCCAACACGACGTTCTACTGCTACGGGACGAGTGGAGAAACAGCATCGTGCCCAGGACCGAATCTGGAGGCGAAGAAGGATGTCACTTCCTACGTTCGATTCGAGAACCATCTCACAGACGAGAGCCACCTCTTCGTCGTGGACCCGACCCTTCGGCAAGCTAAGCCCCCGAGAGGAGGAATCCCCCTCATCACACATCTGCACGGGGCAGAAACGGAGCCAAAATACGATGGGCACGCAGAAGCTTGGTACACTGCTGCTGGCGACACAGGGCCGGCGTTCGTCACCAGGGACAGGGAGTTTCTGAATCAGCAGCCCGAAACTCTTCTGTGGTACCACGATCACACCCTCGGGTACACTCGCCTCAACATCGTAGCTGGTCTTCTGGGGCTGTACTTCATACGCAGTGCGCACGAGCCTCCGAATCTACCGTCAGGAGAGTTCGAGATACCTCTCGTCATCCAAGACAAGCAGTTCCTCCCCGATGGATCGATCAACTTTCCCACCAAGAGCTTCAATCTGTCCGTGAGCAGTGCTCCGAATTGGTGCCCGAGCTACATGGGCGATGTGATTCTGGTGAATGGGAAAGCGTGGCCGTTTCTCAATGTCGTCAGAGGATTGTATCGCTTCCGCATCTTAAACGCAGCGAGTGCTCGAACCTTCAGGTTGATGTTCAGTGACAGCAGAGTGAAGATTGTTCAGATTGGGACGGATGGAGGGTACGTGTGGACTCCCGTGGAGCTGGCCGATATCTATTGCCCTCCTGCTTATCGGCTCGATCTGCTCGTGGACTTCAGCGCAATCCCTGTGGGATCGACCATTTTTTTGAACAACTCGTACATGGAGTCCCTCGCGACCAACAATCCAACGACAGCGAGGCTCGTCATGAAATTGAACGTCGTCGAAGGGTTGCCCGCTCAGAATGTCAGCATTCCCACATCCTTGGGTCCTGCGCCGAACTTAACAGAGGTGATCAGTCAGGCTGCGTATCGACAGTTGACCTTATCGACTCAATCGGAGCCATATCTCAGGGAGATGCTGAATCTTCGAGTCTGGAGCGATCCAGCAACTGAGATGCCGCAGCTGTACAGCCACGAGATTTGGGACATCGTGAATCTGAATGGGCTAGGTTCTCATATCATCCACCTGCATCTCGTCAACTTCCTCTTGCTCGAGTGGCAGCCGGTCGACGTGTTGAAGGCCAGCAGGGGACTGTGCTCACTCTCCAAACCCTTCGGAGAGCCGGACAGCTGCTTCACCGAAGCCCCAACACCTGCAGAGAGCATCGGCTGGAAGGACACCATCGCTGTGACACCTCTTCACTCGCTCAAGGTTCTGGTTCCCTTTTTCCCTCGAAGCGGTGGTTCCTACAACTTCGACGCCACTGCTTTCCCCGGGTATGTTTGGCATTGCCACAAAATCGATCATGAGGACCATGACATGATGAGGCCGCTCGTGATTCAGCCAGCCTCCTCGAGCTTGAAGAGAAATCGGGCCCGGATCTATAAATCGAGACACGGAGATATCTCATCCTCCGATCCCGCAGGTGGAGCTGACAGCGCTTCTTCCTGATGGTGTACATTGTGACAAAATGTTGAAATCCGACATCGAACGATGCTAATTCTTCCTTGCAACATTCAAAGGTCACGGGATCAGAATAACAGTTCAGCTTTTCAATCTCTCTGTATGTCAATGTTGCGTTTACTCGGAGAATTTGTTTCCATGTGGATTGATTATATCCGACCTGTATCTCTCCTACTGCCACTAATTCTTGGATTCTGCAGGTCTTTTGAGTTTGCTCTTGAAAATCCCAAGAACGCTTTTGTTCTCTACCTATAGAAAAAATGTAGATTCATTTTTGTGTTTTAGACTTTAATGCTGTGTATTAGTTGATGTTTGCTTATTGTACCCACATCACTGAACGTATCTACAGATCTTATGACACTAAATAAATGGCACGTAGATTGTTGCAGAAAAAGTACATTTCAAGATATTAATGTCAATGTAAGATTAAAATCCAGATGAAAATTATGTCGCATGCATTCTCCAGTGAGTTAGTTGACTTGCACAAGCTGACAAGCTTAACCTAAGTTGACTAAGTTGGATCCTTAAGCTAACCATACGTCTTGCAAGGCAATAGAGATTGCTTAAGGTACAAGTTCCGCTATTTGAGGTCCAGGCTTTCACTGCAGGATTGGCCTCGATCTTCTGCACATGTTATTTGTGAGCACAGCATTCAAATCTTGTCATGAATTAGGGATCACTCATGACAAAGAGAGGAAGCCTGCTTTCTGGGACCTGCCTTCTTGACAAAGAGAGGAAGCCTGATTGTCGTCTATGAAAGTTGCCTCCGTCTATGGCTAAGGCTGGCATGTTTGTGTGGATATTTCTTGCTACACACACAACTGAAGTCTTATATCTTGTGATTTTATATGACAATTAATCAAATTAAATGAACTAGTATTGATGGTGCAACTTTCATGGTAATTGGATTACTGTATTCTCATGCTACATTGGAGTAGATTTCTAAATTCCAAGATTATCAGAAATCAGCTACATTGGAGTAAATAAGTAATCAGAAAGATAATAAGTAAAACACTTAAGAAGGTGAAGACATTTTCTTCTCAAATCAAGGGGCAGGTTTTTTCACCATGTGCTTTGTTCACATTTCAAGGTTGAAAGAATCAATCATGCTATTTTCCGATACACACATGGACATAAATCAATACTCTTCGTGAACGCGCATTTATATATTGGAATGTCATCTGTGACTTCTAATGACAATTGTGCAGAGTTTTCTCTTACTGCCAGTATGTACAAGGTACTGGTATCGTATATACTCTTTACACTTTCTTCTATATACTGTTCTCGATCGTCGATTCTATAGCTGTGGCCGGTTGGATGATTCATCTGTTCCTGCACATAATCATGAAAGCTACAAACATAAGGTAGGCTTGCCACTTTTCGCATGTAGTCAGATTCCGGAGTTAGTTTAGTCAGTTTGTAAGGAGTTTGAGGACAGTGCGTGGTCTACGCCAAGCCGTGGGTTCGAGATTCTGACTTCTGCAGCTGCAAACTTTGTGCAGTCTGAACAATCCGAACCGCTGAATGAAATCAGTTACGAGAACCCGAACCCTTTTGTCTCTTCGCATGTGCCGGCGCAGCGGCCTCTGAATATACCTGCAATTCTTGACATGCTTTGCTCAAATTTCAGTAGCGTGCGAACAAAGCTGAACAAGTGGGTCGCTGAGAGATGATGACAGTTACTTATTAGTTGATATCACTGCCATAGATAAAACTTCATAGATTTCCTTCTTGATTGTGCTCGTTGTGAAGACGGAAGGCTCGACTCGGATGCAATTTACGTTCTATTTGACTTTCAGAACAATAGTAGTGCATGCTGATTGGTTGAATTCTAATTTTGTTTTAGCGAATTTGGCTTCTCTCAAGGTCCTGCACTCCATTTGTAGTTTCACTGCAGATAAATTTAATCACCTCACCTCACTCCCTATTTTTGCCATAAAAGATTGTATAGGTAATTCAGTCTCCTCATAGGATACAGCTTGTCGAATGGTTGAAGGACATGAGAATGGAGAAGCATAGAGAACATTGATTGCGAATCGATCGAAGGTTTGATCGTTCTTCATATTTTTGCAGAAAGTCTGACCGTATTAGTGTGACTGAGAAATCCATCAGAAGTCTGAGATATAAAACTGGAAAGCCATCATGCGTAACCGTTTGAGTAACAGCTGAGCTCCTCATCTATGGGCCAATAGATAGACAACTTGGTCGGTAATTCTCGATGGGGATTAACTCGGGTGTACAGCATATCAGATACAGGTCGTTCTCTACGAGTGAATTTATTCTGGAAACCTTTTTCCAGAATAAATTCACTCGTTTCAGAGACCTTGCTCTCTTCTGTGTAAGTTGTCTTCTAGCTCTGTTATGTATGCCCCATGAAAGACGCGGAGTTTGCAGCTCCTAAAATGTACTAAATTGCTACTTCTTCGATTTGCAGCTCCTAAAATGTACTAAATTGCTACTTCTTCGATTCACAAGATGGACGATACTCGAGGTGGTGCAACTGGAGAATTGCCTGTTCACTCAACAACTTCATACCCAGGAAATTGAAATATGTCGCAAAACCGAAAATTAGATTTGCGCTCCCTAACCTGACTTTCTCCTCTAAAACCAGACTCTGTTCTCAGATTTCTTCAAAAAAATCTCGCTAGAATAAGAAGTTGGGGTAATTTGTGATATCCTCTTCGTCGTCCGCATAATCACACATGCCAGAGGTGCACAGGGCCTCTCATCTATAACACCTGGTTGCACCTGAAATTACAACACTTCCCACTTCTCGTCTTGTAGTTGTTGGCAGGCTTGCGCTGTCCATGCTGCGGTAGAGAATACATCAGCCCAAGTAGTTTGCCAGAGTCGGCCTTCTCACAACGCTGACCTGTGCAATCTTTTCTATCTGTCTCCCAGAGCTGATTAGAGGCATTTGGCATTTGATAGCGACTTCAGAATCATTTCCAGGACTATCTTTAATTCCGTGGGATCCACATGATTCTGTACGCCTGGAGTTTGTTAGCTGCAGATGATCTGCGGACAAAGTCCAATCATCCATATGAGACCAGGTCTATTTCGAACAGGCTGTGCCTGCGTATCGTTGGACTCTGAATTGACAAAAGGTGATCAAATTACCGATCAATTTACTCTCGGGCTAGGACAGTCAAAAGATGAGCCCACACATAGTCCTCGAATAGTCTCGTGCTCGGCCACGATGAGTCAGACTGCCTGAATTTTGTTCAATCCCGTCCCCATAGAATAAAGAGGATGGCGGGTATCGCATTGAATTAAGCATGGAATTATCTTCTGCAATATCTTGGACCTATGAACCCTCACCTGCGTACCTCATCCTCTCCGTGAATCTTTTACGCAGTATGATGCCGCGCTGATTCAATACATCGAATCGCCGAATCGTCGTCAGATAGATGGCTACAGGCGATATGGATTTTCGACTGAACACTTATGTTTTTCGGTCGCAGCTTTTGCGTTGGCTAATCTCCGCTCCCAACAATTCGTTGTCAAGTTCATCTGGGACATTTGTGCTCTACGTTAAGAGTCTCTGTAACTGAACGTACACAAGCAGTCGAATTGCAAGAGATTTCATGCTAAGAAACTACCATTTATACACGTGACAGTTCTGAGAGTTCTAGCGATTTAAAATGTGCAGAGATCACGGCAGTGCAAGCATGTTAGAGTATCAGGTTGTAGCACGGAAGAATACGGACCGAGTTTTATATTGCATGAGGGTCTTGACATATGCTTTTCCGTTGCACTCCTCGCACACCCATGCATGCCCACCTTGTTCTAAACTCACGTATTTCACCTGATGCAACTTGAAGATTTCGGAATAGCGATTTTCAAGCTAACGCGCAAGAGTTTGCTGAATCCTCAACCATGCTTCTTGCAGCTCCTTGCTTTCCCCACCTTTTAGAACTGCCCTGCGATCATCATCACTAATACCGCCTAGTCGAAAAACATTAGATTTTAAATCTTCCCAAACAAGAACCGCTTGGCCCAACCCGATGGTCTTATCCAGTCCAGCCTTCACAGCATAATGCATGACTTTGAGTGAAATCTCAAAAGTTTTTCGAATCCAAGAGCTATTCTCCATATCAAGGGAATTTTCAAACCTTCTTAAGCTTTCACCATGTGAAACCAGACTCACTCATCAAGTATAACCTAACTGTTCTCCCTACATGCAGAAGTGCACTCATAGTCCGGAAAGTCGTTTTGGCATTTTTGCCTACTGAAACTCTTGCAAATATCCAATGATACTGTCCACGTTAGACATGAAATCACTCAACGTTGACTGCAGTTTTTGCTGCAAAAAGAGTATGTATCCCATTTTCAAGTCCACTCTTTGCATGATGCTCTGCACATCTCTCAAACTCTCATCCAAATCATCAACCTTTCCATCCAAACCATCAACCTTTGCTTCTAGCTGACCAAGCTTAGACAAAAGAAGTCGGGTTGAACAATTTTCCACACTTATGGTGGCACAACTCAAGCACTTGGATGTAGGTGGTTTGCGGTCTTTCATTTGAGGCACATTCGAGCCGCTAACCATGTCTTCAGCTTCAAGAAAACAATGATCCAAATCATTGTCCACGCTAATCATACCTTCCTGGAACGAATCCAATTGTTGACTTTGTTTTCATCAAATCTCATTCACAATCGTGTCCACATCGCTCTCCACAACAAATCCCTAGCTCGTTAAGATATTTTGCCTTAGTACCTTACAATCGAGGGCCAACCGTGCTCATAATTGAACAACCCTTCCTTCTACACCAACTAGTACCTTTCCTCAAGTTTGTCATTGATGCTACGAATGAAGTCCAATTTCAGCTTCTCGATTAGATCAACTCCTCTCGCAATCAACATATCCACACAAAATTTTTGAATCACACCGAGCACTAACGCCACCCCGGGACAACCTTTGGATCATGCGCAAAATGATATCAATTACTAGACAATATGCTTCATCATAAATATAATAGCCAGCTCCCTTGATTTATGCCTTGAGCACAACATCAGAACGTTTACGTATTAGTGGAACTTTTCACTTTGAACGTGCTCCACATATATCTGATGTCCGTCAAGGAAAAGTCGTAGATAATGTCGAGAGCAAGTCACATTCTCCTCCAAAACAACCATATCGGAAATCAACTTGCGTCTTATGAACATTTACAATGATAGAAAATTTGGTAAATATTTAGTGGTGCATATGAATGATTTATTACAATGACTAAAAAGGAAACATTCTATTCATCATAAGCAAACAACAATCAGAAATTGACGCATACAATGTTTTCACTATGTATGATTTCATGATTCAACTTCACCTCGAAGCGTGGAAAAAAAGCAGCAGTCAATGACATTGTTCTTCCATCTTGGCATTGAATCCGAATGCCGACAAACTGTGAAGTGTCAACTCTATTTTCCCAATACATGGATTTCAAGTGCGCCCCTTTTTGATGCTTATGTTATTCCATGCTTGCATGGTCAGGGATGAAGGAAGTAATGAAATGCTGAGAAGTATCTTTGAGCTTGAAACACATATCTAAATTGACAAGGATGTTTTCCAGCACCTCTTTGTCCATGTGGTTGCTTTATCAAAAACTCTTCTATCAATCCAGCAAAGACATTCTCACTCACAAATCCGTACTTGCTTGTGTGTGAGACACTTGACATCCTATTATCAGCAGACTTGTAGTCATCAGCTTGAAAGTGTTGACCCAAAGCTATCAACTCACCTAAGAAGTTATTGGTTAGCCAGTTGGTATCCACAATAATAAAATCAAGTTTAGGGATATACATGATGGATACAACGTCATTCAAATAAGATATGATTGAGTTCATTATCCTTGAATGATCAACAGAGTGTGCAGAATACGATGGAAGAAATTGTATTAAGTTGGAAGCACAGAAATCATGAAAATTTTTGGATGGCCAGACATGGCAACTTCTGTTCTTCTTGGTGTTTATAACCAACAAAAGTTAAGTTGAGAACACAAAAGGGGAACTTCTGGAGATTTTTTGTTCAACAACTTGTCAAAATTATCAAAAATGTAAGGTATAAGAGGGATAACTTGCTTTTTATGCCAAGCGTCCACATGAAAGCAGTTGTGAATAGGGCGGAGATCGACAGAATTTGCAAATCTTTTGGTAAGTTTGTCAACTATGGAGTGAGCCCAAGTCAGAGAGCTATATCTGACTTTATCTTTGTGTGAAATCACAACAAAAACTTGATTAAGATCATGTCCCCTAACCTTGATGTTGAATGTGATGAAACTCAACCAGCCTTCCAACTCAATCCTGAAACAAGAGTAAGGTTTGCTCAAAGATGTGATATCATAGAAAGGCTATAAACAAAAAGAAAAACACACAGATGGTTGGTCTGAGGGAAAAGAACATTTTGAAGCGTACAAAAAATCCATTAACCTGCAATATGTAACGCACCCTACCTGCTCTAGGAGAGCCGCATAAGAAGAGTCGACCAGCTTTTGCATCTCCAAATGTTAATTTGGCTTCTCGGAACACAGACATGTAGACAGTCCACTTCTGATTTTGCTTTAGGACCTCTTTAATCTGCGCCGCCTTTCCGTCTCTTGCCCATGAGATTCCTCGGACGCCTATTTCCTCGAGAGCCAAGTTAACTTGCAGTACCTTCATCAAGTCCCTGAAAGCCTCCTCGTCGAGTTCGGAGTCAGAGAAATCCAAGTGAGTGAGGTGGTTCCCTCGCATGCACCAAAGCAGGTCTTTTCATTCTAATGCTAATAACTAATGCTTCCACAACCAAATGTGAACACATATATAGTTGTGAATTTCCTTTTGTCTAAATCTTGTTCGTAGTCAACATCAATGTAGCCAAACAAGTACTTGGCATTGTCCTATAACCCATCAAACAATAAGCCATAATTCAACATCTTCTTCAATTATCTCAAAATCCATTTCACTGCTTCCAAGTGAATTTTCCATGGATTTGACATGTACTTGCTTATCTTATCCATTGTCATAGCAATATCACGACCAGTGCACACCATCAAATATATGAGGCTGCTTATAGCTTGTTCATAGAGAACACATGACATTGAGCTGCGGAGAGTTAAAAATGTGATACTAGAGGAGTCCATGATACTTTCAAATCGGCCATGTTGAACCTATTAAGTATACAGCAAACATATTTGTTGAGATTCAACCATAGTTTCTTTTGTTCAAAATTCTTATAAATATTCATGTGTAATATACTCTTCAACTCCCCCATATACTTCATATTAAATGCAAACTTCAGATGACTCTTGCATTCATCGACATCGAATTAGTTCTATGCTAAGATGAACATGTCTTCAACGTAGAGTACTAAAATGATGATCATTCACCTTCTTCATGTAGACACAAGTATCATACACGCTTCGTAGAAAACCTTGTGCCTTCATAAACTCATCTAATTGCGTATTTGTAACACTAGGGTTTAGAGAGAAGTTCACTCGAAGATAGAAACGTAAACTCTGAAGATGAGAGATACCAACAATGGTTCTCCTCTCCCTTATATAGCTCTCACCAACAAGTACAAAGTGATAAGATCTAATCCCCACCATCCATCCCACTCCTAGTGGATGGATGACGTGGCGGATAACCCTAACAAGCACACGGATCGCTGACGTGGCGCACCCAACTAACACACTAACTAACACACTCAATCCTTAGCTACAAGCACACGGATTGCTGACGTGGCACTGTCAACTAACACATCCACTCTGTACCTACCAAGTGCGCGGATCGCTGATGTGGCAGCTATGACTAGTGCACACTAAAGTATCTACATCCATATTCAGAGTAACCTCTACTTTAGTTCTAACTAACTAAAGATGGTTACAAACCTCCCTCCTTTTAAGATGCAACGTCCTCGTTGCACATACGTTCAAACTCCTGAACTATCAAAGGTGCATTTGCTAAATTTTTAGCTGGTTCCCACGTTGATTCATACGATGGATAGCCTTTCCATTGAATCAAATACTCTACTTTGGGATAT